CCTCCAACAATGCCTAGATATAGGCTATTTCACTTAGCTTCTAAAGGCAGAATATCTGCTAATGAAAAAAAATACACTCGATATATTTTCAAAAAGGGGCACTTTCCACCCTATTAGCAATCAGGGGGCTGTGCCCCCGTGGCCCCCATGGCTCCAGCGGCCCTGCAATATGTAAATTTGATCCTAGATTCTTTTGCAAATCCTCGAAATGGCTAGGCAGAACATGCTACAAAGGATTTTTCATTTTTCGCACATAGCCAGAACATGTTGTGAAGTAAAGCACGTATAAACTTGGACAGCGGCGGAATTTATTGGGGCATGGGAGCTCATATTGGGGCATATCAGATAAGAAGTCGGAAAATCACGGGCCTGAGCCCACCTTCCCTCCCTCCAAAAACGAAAGCCTGAGTTTCCTCCTCGGTGCTAGGGTATTAAAAGTATTACACCGCCTTGTTTTGACATGTTTTGGCAATAGAACACCTTTTTGGCGATACTTTTGATACCCTAGTTTACAAGCTCAGAAGTCAATGTATATTTCGTTTGCACGAGAGCCCTAGAGAAGTTGAGAAGTTTTTTTTCTAAAAATAATGTAGGCTGAATTTTCATTATTGTTTCCAGCACAAAACCCCAAAAGATATCACTTTGTCATCATCATATTAAAAAAAAGAGAAATCTCAAAATCAAAATTTTTCATCTTTTTTCATTATAGCAAGAAAAAATAAGTAGTTTTCTTTTTAGTATAGACAGATAAGTCTGCACTCGAAGAGGGCAGCGGAGGCAAAGCGCCAAGAGAAAGGGCAAAACAATAGTAAAAAACGAATAAAAATGCTCAGTTTCGCGAAGGCAAGGGGGCCACTGTCCCCGCTACCCCCTGGTGAAAGCGTCCTTCAGTATAGATTCTAGGGAAAAGGTTTTATTTTATCTTTCAGGTCTACACCTACCCAGGGTTTTGAGGGAATCAATTTTTGCAAAAGTCATTACTTTTGATGAATTACACTAATTTTTTTAATAAGAAACTGGCTATAAGAAACGAGTACTGGACAGTCAGAAAAAATTAAGAAACTTCAGTACTCGAAGCAAAAAAATTAAGAAACTATTAAATCGCGATTAAACTGAGAACAACGAAATTTTGTAAAATCCAAGAACAAGATTGCCCTGCCCTGTTGGCCTAGAACTTAAGACACAAGGGATAAAAATATACTTCCCATATCTAAATACAGCATCGGAACGGAAGCGAATCTCTTGACGTGATAAAAAGGTCACGAACATTTCATAACATCATTCATGACATCATAATTAAGAAACTCTCAAGAAACAATGAGTATTGAAATTTCCAGAACATTAAGAAACTGGAGTACTCAACATCGACCTTTGTTTCTTTTAAAAAAATGAGTGTATATCACAAAATTATTGGGATAATAGTATGGGGAGATGGACCAGATCCGAATACTTCGCAAGAATTTTTTGGAAAACTCCCGATTTTAAATATTCCTAGGTTGGAACGTCTGGAAACACTCATGTTGAAACCCTGTCTTTAGCTTTCTTCAATTTGTTTACCAATGGTTCGGTTCGCCTTTTTGATGCAGCTCAGCAGATATGATCAAACAAGTGATTAATGTGATTGGAATGATTAGCCCCGCCCGTTTATTTGATCTCCCTTGCACACTGTTTGAATGGCAGACAAGTGAGCAGCCATTTGAAACCGAAAGGGAGTACACACGGGCTGTTTTGGTTTGGATACAATTGCAAGTTTCATTTGCCAAACAGGTACATGCTACAACATTCTTTATAACAAATTTCTATGATAAAAGTCAGAGACAATAGATTCTTTGCCTTCCAGGCTTGTTGTAAACACAGCTATCTGGCAGCAGTCAAAAGCGAACTAAATGGCCTAGAAACCGAACGCTTATTCTTTGGCTAGTTGGGTGCATCAAAGGTGCTCGTGTTTCCACAAAGAATTGGCGGGCAGTCTGACTTCTTTTTGTGGAAGTAGAGCTGCGATTTTACTTGCGAGATGCAGCTTGCTGGAAATATCGGCTCTGAGTTTGTAAAATCATAGGGACATGGAAAATTGTAATGCAAGCTGACTGCAGGCTAACTACTTCCGATTAAATCAAACCGAAATTAACAAATCATACCTAATTTATTTTGAATTTAGTTTTATGGCAGAGCTGGTAGGTATTTAAAGCGAAAGTGCGAAGTAGACTGAGGCTTAATGATTAGTAACCACATCGAGTGAGCTCTGCAACCAAAGACAAGGACGCGTAATCGCCCACTCTTTTATCTTCAAATTCTAAAACTATTGCCAAGTAATGACAGCCAAGCAATTGCCAGTGGATATATCGAATTAGCTCATTTTCCAATTGTGAGGCATCGAATCAGCTTTTTTGTCAAGTGCGAGGGAGTTTTGCAAGAATTGTGAGTGCAAATTTGTTGTGTGCTTTTTGGGTTACCTTTCTCTTGTGGTGAAGGCCGTGGTGATAAGGTATTCAAAAAATTTGAAATGCGTGACGAATTATCCAACTTAATGTAGCATAATATTAATCTTTACCCTATGTCAGGATTTCGTGCGATTAATCTATGATCAGTTGGTTTTTGTCCTCCGGTTGTCCCTTATTCTCTTAATTATAGGGCTCAAGCAAGGGAATTTTTCTTATTTTTGAGGACAGATATGGGCTCGTAAATCAGAAACAAAAAATTGCTGACATGAAATTCAAACTATATTTGTTAGATATTCCCAGAAAACCAGGACCAGAAAATCGCAGGAAAAGATATCGCGACTAAACCTCTCTATGTCTGGTTATATTTCCTGTTGTTTGTTATTGTTTAAGTTTTGGGTTTGAAAATTGTGTAGATAATAGGGATGTTGATGACTCTTCTTGAGATGTTTTTGTAAAATAATGTAAAAGTGTTTATATATACATTAGGATTTGTTTATTGTACATTCGTAAACTTTTCAAACATTTTTGCCTTCATCTAGAGTACTTTTATTTTCTTGTTTTACTCTATGCTACGATGGTCAGCTCTGCTTTAATCTATTTTGCTCCTATCCCTACTGTTCTGTTCGTTGCTGTTCTCTTCTGCTCTCTTCAGCTTTGCTCTGATCTGTTTTGCTCTGCTCTTTACTGTCCTGTTCTGTCACAGAAATTTTGTTTTGATACATTGTTGCATCTGTTTTAGAGTTGTGCCCCTTGCTAGTTATAAAAACAATTTCATTGTAAGGGATTTGCTTGATCTTTGCTGGAGTAATTAACACACCTATTTCTTGCAGTGCCCATTGTTTTTGTGATAGATGAAATGATTTCTGTGATGTTTGTTATTTCAATGATTTTTGGTTTTCAGATAAAAGCTTGTTGTATTTAGATCATGTTAGCTTTGGCATGAAACCTGGAACCAATCATGAGTCAGATACCATCCCCCAGCTATCCCGGGCATGCAGAAAGTTTGTGAGTACATAGGCAAATAGCTGCCTATCTTTTATACCTGCATTATCACACATATACACACCTTTGTAAATCTGATATCCTTTCTGATTTTAGAATCCGTAATTTGTTTAAGTCAGTGTTTCTTATATAAAAATCTAAGTTCATTGGGTAATTTTATTTTTTCATCTGTTTTTATCTATTTTTCATTACTTTTGAAGTTTAGTATTCACCTAGTATTCATTCAATTAAACTTTGGGCTTAACTTTTATTTGGTGATCAGAAATGATTGCAGTTTTTATACTTGTTTGTTTGCTTGTGTATGATAGGATATCTAAATATAATATTAAGTAAAAATATTTGTTTTTGATTGGTCACTATCATATTTTTAGATAGCCATTGACAGAAAGTTTGCCTTACATTTCACAAACCATTTATAGATAAAGAGGTCCCTATATCCTTTTATGTATTTTAACTGCATTTACAAAACTAATTGTGTGCAATATTTGCACAAATATAGTGAACTTTCAGTGAATATTGCAGGCATCTGGTTTGTTTTTTTGGTTAAGGGCACTTTGTCCATTCAGTCAACTGTTCAGAGATAACAATAGGCTTGGCACGGCATTTATGATGAAGAAAACATTGCAACTACGTCTTACCTTGCTGATTTGATGCCTAACAATAGTTATACAATAAATCCTTGAATTGCCCCCCCCCCCTTGAAGAAGCCCCCCTTAAATAAGCCCTCACACTAGAACTACAATTTGTCATTAACCCCCTCCCCTCAAATAAGCCTCTACTCCTACTGTAAATTCTCAAATTAGACCCCTCAATTTGACGATTTTTGCCATCTGAGGTTGCATATGGCGTTTTATTGAATTACCACAAGAAATTCACACTTTTGGTAATAATTGATGTAATGGTCCTAAAGAAATTCCTATTAAAATTAATGAGGTCTTTTTTTACCCCCCCCCCCCTCCAAAAAGTTCCCCTCCAAAAATGTAAAAAAATAAATAAGCCCCCTGGAGGCTAATTCAAAGATTGACGGTATCGTGTAGCCTTTCCAATGTAACATTCAAATGGCCATCAAAATGCATCAGGACATAAGGCCTTTAACTACAGATAGGTTCACAACGAAAATTTGCATTTTGTATAAATGTGCAAAATAAAAGAAAATTATAATGTTTAGTAGCACAGTTTATTTGCTAACTGAGCTTAAGTAGTTTCAGTTGTACCTTTGGTATGTATTTTTTCTCTTCTCTACATTTAAGCCATTATAGCACACCAATGGCACGAGGCCAAGGACATTCTACCCTGAGAAAGTTTCTTGCAGACCTTAGTAAGTGGTTAACAATGATTTCAATTCTACAAAGAATGATTGCATATTGACACCAGAAGCAGACACTTGGTCAAATACTGGGGGCAAGCCTATTCTTTTAATAAAATGACATAATATTTTTCCATTGTTTTAGAACAAAAGACCATTGTCCTCCAAAGTACTGGGGGTGACTGCCCCCCTTTTCCCCTACCCTGCAGGTGTCTGCCACTGATTGACACTGCTGTTGAAACAAGTAGGAAAGGGAAAGAATTTGAAGACACTGCTTTATAATATACTGCTCAGATTATAAATTTTGGGTAGTTAGCCAAAGGTTGTTGAGAATTTATATCATGGTGAAGATTGAAAAAGACAAGGAGGCATTCGATGTACTCTCTGTTCCAGCAAGTCAATGCCAATTTTTTTACATATATTTAGAGCCCCACTAAATTTTTTCTGAGAAAAGATGGGTGCCAGTGACATGACCAGGTAACCTGCTCACACTTTCTGTTGACATGTTTTTCCCCAAATCCTGTTCTCCAATCACTTAAAATCTTTCAGTAAGCTTAATTTCTTCATTTTGATTACGTGTGTTCCTATCCATGTGATTTACTATGTGATTGGGATTTTCTGTTAGAAACAGATTAAATGACTGCTATGAATTCTTCAAGTGTTCAGAGATTATTTTTGTTTAATTCTTTGATTAGTTCTCAGAAACAAGTTGGATTCTTGTAATGCCTAACAATTACATCCATCTTTAATTGTTTTGAGATTTGATGTTTGGGTATAACAGTGGATTGTCTTAATCTGTCTGGGAGTCAGTTTTGCTATTTAGACATATCTGATTAATCCAGAATCAAGCAAAGAAAAGAGCTTTGTAGTTTATTTCTTGCTTTGGATGATATTACCACATACACCTATGATATAATTGTTGGTTCTTAATATTGTTGCCTTGCCGTAAGTTTATGTCATTATTGAGACAGCAATTGATGTTTGCTTGATTTCGTGGAACCTTGTCAAGGCAAGTGAGGAGATGGGAAAGAGAAGGGAAAAGCTAAAAATATTTGTGGACAGTGTCGTATGCTCATGAATCATTAATGAACTTTTTTAAAAACTGGAAGATAAGACAAAGATAAGACAGATTAGACATTAGAGGTCATCAATGCATCATAATTTAAAAAAAGCTAGCACTGTTTTATTCTTGAGACGGAAGATAAACAAAAAAGGCCGGTAAAGTATGTCAAATGCAAATTGAAATGCTAATTTGATAAGCTAAAGACTTTCCTGAGCCAGTAAGTTGCAATGCAAGTGAATGATTTTTATGCTATAAGGTAGACCAGGCTTCTTCCCCTGTTGCTTGCACAGGAATAAACCCTGTTGGACATAAGCAGAATGACATTTTTAATTTAAAAAACAAGGTTATGAAGAGGGACATGTTTCCCTTGCATATAAATTTTTATTGTCTTGGCAGTAGGCCCTAAACAGCTTCTACTTGATAGCTTTCGGATACATTACTACATTAATCTTTTGGGCATCTGCAGCAGTTCTCATCAGCAGGAGCTACTTTAAACATTCCTTGCCATCTTGCTTCACAAAGAGAAAAAAGTTTAAAAGTGCAAAGATTGCTCAGTGGTTAGAGTTGCAGACAACAGATCCAAATGTCTAATTGTTGAGTTTCTGCCCTGACCAAAGGTTTACTTGGGGGTGAAGAGAGTTATAAGCTCTCTGTAATTAAGGGTGTGGGGATCACAAGGAATGGTAATACCGAGAGCAAGAAATAGGAGACTGCCAGAAACTTGCAATAGGATTAAACAAAAGTCATATTATATATATATCTCAGAAATGTGCTAAAAAGATGCAAGATTTAAATTAGTAACCTTTGCTTGCTGAGATTATGTGGCTTTAAATTAACCAGATTACTATAGCAACATTTTTTGGAGAATTAAAAGTAAAAATTATTGCCTGTTTTTTCCCATTAGTGTTACATGTGTCAGCTTTTGAATCTCAAAGCAAACAGGAAGCTCTCTGTGAATTTTAGCTGTGTTTGATATATTGATGTACTTCACAAGTTTCTTGGGTCTTCAGGATTATCTATAACAAACATTTAATTTGGACAATCCTTGATTGAAAATTAATGTTTTGCCAGTCCGTCATAAAGTGCTCCATGCTGTGTAAGCAGAATGGTAAAACAGTAATTTTGTATTATATCTTTTAACTTAGTGTCGACCTTTCATATGTCAGCCTAAATGATTCCATTATAGTTTTTTTGGGAATTTTTTGACGTTTTGTTTGCACTGCCTTTAGAAAAAATTATTTAACGATCAAATTCATAATCAAATCTTTTCAATTGATCTTTTGCAGAAAGTCGAAATTTTGATTCCATCAAATATGCCACATACAGAACAGCAGCAAAGTTGTTTTACATCCAGCGCTCAACCAACTGTAAGTGAAGTTTTGATTTCGTCGTCAACAGATTTATTAAGCTCCCAATGAGTATACAGTTTTCTGGAATGTTCAATTGAGCCATATTTCTTTAAAAACAATTTCACCCAGGGGTGGCATTGCCAATTGTTATCAAGAATTTTTTATTTGATTGTTGTTTTTGTAAACACAAGCATTTACTGTTAGCTGCTTGACACAATAATAACGTGAGTCTTTGAACTATTTCGCAAAAAATATTTTGGGAGGGGGGCTTTTTCCAAGGGGAGCTTATTTAAAGTCTGGCGTATTTAGCAGCAGCCAAAAATATTTAAGTTTTCTTTTAGGCGCTAGTCAGTAAGCTCGAAAATGCCAATATATTGGTATAAATCTATTGTTTTCTAGGCAATACCTTAGTTCATGGGGGCATATTCAATGGTGGGGCCTTATTTCTCAAAAATTACTCCAGAGTAGGGGCTTATTCGAGGCGGGGGGGGGGGGTTCTTATTCGAAAGCATGGGCTTAATCAAAGAACTACGGTAACCTTGCTTTATGATGACTGGCTCAGTGTAATGGTTTCTCTGGAGGCAAGGGGTTTCTGATTTTGGCTTGTTTCTCCTTGTCAAGCAGTGCCTGCCACAACTCAACTGAGCCCTTTGGACAGGGGTACTTTCTTTTCCAATCACTAGAATGTCAGCACTCTGTTTTAAATTGCTATTTTTTATGTTTGTTAGCATCATGTTTAGAATGTTTATTGATGATATCAAGGTTCGCCAACTTGTAGTGCATTACCTTGTCCACGGAGGAACACCCAAAAGGTTATTTGGCGGCCCACCTGATCCAATTCAGTAGGGCCGCAGTCAGGCGGTCAGGGCCCCGAGGCAAAGAATATAGTCCGGTCCCCAGAGGCGGAAATTTTCGGGTCCAAGCCCTTTTAGGTGGCGAACGCTCTTTGGCTATGGTATACGGACTAAGTTTGCATTGTTACGGCTGCCCCCTCCCCCCCCCCTCTGTCGGCGGTGCTTCAATTCAACTGAGCGGAGATCTGTTGTAGGATGGTGGTATATAGAAAACATATCATTATTTTTCAGTGAATCTGATCGATATCTACAACATGATTGAAGCCTTTAGAGAGAATGGCCTTAATACACTTGAGTACAATGCAGAAATAGACGAAGCTCGCCTGGAGTGCATAGTTGCAAGTGTTTTCTATGCCCTTTATAAGAGGTTGCCATCTTCCAATGATATAGATGTGGAGAACAACATTGTTAGCCTAACTCAATGGATTATGCATGCCTATGATCGGTGAGTTTTTCTTATAAATTAGTAAATGAAACTAGCTTTTGGCAAGCCCTCAATGTCATATGTTTACATCACATACAGGAAGCTGAAAAGGGTATGAGCCATAATGAGTTTCTGCATTTTATCATTTTCGCTATTGCAAAAGTAAAAGAATAACAAATCCAATGTCCTATATTCTAATCAAAAATCTACTTTGTTTTTGTTTGTTTTGTCATTTTTTAGAAAAGATTTGCACTTTTTAGAATTGAATTAAGTATTAGCTTTTTTCTGCTAATTGAGTATATAATCAACTCAGTATGTTTCTACATTAGCTGCATAGCTTGCTCAATTGTTTGTTTTTCTGATGTAATAGCAAAAGGCCGATGACGTCACAACCTCCATCCCTTGTTTTGCTAACGGATCATCGAATGCATAATGATTCTGAGCTTTACATCGCTTAAAATCAAAATTGCTGAAATATTTTTCAGCTGTTGAACTTTTTTTTGTAGACTTAGACAGCATGCTGCTAACAATCTCAATTAAATTTCAGGATTTTCTAAAAATTGGCTTTCAAATTTGAATCTTTCGTCGCCAAATGTAAATTTTTAGTCCAAAATTTTTTTATTTTACGAAACTAACTTTTGTTGCAATGCCTATACATGAATAATGCTAATTTTTTAAAATGTTTCATAAGAAATAATTCCGGAAGAATTCGAGTGATATCCATAAAGACTGCACTCACGATGTTATGCAATGGAAGACTTGTTGACAAAATGCGGTGTAAGTTTGCTGTTTCAGTTATTATTCTCTTCTCGATAATAAGAACCGCCACGAATAAAAAATGCATATTCTCTGAAACAGTCGACAAATTCTTGTTGAAAATCAGATAATTAGACAAATCCGGTATTCATACTGAGGAGTTTGACAAATCCGGTATAAGATACTTCCTTTTAAAGACATATCCAATTTGTTAGATTACATAAACGTTTCAACTCTATCCAGAGTCATCTTTAGTTTATATTAAAGGGCGAAAAAACAACTATGAATACATCGGTTAAACAAAGGGGATTTAAAACCATGTGGTGAAGCAGTACGCTAGAGGAGCAATCAGGGTGCGAGAGAAGTCACAAGGAATGGTAAACAACCTAAAGAGATAAACAAGGAATAAAGGCACACCAAAGAAAACAATGCGGGAAGAAAAAGTTCTCATGCTAGAATTACATTTTCACAGTCTGAAATCCATATATAACTGGAAATATTTGAGTATTATATGTTTGATTCCTGTTGAAAACTTTGATTTTGGGCATGTCTCGATCATTTTGAAGAAATACATGTTTGATTTCTGTTTTTGACTTTGGTTTTGAAAATGTTTTAAACATTTTGAGAAAAACGTGTTTGATTCCTGTTGAAAATTGTGATTTTGGGCATGTCTCGATCATTTTGAAGAAATACATGTTTGATTTCTGTTTTTGACTTTGGTTTTGAAAATGTTTTAAACATTTTGAGAAAAACGTGTTTGATTCCTGTTGAAAATTGTGATTTTGGGCATGTCTCGATCATTTTGAAGAAATACATGTTTGATTTCTGTTTTTGACTTTGGTTTTGAAAATGTTTTAAACATTTTGAGAAAAACGTGTTTGATTCCTGTTGAAAATTGTGATTTTGGGCATGTCTCGATCATTTTGAAGAAATACATGTTTGATTTCTGTTTTTGACTTTGGTTTTGAAAATGTTTTAAACATTTTGAGAAAAACGTGTTTGATTCCTGTTGAAAATTGTGATTTTGGGCATGTCTCGATCATTTTGAAGAAATACATGTTTGATTTCTGTTTTTGACTTTGGTTTTGAAAATGTTTTAAACATTTTGAGAAAAACGTGTTTGATTCCTGTTGAAAATTGTGATTTTGGGCATGTCTCGATCATTTTGAAGAAATACATGTTTGATTTCTGTTTTTGACTTTGGTTTTGAAAATGTTTTAAACATTTTGAGAAAAACGTGTTTGATTCCTGTTGAAAATTGTGATTTTGGGCATGTCTCGATCATTTTGAAGAAATACATGTTTGATTTCTGTTTTTGACTTTGGTTTTGAAAATGTTTTAAACATTTTGAGAAAAACGTGTTTGATTCCTGTTGAAAATTTTGTTTTTGAGCATGTCTCGATCATTTTGAAGAAATATATGTTTGATTTCTGTTTGAGACTGTGGCTTTATTCTTGTGCTCGAAAAAAATGTCCCCTTGGTTCTTTGCTTGCCCAAATTTGTCTGGTTACTCAGAAATAATTTACCCCAGTTTGAAACATTGATTTGTTTCCCATTCTTTACCTCACTATTTTTAAATTTTGATTCAATCATTTACTGTAATAAATTGTAACATTTTTATACAGTTTTATAAGGAAGTGATAGATAACTTAAAACTTTATAGCTGTTTAAATTACCATAAAAGCAATATAACTACACGAAGTCTTATGGTAAAATCAATGTTACAAAAATTTCTTTTGAATTTCTTCTTGCAGACATTTTCACGCAAATTTCTGAATCAAGTGGTATTTTAAATGTATCAAGGTTCGAATTTTATCTCAGGGAACTTTTGACTGTAAGTCAAAGAAAATTTCTTTTTTAAATTAATGTTGCCGTTTTTATCTGTCAACTAACATTTTTTCAAGTGTTACCGACTTTTTTCATCCGGATTTGGAATACCGTAAATTCTCGAATTAGCCCCCTGGGTGCTTATTTATTTTTTATATTTTTGGATGGGGGCTTATTTGATGGGAGGGAGGGGTGCTTATACGAGGGAGGGGGCTTATATAATTATTGTAGACATTAAGAAGACATTATTAAAAGACCTCGTTCATTTTAGTAAGAATTTATTTATGAGCGTTTAACTAATTACTAACAAAAGTATGATTTTGTTGTGTTAATTCAATAAAACGCCATAGGCAACCTCAGATGGCAAAAATCATCAAATGGAGGGGTCCCATTCGAGAATTTACGGTAGCAGTGGCGGCTTATTCGAGGGGAGGGGGGTTATTGACAATTTTTAGTTCTAAGGTTGGGGCTTGTTCGAGGGGGGCTTTTTCGAGGGGGTGGGTAATCCAAATACAATATTTAAACAATGGCGATAAGGAAAAGATACTTACTGAGTGCAATATGCTTCGAATATCACTCTTGTTTAATTGACAATGCAAATCCAGGGCCCACGCCACGAATTTGAGAGTGGGAAGGGGACAAGGGTTGCAAAAGTGGGGAGGGGGCCATGGCAACCCCCCTCCCTGGTGGCGTGGGCCCTGAAATCCTGTTACTGTATGATTTCTCTGATGATAACAATGTATGTTTGTACTCTGCCAAAGCAAACCTAACTTTGTTTTTGTGTCACTAGCTGCCTGCTGCCGTTGGAGAAGAACCAAATTTTAGTTATGAGGAAGGTGGTTATCAAGAATTTTTTAAACCCAGTGGGGTAAGTTTTTTCATCATTATCATCATCATTTGTAAATCACCCTCATCGTCAATCATCTTTGTCCATCTCGTTATCGATTGTCATCAATTATCATCATTTCATAGATCATGATCAATCGTCATCTGTTCTCTTATCGTTATCATCAGTAATCAATCTCAATCATGGTTGACAATCATGATCGTTAATCACGATCGTCAATCGTGATCATCAATCGTCATATTTTACCAACACGATGAATGTATGTCGGCAATATTCCTAAGCCATTCTTTTACCCCGTTTGCCATATTGGTCATATTACGCTTACCTTGAATTGTTTTCTCCAGTATCAATAATAATGGTAGTTATGAATATAATGATTACATCTTCAGAGATCATTGATTGTTTGAATTTGTTGAAGTTGATGCAGGATTTTATGAAACAAGATAGGCCTACTTATGATATCTTTAATCGATGTTTTGGTGGTACAAAACTTGAAAATGGCTTTGAAAAATGCAAACATTGGAGTAAACTAAAGCTTTTTGCTGCCACTCTTCAGAGTTTAAAACGTCAGAACATAGATCGAAAACTCTACGCTAGAAATCTTTAATCATGAATATTATTTGGTGACTTTTGCAGATGATGGACCCAAACAGTGCCAATTTGGAGCAGTTTTTGCAGTCAATGATAGCAGAACGAGCTTCTGGTACTTTATTTTGGGTTCACATGTTGCACAAGCTAATGCGTGCATATGCAGGTATGTTTTTATAAATTAATATAAGTTATCTTTTGTTAACAAAATCTATAAATTTGTTATTCCTTGTTGCTTGTAGGCAACTACAGTTGAATAAATTGTATTTTAGCAACGCACGCTCTTTGAATTGGCAGCGAAGGCTGAGTTGCATATCTGAAGTTGTTTGATATTGGAATTACTGACCATTTCAAGCGCTTATGAGTCGGCTCAAACTTGTACACCATTCTAAATAAATGATTATTTTTTGGCTCTTTTTTCACGATATAAACTAGTAAGAGAAATTCCATTTTTTATTCTTTTTTTAAACGCTATGAAATAAATGTATTTAAGTGACTGCTAAATCCTCCAATCACCTTAATATTCCAAAAAATACCATCATATCGTTTAAAAAAACTGACCAGTGGATGATAAAACATTCCAAAAGTGACAGGTTAATGCTCAGGCTCGTCGTATTCTCTCTTTTCTTCACTCAAAGGGCCTACAGATATAAGAAATGCAATGTAAAAGCATGATCTTGGTAAAAGCTATACGAAGGGTAATGGCCATGTCCTGGGGATTCTAAAGTGCCTAGATTCGATTTTGTGATGATTTTGTGCCTATAATATTTGAACAAAGAATAGTAATTTCATGCAAGATTCTACTTGTTCTATTTATAAGCTACAACTTATGAATTTGAGGGTAGTGAGTAGAACATAGCCAAAACGGAACATAAATGCCATGTTGATGAAAACAATATAGACTGCAACAACTACCAACTAAAAAGTGTTAGCTGTAGATGCCTTTCAACATGGGTTTAAATAGCCCTTCAAGGATTAACCCTAACGCTCGGTAATTATCCCTTTGATCCAACTCGAGCAATTCTCAGGATCTGCAGCTTCCTAAACGTAGTGCAGAATTTTTCAAAAAGAGTTTTCATCATGCATTTTCGAAAGCCTGGAATGATACACCTTCAGGAATTCGTGAGATACCGACTTTAAGTCGTTTTAAACAAAAAATAAAAACGCGTTTGAGGGGTTCACGACTCCCTGTAACATCAGCAGATTAGGGACTAGGATTTTTGGCTTTTTAGATGTATATAGATTTAAATATTTAATTTAAATCTTAGAGTGTAAATTAATAAGTAAAGTTTGTATTTTATTTGCTCAAGGGTTTTTTCGTGTACGAATGAATAAAAATGAATGAAGGAAATGAGCCATTTACAAATCATGTTTATTGTCCACCCTCAGGCCAACCATGATAACTTTGTATTCCTGAATATGTCATTATAATGTCATGAAGTGATAAATAAACACAACAAACTTTCCGTTTTCTAGATCTTTTCCTTTTACAAACAAATCTCTAAACCACAGCAAAAATTATCAACTCTCTTGCACGAGCTTACAACCAAAAACTGAATACGCCCCCTATAACAAAACAATAGATCGTCCCTAGGTTCCAGTCCACAATACTTTACGTCATTACATAACACTATTTTCTTCTTCTTGTTCTGTTTAACGATATTTTAAGATATTTTTCAAGCATTCTACAATCGTTATCTGTTTAAAAGTAACATAATTAGAGCTTTGATGTTTAAGGACCTCTTATCTGTAAATGTGAACAACGTAACTGTCAAACCTTGAGTTTCAACTGTGCTAACAGTATATGGAGCAACAGTCCATTCATGTCTACTAACTTATTTTGCAGTTGAACATCAGATACAATGCAAAGCTTGTGGCAGAAAACCGTTTAATGGATTAAGGTAAAAGTTGTAGTAAACTGTTCTGAAAGCAAGGCTTATGAAAGACCAGCTTTAATTTCAGGCTTGCATAGGCGTCGTTTTGCCCTAATGCTCCTGAAGCTTTCATCAGTTTTCTTAGGTATATGTTTCAGAGTTTATACAACCCAAGGCCGTCTCGGATAAACATGTGCTGGTCACGCCCATCTCGGATGCTTCTAAGACAAGCTGTTTTGCATCAGATTTGTGAATCGACATGATCCATAAGAAGATGTATAATGTTCTATATTTTTTCTTATGGATCGAAGTCTTCATCAAAGCACGTTGTATAACCATTTTATCAGATTACAGAAGCTGCTAGTTTAAGCTGTTGTTCATAGATTTATAGCTTGATACACTCTTTTTTTATAATTTCCAACCTCGATATTCTTAAGAAATTTTTGTTTTTCTAGTGATTTATGGTCTATCTGAAAAATTAATGTTTTATATTTTCGTTTTGAGCCTGAGTATATCCTTAAATAATTTTTATTTTTCCAAATCTGATATGTTTATAGAGGAATAAGTCCGCCCTTGAATAAAAACCACGCTTTTGAATGATTCTGAGTCTGAATATTCTTATAAACAATATTCTTTTAAGAAAAGGAGTGTAAACAGAATAACCAAACATTTTTATGACCTTAATCTTTCACTTAAAGTTTTCTAATCTCTTATCTGTTTCCCACTCTGATGAGCCCCCCTTCTGAACCTCAAAAATTTGGAACCCTCCTCCTGGGGCCTTATAGCGATTTATGGTGTATCTGAAAAATTAATGTTCTGTTCTAAATTATTATTAAAGCGAGATCAAAAATCTTTATTCTTCCTAGATACAAGTGTCTGGAATGTTATAATTATCACATATGTCAGGTAAGATATTGCGTAAACGTTGATTATTTGCTTTTTTTTAGTATTACATACCCCTAAATTCAACGCATTTTTTCTCTTTAAAGTCAACTATGGCTAGCTAAGCCGATAGGTACAAAGAAACCATGGTAAGAAATATTGCATAATTATTGTTTAAAAATGGCGGACAGTGGCCAGTAGCTGGCGAAAGAGGATGGTCGCCTCCCCCCGAATGTTTTGGAAGACAATGGTCTTTTCAAAACAATAGGCTTGCCCCCCTTATACTTGGCGAACAAGTGTCTGCCACTACCGTTTACCTATATGTTCTTGTGTGGCCGATGCCAAATTGACAGGGCTGCATATGCTTTGGTTCTAGAAGAGGATAGTTCTAAGATAAACGTTGTTACGTCTAGATATCGCCGTAGATATGTCATCTCGTTATAAGAATTTGTTTAGAGATTAATACTTTATGATCCTTTTAAGAAGCCCTTAAAATTGGAGCAAAATGCATGTTGTTCCTCTAGTGTAGTGGACAACACGGTTGCCTCTCGCCACTGTTTGCAGACAAGTACTGCCGCGTGCTTTTTGGGTCTCATTCCCTGCATAAGTGCCAGAAAGCTAAAGAAAGAACGTAATGATTGAAGCATGCATTGAATTGATAAAAAGCCTGAATATTCTTAAAGTAAAAAGAGTACTAAATAAGTACGTTTAAAAATTCGCTTACATATTTTAACTGATGCTGGCTCCATTATTCAAATATTTATGCATATTCTTGAATAATTATTCTAATTTATCATTTCCGAGTCTTGCCAGTTAAAACCTTATTTCTTTTTTATATAGTTGAAACCGAAATTTTCATCAAACTGTTTAGGCTTGGCACGTGCAGGATCGGGCATTTCGTACTTCAGACAAATACTTGAAGTAATTTCTCCTTTTTAGGACTGTTTCTGGCGGGAAAAAAAATCTGGCTCTCACACCAGTGATCACGACGTCAGAGAATATTCAACATGGGTGAGTTGCTAGATGTATTTTGATTATTTATGTACGCGCAAATTTTTATCAGGCTCATGGATTTGGAGGTGAAGGGCTCTTTGTCGGTAATTATTGTGTCTGCCTGAATAAAGCAATATTATTAAAGAAGGCAGTCAGAACACAATGATTCTCCGGCCCTTTCATTTGAATAGTTAAAAATGCAAGCTAATAATTTTTTCCATTTTATTTTCTGCCTTGCTGCTGTCTCACCCTTTTCCAATTCATCTCTTTCCTCTTTTTCTCTTACCCATATTGTATTTCCATTTCCTTTATTCCCACACTTCTCCTCTTTTCTCTCTCCTCCCATTCATTTTCTTTTGCACCCCCTCCCCCCTCCCACAATGAAACTGTACCTCCTTCTCTTTTTGTTGATTTGTTGGTCTAACACCATGGGTAAACGTGAACACCCTCTCTGTGCTTGATATCAGGACACAGCAAATTACTCCGACTTTGACTGTACTTTCATTTTTTCGGGCACCCGTTTATCAAAAACCTGTGTTCTAACCACCGGAAAGAAAGTTGATTGTTAGCTACTCGATGTACGATAGAAAGGATTTGACTCAATTTCTGTTGGTCACTCGTGAAGTAATGCGAAGCTTTGATGGATTATCTGAATCGCCTGCCTATGGCTAGAGCTGGTCGTGTGATCTGCAATATGTTTACATCTGGTCGAGCTATTATGTGTTGGTCATAGTCGAGAAAACATAATCAATGGCAAAACTTGTTTGTTATGTCTGAGTAAATGGCTTCTTCTGTGTGTAACAGTGCGTCAGGCTCCCCATGGATGCGGAGAATGAAGTATGCACGAAAGTCCATCGAGGTATACGCGTTTCTTTATAAAAAACCCTTTTTGTAAGGGAAATTTAGGAATGAGGAACTAGAGGCTTATCATTAAAGGCTTTTGCGCAACCGACATGCTTAGCGGCAATTGTTATGATAAATTGAATATGTTTTGTATTTTCATGCAGTACGATATTACGCCTGTATTTTCAGTTATGTTTGCAAGGCGCGCCGGTTGCGTAAAAGCCTTTAAATGAAGCTCTTCCTGTTGTCTATTGAGATACACGTTTTCTTCATGGGAAATTCGTTTGAAAAAAACTCAAGTCGGGAACGTTAGGAATTATAAATTAACACGTTCTTAAGAAGCCTGTGTGCAAGAAGCACTAGAAAATGAATTTGAATGCTTTACCTTCTTCCCTAGCACGCCATATTAGTCAGTAACAGTCGTTGCATCTAAATTTTTTAGAAACTATTAATAAGTATTGGAAAATGAGACAGTAAATTTTGAGCTTCTAGATTTTGAACACCTTAATTTTGAATTCAGGATTTCTAAGAGATGAACCTTTCGTTGTGCTCTATGGAGAGTGATCGCGAACTTTGACAAATTTTTGAAATATCATGCAGTTTTGTACAACATTTTGTAGCTATCAACAGCATTTGAAAGTTCATTTTACCTGCCAAGACTAAGATAAATGAGCTATGCATGAGTATGCTTAGGATACTCTGTGATGTTAACTAGCTTTATTCTAGAAATTATATTTGTTTGTAGAGGTGTAACAACTTGTTGGGCAGTCTGGAGACATGCAGTCTTCAATGCTACTAGTAAAGTGATTTGCATGATGTAATTTAAAAAATATGATAATAATAATGATTCAACTAACGGCTACACTAGTTAATATTATATGTTTGAAAGAAGGCTGTATCTAATGTAAAGATTAAAAAAGAGCGGTAATTTTAATTGCCGTAGCTTAGTCATCCAGAAAAGGTTGCTTGCTTTAGGCCCTCGATAGTTTGATCACGTAATACAAAGCTAAAAAAGTTATAGCAGAAGCCCTGTTGTTGGTATTTTTCTGCTGATCCGTTACTGCATTTATCGATTTGATTTAATTTGCTTTCATTTCATTTCATATACTACAGGGCGGTATCCCTTCAACAATTGTTGAATTTGTAAAGGCACTCCATATGAATGCAATACATTTTTAATGCTTTAATGATAAAACATAATTAAAATGATAAAAAAAGCTAATTACAATATTAGATAAAAGCAATTTTAAATCGATGTGCTTGAAAATGTTAGTTTTGATAATGAAAAATCTACAACAACCTCCCCCCCTCTTTCGCCCCTCAGACCTCAATTTTAAGTTGAAAGTTTTAGTTGTGCCACTGTATTTGAATTTTTTCCGTTATAGAATAAAGGAGAGAAAGGGAATTCGGTAAGACGAAGATTTCTATGTTCCCCAACAAGAACTTCGAACAAGCTACCCGATTACCCGAAGGAGCCAGAGCCAAACAAGACCCTTGACATGAGCAATATAATGTAAGTTCCATTTCCTCAAATCCATTTTGCTCATGCTTTGTGGATGCCTAGTTTGAAGATTCAACAACTTGTTTTTATTCAGTTCTCAGACTTCCATTCTGTACTTCTATGTTATGCAAAGATCTTTCAATTTTCAGTTTCCTAGGCAATATCTTTATTGAATCGACTGAAAGAGAAAAACCGATTCCTTTTCTCGACTTTGGTTAGCAACGGCTGTCGTCGTTCCCCTGTGCGTAATTTATGCAAGCTCCTGCGCATCAGACGCTTTGTGCTCTATAAAATCAGATGCAAATATGGCGTCGTCAGATTTGTATTTAGCACGGAATAGCGGAAATATATCATACTTGTAGTACTTTCTGTACAACACTCTTTAGCGTACAAACGTCGGATGATGTTTAAAGATAAGCAGAAAGTTCTTTCTCAAACGCGCCAGACTTCATCGCACGTTTTTTATTGATCTTACCTTTGGATATTTTTCGACATCTGAGGTGACGCGGACGAAATCTACTTTAATTATGACATGCATCTGCTTTTTCGTGGTATTTTCAAAATAATAAGTAAAAGTTGAATAATTATTGTGGTCCGAAATCTTCTTCCTTTTGTTTTTGAAAGTGTTTATTTACATCGTCAATAGAAAATCAGCAGGTAGTATTGTAAAGCAATGTAAGTTATTAAGGGACTTATTTTGATAGTTACTGAATTGCATGTTTTCAGTGTCCTATATTAGTTTTGGTCAATTCTATCAGGAATTCGGAATATTATTACTTTTTTCTCAACTTTTTTGTATGAGTTGAATTCATACTAGACGTTCCCAAAGTCTTTTTTTTGTGAAATCCGTAAGGCATTCGTACAACTGCGAGGGCATATCTAAACTGCGGAGGAGGCGATAGAATCCGCAGTTTAGATATGCCCTCGCAGTTGTACGAATGCCTTACGAATTTCACAAAGAAAGACTTTGGGAAAGTCTAAATACATCCAAGTTAACTCACAAATAGAGAGTAAGAATACTGGCCCTGTTAATACGTATTGGTATTATTCAAGTATCTAAAAAAAGAAAATTTACCAAGCTATCACCACTATCATCTTCCGTTTATTACGATATTGAATTACCCGTTTATGATCTAGATATCTTTCAATATCTTTTGCTCTTTGGTCTCTACTCAATGATCGCAGATAAGCAATCGACCTGGCTTCTTTCCTTATCAGTGGCTATTACCAAGATCTTTTTTCTGAATTTCAATTTATCTGTTTGTTAAAGTTTAATCGACTTCTGACTCAAGCTCTTAGTGTCTGTCTGGGGTTTATTTTCTTTTATTCGTTAGTGATTGGAAACTGCTTGTGACCTTTGGTCACGGATTCTTTCCTTCTATTAATCCATGACTAGGGACTTTTTTGACTGAGAATTAGATAGATAGCCAAACATTGTAATGTTTTGTATGACATTATTCGACCAAGCAGCGCTTTTAGAGATTGATCACTGGAAAGATTGAATCTGAGAGCCTATTCAAGGAAGAACTTTAGCTTCGAGAATTGATGCACAGGTTGAGTCGATGCTTCACATTAAATGGCATCATTATTTGAACAAATAGATTTTAGCCCTTTAGAACATCATTGTTAAAAAATCAAACGTGTCAAATTACCCTGAAATATTATTTTGTACTTCGTGCAGTTGGCCCCTTTTAACTGGAGCACTTGACACCAAAGTATCTTGAAGAAAATTCTTCTTTGCAGAGAGACGTCAGATTCACTCTGGTCTGGTGTCTGGCTATTTCTGCTTTGATGAAATTGCTTTAGCGTATTATTTTTATAGATAATATATTGAATCAAAGCATTGCAGGCAATAAATTCTCGTTGCCTAGTCAATCACTTCACACCGGGTTTACTAAATACAGGTCTCTTCGACAAAGTAAACCAAGATTTTGCGATTTCATTTTTTCAAATATTGCTTTTGAAATATTCTATCATCTTTTCTATTTATTTCGATCCGTCTTAGTGAGGGTTTTTCGTGTTCCACTTTCTTCTCATGCTGTTTCTCCTTAAATTCAGCTAAGAATTAAGATTTAAAGTCAATATGTGTTTTCCTTTTGTGTTGCGGGTATTCTTTAGGCTTCGTGGAGAAAACAAAAATGGCTTTCTCGGCTTAGGTACAACCAAACATTAATATTTAACGTGTGGTCTTCTTTGTGATGATATCTTTATTCGTATGTACATCTGCTCACAACAGGTAACTTTATAGTTTAGTTGCATATTGCATCTTATCAAATTGTATGCCGAATACGACATTTTATCTCATAACTGTTGCACATGCTCTGATTAGAGAAAGCTCTGCCCAGATTAAGCCCAGTGCTGGTCTTACGTCTGAACGGTCTTACCTCGTTGTCATGCTGTATATCTAGACATTCAAGATTGCGTTTGATTGATCGTGTAGCAAATTTACATAAAAGAATAGACAAGCAATGGATATTGGATAGGCGTCATGCTGTCGGCATTTTCAAAAAACTTGTGCCATGTGGAGCTGAATATTTAATGTGTGACTGCAAAATTTTTTCAAGAAACCTATTTCTCGCTGATATCTGATTTCATTCTGGATTGCTCTGCCCATACATTAAAGGAACCCGTTTCTAATATTGTATGAAGGTGATATTGTAAAACCTATGTTTGCCTTGTATCTTTGAACTGGACGTTGGAGGTACGAATTCGACCACTTTCAAAGCCTGGATCAACCAATATCAAAATGCTGCAAGCGACATATTTTTGCCCTTACAATTGATCTCGTATCGCCACACCCATTTCTGAACATTTTTGAATGGCCACCATCTTGGTGAGCTAAGAAAGAAAAATACTGTTTATTGGTGCTGATACTTAAGATCCCTATGGAGAATTTTCAGCATTGAACAGTGTGGACCCGTACAAGTTGTTTTTTATTGATACTTAGGACCTACAACTACTGGATTTCACACTGGATTTCGCAGACTTGTTATTTCCAATACTCCTGCCAGACATTAAACATATGTGACACATTTTATTCTGATATCCGGTGTCATCATGCTCAAACGTTCACAAAAATGCTATTTAGGATGTAAGATTCAAGCTTGACATTCAACTTTGCCAGTTTTCAGATGAATTTGTGCAACGCTTCTTGATAAGAAAGAACAGATTGATTACAGTGAAGTCAAGGATGGTTAGTTTTCTTCAGTTTAACTGCCGTAAATGTCCGTTCTATATGGACTTCATGATTATACGATAACATTAGAACTAGCAGTCAGTATATTTTGTTGTAACTACGAATTCACGATTGTTGTCGATACAAGGTCCAATTTCTAGATACGGTTAAGCCACGACCCACCTGTCTCTTGAAAGCTTGATAAATTCATCAACTGGAATTATTAGATGTGTGAATAGTTTTCCTTGAAGTGTACCGCAGAAAAGCTTTTTTGAAGTAACTCGTCGATTTGCTGTGCTTTATTGAACTAAGAAATGAATTTGCCAGCGGTTAAAGTTTCGAAAAGATTCAGAAGCTGATTTCAGCATAAACCATGTCTCAAACGTGGCTCAGTTCGTGTTGACGGAACCATGATACCGTTGATTATGAGGCAGAGAGAGTCTTCTGCTTTTTACTACATGCTAGCGCTAAGCTATCGGAAAGAAAACCAGACTTCCAAGAGATATGTAAAGGATCTTCGAGAGTTCCTTGACGTCATTATCTCTCAAGAAACTGCTCTGGGTTTGGTGTCACCGGATAAAGAAATGCACTACCCTGTACGCCAAGGAATTCAACGGTAATTTCTTATCCATTTAGAAACAACAGGAAGCATGTAGCCACAAAACGAGCTTATTAAATCTCTTGTTTATATTTGTCTCAAACTGGCTGGAGATTACAACTAATTAGGTTAAAAACAACATCGGTTTCGAGCGCTTAGGTGGAGCAGCTGGGATGTGCTCTGGGGTATTTGCTTTTCTATATTCTCTGCAATGTACATCAAGTATACCAAGATTTATATTCAGACAATTTCGTGCAGTAAATTTAGTGTTCATGTACATTCTGTAAACATGGCGTCTGAACCCGCTGCTCACATATCTTGGGCATCGTGCTCGTTTGGAATTTTTGTCGTATTTGCCCTGCGTTCTCTATGTACCTGCACTTCTGATGTTTCTTTCAGCATAACATCTGTAGATAGATACTGCACCAATGCCATTCTCTGTGATATTTTCTTATGCCTGTACCAATGTGCCAGTCTTTTGCTTTTTTTGCACAGAAGACAATGTCTTTTGCTTTTTTTTCAGTACCCGTTCCATTTCTGCGCATGCGTTCACATGTTATAGGCTGGAGTAACGAGACTCCCTGTCCTGATTTCGATTGATTTAGGATGCATTTGTAAAATAGATATTTTTATATCTTAATATTTTTGTATTATTTTTGTTTTCCCTAAGCTGTTAAAACTTGACCTTTGTATTTTCAATCTGTTACAATGGGAGTTTCTCTAGCTTTTTATCAAATCGCTGTATTTTTCTTCGGCATTGACTAACTCTCCAATACCCTTGTTTATAGAAATCCAACCTAAAGGAAACTTTCAGGCACCGCGGAGTCTTAAGAAGGGTGGGGGTCTAAAATAGTGGGGGTGGGGTGCTAAAACCGAATAAAAAGATGCTTTACTGATGGTTATTCTCTTGAAATTGTGCATTTTTTGCAAAAAGTACAAACTTTTAGTCAAGTGATTTGCTGTCCAACCTTTCTATTTATGTTTATTTGAAGAATTTTGACCGGTTAATTTGCGGTTGATATTCTTCTGAAATGTCGACTTTTATTCTAATGCGCGTGTCTTTACTTTCATAGCCCAGCCATGCCGCCAGATATTGCTTCACCAATGGGAACGATGAACAGTCGCATGTATTCAGATCATGAAAGCCCAAACAGCACTTTATCATTTAAAAGCTCAAATGGTGAAGTAAGCGGTATCATGTCCCAAGAATCCGTGGGTCGGTAAGTAGCTTTAAGACCGGACTATGTTGTTATAAATCCATCTGACTGCAATAACCCAGGCTTGAAATCAGCTCTTGCGCATGCGTGATATACATTACCTCTTGTCGTTGTCGAACGGGATCAACTTGAATACACATGGTTGAATCCCGTTAAATTGGACCTTCAAGACATGTAAGGAAGTTGTCTATCTCAGCGAATATCAGACATGTCCGGGAAACGACTCTTGTCTTTAAAAATACAGGAATATCCAACGGGAATGGAAAAATCAGCCCGGTTTGATGAACCGGTTTGATGGAAATCCCAGTCATAAGAGCTACAACTTGACGGGATTCAACAGTATAAGCATGAAAACCTGAGCGCCATCATTTAAATCATATACAGCTGGTTAATCTTCACCTACGTTTGATCCAGGTTACCCACATTATACAGGCGGACTTTTACTTGCACCGGCCCTGGTAATAAGTTTATGTTGAAAAGCAATCACTATTTTACCTTGACATATGAGAGAAAGCTTTTGGCTCTCCTATGAATATGTTTTTGTGAGAAAATTTGAAAGCGGCATGTCGAAGGGTTAGAAAAAACGACGTGTTCGTCAATAAAGGGGATTTAAATCACCAAAATGAAATTTTGAAGACAAGGATCCACACGTCTTGGAAAAACTGCTGATAAATAGGTTGATCATGAACTTTTTTAGCAATTTTTAATTGATCTTTCTGAATAATATTAATTATCTTTACTGTTAATTTATGTAGCAGGCTTTAGGTATCTGATATAGATGATTTACACGAGGCTAATTGATTTTTCTTCTTCGGTTTTGCACGGGTATCTCCATTTGCTTCTCGTGTAGACCTTTGCTACAGCACAATTTTATAAAATTCAATCAAGCACAACATATTTTCTCCCCCGTTACTTTCCAACCGCCTCTGGTTGTATAATTCTGCTTGCCTTTCGGCATTATCCGACATTTCTAGTACTTTTGTTTGCTAGTTCCGCCTCTCCGGGCTAACCGCTTTTCATTTCTTTGTCATATTTTTCATGCCTGCTGTCTTCCTCAAGTACAGCCTTTCCCTTTAGTTTTACTCTTGTTTTCTTCCTACCTTTCTTTCCTTCCCTCTTGGATTTTTTCGGTTATTTCGTCCTCTTCTCTTCATGTCTCATTACTTGCTATATTAAAACCAAATAATTACATCTTTTCCAAATTAATACTCTTTTCACCCTGTTTGTTCCCATTCCAGCAGTTGTGCGGCACAGTAATCTAACATAGTGTTTACAGACTTTTCGTGCCCCACAAATATGATAACTAATATAAGATGAAAAGCGATTGGTAAAATTCGGTGAAATATTTGCATAACAAAGGTCCCTGCATATTTGTGCGGCACGGACGACATACTTTAAAATCATCCTGTTCACGGGTCTTTGAATTTATTCTATTTTGATTTAATTCGTAGCTTTGGGCGTGAGAACGACCAGATGCGGTCCTGTGTTTATTGGGAGGAGAAAGTTAAATGTATTTACTTTAAGGAGAAAAATAAATGGTTATGATAAATTTGATTGTCTAATTTTAAGGACTGAAGACAATAACTCCTGATTGCCCCGCCCCTGATTGCAGTAAACATATAATGGGCAGAAGGCTATATAATATCGTGGATGTAAGTTTTGAAATGCCCTTGAACTTGAGGAAAACCTCATACTTTTAAACTAAAAAGCCAGATAGGGAAGACTCCCAAACGACGTTAAAGCCAAAAAGGAGGAAATATGAACAATAATTAAGGGGGGAGGAGTAACAAACGGGGTGAAAGGAGGGGGGAATGTCATTATTTGGTTTTAATACAACCAGTTACGAGACGCGAAAAGTAGGGGGAAGAAATAACTGAAAAAATCCCAGAGAGAAAGACAGAAAAGGGCGAAATTTTAGGGAAAGCGCGCCTGGTGAAAGACCGGGTTCCTCGCGGTAAACTTTGTTGTGGCTTTCATCTTCTGGGTTTCTCAGTTTCTGAAGGCCGACGATTACGCGTGCAAGGTTTTGTTCCTACAAATGCTCCTCAAAATGCATTAGAATATTGAAGATTCGCTCAGAAGTGCTTTAATGAGAAAGCATCTGGAATTAATCTAAACCAGTGAGCGCCATAAGCAGGTACCGGTGACGTCATGTTCAAATTTTCTTGCTGTTTGTTGATTTATAATATTGATTTGAAATATTTCTGTTTCTAGAATGGATGACGAACACCGCTTAATAGCAAGATATGCTCAAAAGTAAGTCCTTGATACTTTTTTCTCTAGTAATGTAAGTTTAGTTGATTTTGATTGTTCGGTTTCACATGTCTAATTCCCCTTGCTTTGTATTTATATCTTTGGTATAGCAAAACTTGAAAACGTTCAGTCAACACGTCATTCTTCGTCTCACATTAATTACAATCCGCTTCTTGATTTCTGCTTTCCTTTCAGCAATATCCGACGAGTATACTCTTAGGTTGGGTCGAAAATACTTTAATATCTCGCTTTGCCCTGCTTTAATTTTTTGTTTTGTTCTTCTCTCCTTTTTTATTTTCACAAGCAAAGCAATTTCGATAGTTGATATAATTCAATGGCTCGACCTCCACCATCATCAAAGAGGTCCTTGCACTTTTAGATTTGGCCTATTGACTATATTTTGGACATCATAATGATTCTGTAGACATTAATTCAGACGGCAGGTTTCCTTATCTGGGATTTCGTAGCATTTTCACAATCCTCTTTTATTTTGGCAAATTTATTTGGAAGTCAACATCAGTGTTTATGTTAAAGTTTTGTTTATGTTTTTGCATGACACAATGATCGGGGATAGCTCGGCTTTTAATACGGACATCGAATACGTCAAAACTTGTGTGCTACTTGTCTATAAGGAGTGTGATGACGCCAACGTTTTCAGCAAAGGACCTCTGGTCGTGTTAGAACCAAGATTTTGTGTGGCTTGGGAACTATAAGTGCCTAATCAAAAGCTTACCGCTTGTTTTCTTTCTAACAAATCATATGTAAAAGAAATTCACATATTTTAAGATTAATTTTTGTCAAGATACGAGATTATACTTGATGTTTCGTACTTTTCCATTAAATTGACTTGGTTCTCCTTTGTTTTGTTGAATATGAAATGGTAAAAACTGAAGGGAAGAATTGAAATACGATGTGATACAAGTATAACCTTCAGAGTGTGCCCTGTGAAATTAGAAGTAGGAACGATGACTTTGTTATGGCGTGTTGAAACTATTTTACAGAAAGCAAAAGCACACAAAGTTTTGTTATTTTACCCGGTCACGTTTGATTAAAGACTCGCGTTGCACGTACATGCAAGCAGATTGAAAAATAACTTTACGAAAAGAAGATTTGACCCCATTTTTATTAGCAGCATGTTGTAAACATCAAATGGTCATCGGTCATGCGTGCGACATGTACAGAAACAAGTATGCGAGTATTTGATAAAAAAAGCTATATATATATATATATTTATATATATACACACACACAAAGTTTCCCCTTACCTTGTCACCCAGACGATTTGCAGAATGCTAGAAATTTAAAAAAAAATTGAAAACCCTTTGAAATACGGTAGTATGAAATACTTGCTAAGTCTGGTATTACAGGACAAGAGAATGAGATTCCGTCGATTTTTTAAGTGTTTATGTATTACTTTTCATATCATGTAGTATAAATGAGTTTTTCTCTATTTAACCAGCATAAATTTTATTCTTTCAGGCTAGCAAGCCACAGCGCGGTAAGCTATCCCTGTTTTCATGTCATATCGTATTATTTTATATCATATATCATATATCATATATCATATATCGTATCGTATCGTATCGTATCGTATCGTGTCGTATCGTATCGTATCATATCGTGTCATATCGTGTCATATCGTGTCATATCGTGTCATATCGTGTCATATCTTAATGAAAGTAATAAAAATTGCTGTTTATTGGACTGTCATAAAGTGCTCGATGCCGTAAAAGCGTAGCTGCAGTGGTGTAGTGCTATCAAAATAACAAGGGGGGCTCTTGCACAAATTTTGCAAAAAAAACAATAGCAAAAGTAGAAATTTGCCAATTTTCGGCATTAACAAGGGGGGCTCAGCCCCCTAGCTCTACACCCCTGCGTAGCTGTACACGGTATTTGGTGTATAGAGCAGGACGGATCGAGCTGGACGGATCTAACTAACTTCTCCTAGTTTCACGCTTTATGCGATCGTTAGAGAACTGCAGAGAAGTTAGAAAATAAAGAAGGTATATTAATTTGAGGGTTGCACACTGCAAAGGAAAACTCGTTTACTTTCACGAAACAGACTCTACTTTCACTAAGCAGCTTCTCCTTAGCAACATGTGGTATACTCGAACTCGTCTGGAGCATCTTTGCTTACGAAGATATGATTGAAAGCGAGCTTTGGAATCTGTCAGCTGTTGTTCCTTTGGAGTTTGACTGTTTCATCATTATTTATAAAAATCAATTAAGTGAATTTCTCTTTGTGGTGACAAGCAGGTGCGCTCTTCGCATCTTAAATCTATTGAATAAGATCACTTAATACAGAATTAAGATTTAAGGGATATTTCGATCAAACCCACAGTTGTCATTTGTGACTTAGCAACATTATAATTATAGCTTGAATTTTGATGAGGGAATGGGTTGTTTTGCGAGATAAGTGTTTCTCGAATCTCATTTGAGTTGTGTTTGATCATATTCTTTGCAGGAATCGGCAGGAACCAGTGGCGAGATTTCGAAAGAGCAACGGGATATGATTGCTAATTTAGAAGAGAGAAATCGGTAACTATTAAACTGATAATTTAACACATTACAGCTTCTTGAAATTATTCAGTTTATTTATTTCGCAAAAAGTGCTCACCAGTATCCCTACCCCTCTTTCCGCCCAAATATACATTCTTATCAGTAATGTTTCAAGGGAATGGAGTGAACTGTCTGTAATTTTTACCTGAAAAGCGAAGTTCTGCAGATTGTCTCACCTGTAAAATATTTCAACTCCCTTTAGCTTGAGTTGCCGTTTGCCGTATTTTCGCCCTATGTAATTAACATTGCCCGTGTGGAGGGGAGAGAAGACACCAAGTTTATGATCTAAGTAATTAGTTAATCCCCGGTGTTATGGATTTCTGAATTTTAATATTACAGTGTTTAGATTATTTTTAGCAAGGATAATCGATATTCCATTTGGTCTGTGACGTAGGGCTAAGATTCTGCTGACTTCCTCATTACAAGATAAGTTCTCTAAAGTGTCCGGTTGAAAGCCGTATCTTAAAGCTTCTCATTCACAAATTATGGATACTGACAACGATTATTCAATTATTCCCGCGTTTCTTGTTGTTGTTAATGTTGTTGTTGTTGATGTTGTTGTTGCTGGGTTGTTGCTCAATGGTTAAACTGTAATTCTTTGTAGGTCAGATTAATCTCTAAATACCCTTATCAGCTAATGGCTTTACGTAGCGACAATATCTTTTGTGATCAGTTCTTTATGGTAAATCAAGTTCCCTCGTTGACACCATATTTCCAGGGGTGTAGAGCAAGGGAGACTCAGGGGGGCTGAGCTCCCCTTGTTGATGCCGAAAGCACTACACCACTGCATGTTTCTGCCATAGAGTCGTCTTGCATTAATATCACCTTAAAAATGACTTCTATAGATCCATCTTATTATGAATGTGATCAGGAAGATTTGAATCGCTATTTTATCTTTCGAATGATAGTTCATTGCTTCGTGAAATACGGAAGCTTAAGGTGGAACACGACCAGACAGTGAAAAATGCCCAACAGGCTGGGACGAGCCCTACTGTACTGACAGAGTTAAAAGTTTTGCGGCAGCGTAAAGATGAACTGGAGATGCGCATGCTAGCTTTACAAGAGACACGCCGCGAGCTGATGGTGCAACTGGAAGGCCTGATGAAGTTGCTTAAGGTGAGTTTCATTTTTTCGTTCTTTTTTTAGATTTCGTGATTCTGGCAAGAGTTTTCTTCAGTGTACTTCGAACCCACCTCAAATCCCGAATTTCCAAGGAAAATCAATCAATCAATCAATCAAAAACTTTATTAATGTGTCAAAAAATATTTAGCTTACAAGCTAATTGGGGACACAAGCAATGGACACAGGAAAAGGCATTCTGTGACCTGTTTTTTCTGGCCCTACTCCTGTCTATGAAGGTGCTTTGTGAGGCCTCCTCGTTTTTAGTTGCTGCTGTAAGAAAGGTGTAGTAGCATTGTCATCACTACAACTGCTTCCTTTTAAACAAAGCAGAGTCAGTCGGTACAATCATTGCACAGTTGAGTCATTGAAAGGGTTTCAAACAGGTATACTTCTATGTACTGCAATAAGTACTGGCTGAATTGTTCTGATATTCTGCAAATTTAATCAAAGCTCGAAACGCGGGGAAATTTATGCAGTAACATACTTCTGCGTTATTGGGTCAAATCCAGTGGCGAATCTAGCCTTAAAAATCTGGTAGGGGCTAACCGGGGGCAGCTTTAAGTTATAGGGGCAAGCTTTAAGTTATATTATTTTGTGAAACAGTGTAAAAAATGTGGTGTGTAGCCTCAAAATTGGCTACAGATTAACAATTTTGGCGCCCCCTAGAAAAGTATGGCCTTTGTACAACTCTTTCCATGCTGAATAAACTTCAATGTTAAGATCGATCAACGACTTTGTAAAGGCCACAAGAAAAATTTTGGAACTAAAACATTCTAGAGATGACCAGAAGCTGCATTTAAATATCTACAACATTCATAGGGTTAAGCCCAATTCAGATGCTAAACATACATTGCTTATCTTTATCATAATGCCCAATAGTTTTATAAGTGGCTTAACGAAGGCAGTCGAGATCCCTAGAAAAAATATCAAAAAACATTGCTGCTTGGGGGCCTTTAAGGTTGGGGACCCTTTGTTCTTTAACTAAAGGTGACTTTGGCTCGTTACTCCGCTGAGTCGTTACCTCTTTAACAATAATACATGAAATATAGAATATCAACAGAAGAACTATACATCTAAGAATAAAAGGCTAAATAGCTTTCTAAAGTTGATTGGCAAATTTTCCATAGTAGTTATGTATATTTTCCATAGTATATTAGATCAACCAAATCATTCTGTTACATAAAATTTCAAATTATAGAGTTTCGATAAGCATTAGTAGATTGCCAAGGTATACTGGAATGGTATTGGTATTTCCCTACGCTGGGTTCCAGAGCGAAAAGGATTTACAATGGGATGCGGAGAAGCTTGGTTTGGACCTATCCTGGGAAGGTTTATCTTCGTGATCATATATAACAAATATAGAATTAAAAAGAGTGAAATGATTGTCAAGAATGAATTTTTCCTGGTAACTGCAGAAAGGAGCCAAAATTTCATTGATGTTCACCTCGCTTATCAGGGCTCCTAGCTTGTTGAATAAATACAAGAAAGATCGCATTTACCAAAATAAAATAGAGCAACCCGGAAAGATTCCAAAAAGCGATTGAACAATTATTGAATTAAACATCAAATTTTTAACATGAGCAAAACTAGGGGGCTATGGCCCCCTGCCCCTCCCTCTTTAGAAACGCCACTGGTCAGATCCAAGACAATCAAGCACGTTTATTCTCTGCCAGTTATGAAACATCTCGTGTTATTGACTCGAGCGTCTTTCGGCCATCATCCAGCATCAGCTCATTTTCCAACGAGTTTTGTATGAAAATGCATTTCGCTAATGAAGTACGTGGTTTTTTGGAGCATCAAGATGGAATATTCAGTGGAAATGGCATGTTTTTAGCCATCGTGTGATGGATTTGCTTGTTAACATGAACATATACGTACTTCTGCAATATGTACAAATTTTTCGCTAAATCAAAGTCCCTTTCAGAGATGCAAGCCAGGCCATTTACTATTCGTATCGAGGCATGTAGTGTCCTATTTCATAACACATTCGCCTGCCTCTCTACTTTAACAAAAAGCCATAATGAAGCAACATCATGTAAAAGAGTATTTCAAAACGGAGCTTTAGATGTGCCAATGGAACAGGGTGTTTCATTTTTCCAAAAAAACCTTTCATCAAGGAATGGTTCTCTCACATTTAGGCAGTTTTTGCATCGCGTATGAGTTTGCAGAATCTAATGTACCATTTGCTGTGGTTGCTACCGAATTTGTCGTCGAGCGTGTTTCAAAGGTTTTTTTGCTAACACAATGAAATTGATTATCCAAAATCCCATCAAGGCAAATCCATGTGCCACTTTCCCTCTTTATGGGGGTTTGGTAGGGATGCTGTCAGAGACATCAAGGCAATAAGCTACTCCTTTGAAGGGACAAATAACAAGTATATGAGAAATTTCTGAAACAGTACCACATGAAAGGCCGATTTGCTATTGTGGCTTTTGTAGAATTAACTGAGAATTTACTACAAAATCTGCGATTTTAGAAATTCAAGTATCGTTTAGATAAAAGAGCTTTTACTAAGATCACTGGATAGGGTTGGGAAGCCGTTCTGACAAATGGTGAATGGCCATTGGCCAACCCTACTCGGTGTCATACATAGCACGGCTAAAAAATCATCTGTTTTCTTTCTCGTAGAGTGGCGAGTCCTCGGACGGGGGAGAATAGCTCAGCACATTGCACTCAAGCATAATCTGTACAGACAAGTGCACTTTATCAGCGACAAAATGTACCAAATAATGATTTGTAATAATAATAATAATAATTTTTATGAAAGAATAACCCACCAGATAAATGCTTGCACCAATATGGCAATTTGTAGTCAGCATGCAATCATGGCGAGGAGCGCTCTCCCCCCTTTTGAGGACGTTGCTCGCGAATTATTTTAATTGATTGACAGTTTTTGCATTGTGAAGAGTTGTAATGTGATTGGTCACAATAAGAACATTTTTACTAAACAACTTTTTTAACAAAGTGAGCAGTGCCATACAACCCATCCTTGCTGTAGATGCAATTTTAACCAAGTTTAACCACAGACAGTTTTTGTTCAGCTCTCCAAAAGAATACATTTTTGCGTCACAATAAAAGTCCTTTTGTAGACGGGGTGCGAATGGAAAGGTGAGGGGTGAGGAAGGGCAGCTTGATTGGGTTGCCATTTGGCTAGCAGTTATCTGGTGGATGGCAATTTTATAGCTTTAATGGTATTTTCTTTGTTGCCTGTTTCTTAACTTTCGAAGTATTTTTCGTCTATATTCGTTGCATAATGGATTGAAACCACCACAGGGGCGCCATAATTTCATCCTTTGCCTTAAAATCGGTGTTACTTTTTGTCTGCCACAATGGATTTTGACCTTCAATACAAGATGAAAACATATTGAGAAACTAATCGGTTTTTGAAAAATTATTTCATTTCATATACTGGAAAAACCAAATTTCTTCTCCTCCTCCCCCTTTGTTAATTGTTGACTCCTGTTAATTAATTTTTAAAGATGATCCTAAGCCCGCAAATAAGGAGCCCCCTATGTTATGGTCACAACTTTATTTTGAACGTCATTCTTAGTGGAGAGATGTTGTTTTATAGTACAGATCAATTTGACTTATAGACGATAAAGGAGGTTAATGGTAGGCATAAAATTTAACAATAATTGGGTTTATGCAGAGACACAGAAAGAAAACAGAAACTAGAGGGCTTGTTTGAGAGAGGGAAATGCAGAATGTTTTTCCTGGGGTTTAAAAACTTTGCAGTCGTAGGATGTAGATTTGCTTATCTAGAATGTATTTTGGCAGGAAAACTGCTGTAATTCCTGCTATTTGCTGCTGTTTTGTTACCCCCTTTTCAATATAAACCTCGTGGATTTTAAACCCGACTGGGAGGTGAAATATTTTGTTTCTATCGCTTCCCTGCATGTATCAGGAATCCTTTGATGTGGATATAATAAAACCTTGTACCATTATATCGTTTGCAATTTTCAAAGTATCTTTATCTGAAAAAATGGATAAGTGGAAGCTGTTTGAAAGGAATTAAAATAGGAAGCTATTTGCGTGCAGCAAGGTTATGAAAGGAGACGTTCATCTCGTTTGCCTGATTCTGCCTCGCCTTGATATTTGTCAAACGCATCTTTCTCTTTTTAATATTTCGTTTAATCAGTTTTGCATCTCGCACGTTTAAAGGTTCGTTTTTGTATTCCGCAATTTCTACAAGATTGTAATTCATTTTGAAATTCGTTTTGAAGTTGTTTTGATTGCTAATGGATGGAACCAGTTTGGATTTGATGTTAGGCTTATTTATGCATTATCTAACTGTTAAACCTATTTTTAAAGTGTTCGTTCTGTAACCGCTTGCTAATACATATTTGACGCGCATCCAACAGGGCACCCTATGGGGCCCGTTACGGGTCGAGGACCAAACGCGAACTCACTGCAATCGTGCGTTGCTAGTTTTTTCCGCTCTTGTGAGTTATAGAGTTGATCAGATGACATACTATCTCGCTTTTGTTGTTATCATAGTTTGTTTATGTACTTTGTTTTATGTTTGGGGAACTTTAAGTAATTAATCTGATAATTATCTATAGATAAAGACAAATATAAATATATATATATATTCATATGTTTAAAGTATCGCCGCAATTTCTTTTCTCTTTCTCAACGTTCTTGACCATTTCCCAGCGCTGCCTGTAGCCTGCTTAAAAAGACCCCCAGAACAACTTCATATACAAACCTCAGGTTTGCAGTACGCCTTTCATTTTTCCCTCCCCCCATCGACATGTAGCAGGCTTAATTAAAATGTGCAAACAGAAAACGAGGAACTCGTGTTGAGATTAATCACTGGCTGGACTATCAAACAAAAGTGTTATATACAAACGAAAGCAAGGTTAGGTTAGTATAATATTTAGGCCTCGTCAATAGGATTCGTGTAGCCTTATAGCAACAATAAATAGAATGGCGGCCTATAACATCAAGATTTGTAATTTCTGCTGTAGGTGAAAGTCCGTGGTTTATAAACGAAGTTCAGATTTTCACTTTTAAAGTATTTTTCTCTATTTTAAAGGAGAGTTAAGACCTCTATCCACCATGAATTTTGCACTGTTTTGCCCCACCTGAACGATTTGAGCAAGCCATCGAACAATATATTTCTATCATGACGAACTCTGAGATGGTCTATTCGAATAAGCCTTTTGAATCTGCAAATTCAAAAGATTTTGACCGTTATCAGCACGTTGATGACGAATTCTCAACATTTTGAGATCGTACGCCAGAAACAAATTATTCGTATTTATTTCCCTGCAAATTTGCTATTATGTTGACGAAATCATAGTTGGCGATGACTCAAAAGGCTACTTTGTCCTAGGCCCTGTCACACTATCTTAGTCCCTGTCATACTACAGTGTAATCCTGTTATAACGTTCTTTGAGGGACCGGCGGATTAAGTTAAACTGTATCAGGTATTTAGTAATCCGTTAACTCTTCTTTTGGAATCAAAACTCCTCATACCCGCATTTAGAGATGGTAGCAGCCAGCGCGATCAAACGTCACCGGATAAAGAAATATTCCCCAATCGGATTTGGATTCACATGGATGCGGATTCACATGGATGCGGATTCACATGGATGCGGATTCACGGAAGTTTTTATATTGTTTTACATAGCATGCGCAGTCGAGCACGCGATTCGGCCTCGTCATAATTTCTTCGACGAAATGCATTGTCCTTTTCTTTCAATTCTCTTACAATCACTGCCAAAATTACATGGAACACCAAACACTTTGCGCTGTGCTTTTCTATTTCTCATTTGTTTTCTTGAATACTACCACTTCCGCCCCCTTTCCCCCCAAAACAATGTTGAAAGTATATAAAAATCACAAAAAATCCACAAAAAAGCGTACCCCATAACCCCTTTCTTTTTTCTATAGTAAATCAACATTGTTCCTAGGGGGAGAGGGGGATGGTTGAATTTGCCTTTTGAAAATCTACGTTAGTGTTCCAAGACTTTTGGCAGTGATTGTACCTACCACCTAAGGTATTAAGGTTACGGTATACGTTTTTAGCAGGATATTTGTTTTTCTCTCCCTAAAAGCAAAACTATTACCGGAATCAGATTAAACTATACATCATTCGATGTACAAGAAAGTGGCGATTCCAACCATATCAAAATAATTGGCAAATATTGTAAAATGATACTTTCCAGGCAAATTTATTGCTTTGAAGAGTGTACCACCTTCAAAGCTATTTTGTACCCTTGCGTTTGAGATAACAAAATCTGACTTATATCAGCAGAAAGCGCAGATCCTTGTACTCTTCTTTCATTTTTTCAAATTTTTCAAATTCCTCCTCCCTTTGAAACTATTCCCTGTCAAAAACTGGCAAACAATTGTTCTTCCCTCTCATAGCTGTAATTTGCTTTGAAAGATGGACCAGAGCAAACACAAAAATTTTGTGACACGCTCTGCTTACCAGACATCTGTCCAAGCCGTGTGCAAATTTTTGAACCATTTGATTGGTTCCTTGGGTACAAATAGCTTTTTCGTACCTGTATGTAGAGGAATTGTAAGTCCGGAGAAAACGGGATTTTACTGATCCGCACTTGCAAGGTACACTCTTAAACCACAGTGTAATCCGGGTGAACTGACTTGAAGCTTTAAGATCAATAAGCCGTACATGGAATATATGGATGTGCCATGCATTATTATTAATGAGACATGCGACCACAACCGCAAAGCATCGATAATCAGCTTGATAGGTCAACAGATTTTTAGCCCTCAACTGAAAGTTTTGTAAAAAAATGATGGAAATCCTCATTTATATGGGATTTTTTCCATTTTCAAAATTTCTGTTAGTTTAGTATCATTGTGTGCCAAATATGGTATCATTGTGTGCCTTGAAATTTCGGCTACTTGAATGTGAAAAAATCGAAAAATTGATGTTTCCATGCAGAAATGTTTACTGTAACCTTGAAGGCAATCGGATTGCGGAGAACAAAAAGCCAAAAAATGCGCTTGTAAATGAAATGAAAGCAAAATTTTGATGGACTCATTTTTCCAACTTGGGGATAAATACTGAATTTCTATTTGATTCAATTTCTGTTCAAATATCTACAATCTTGTCATATTACACAGTTTTTCGAGAAAAACTGACAATGCTTATGACAAAAGTTCTTCAAATGACTGCGGGCAAAAGGTGAATGATTTCTACGAAAGTTGATTGTTTTGTCTCGTTTCCAGAAAGTCCATCATTTCCTTCCGAGATCAAGTGTTAAAGTATCTGTCTCTGCTATCAGTAAAAGATACAACAGCAAAATAACGTACTGTGACTGTTGAAGCATTTGTGGTTGCGGTTACGCTTGCGCAAAGACCGTTAAGTTTGATATGTGTATGCAAGTTTATCTCATTTCTTCCTGTTTATCTGGAAGCGAAAATCACATTTTAAGCAACATATTAACATGGTGTAATCACTATTTTTACGGTTCATGCTTGGCAAAATTTGAATAGAATTTCAATATGTTGAGCCTACCTAAAATGTGAAACACATGTCCCAAAAATATTACAGTTCTGCTTTTTCCTTTGAGTTTCGTAACAAGACACATTGTTGTATGAAATTTAATTTCAATTCCTAAGATGCTGCTCAATGGCGGCCAATAAGCAGAGAACTTGGCGTCGACCTTGCAAACAACCGTTTTTGCAGCCTTGTAATTTTTGCTTTGCAGAATAACCAGTCATCTCCTCGAGGCTTGCAGCGCAATCTGTCTCTTCGTGAAAGAGCACTAGGAACACTTCCGAGAGGCAGCCAAAGCCAATCCCCAACACATTCACAACAACCTTCTGGTTCGCTCAGCGGCGTCAATGGAGATGTAAGAGAGGCGTTTGGCAAACGCCCGGGTCAAGATTCCTCTTGCCGAAATCTCAGAGCAGATTTACTTCATGCTGTTGATGATATCACTTCGGCGATGTCTGTGCTGGTTGATGAGCTAAGCAAAGGTCAGTAGCAGTGTTGTTTATTCAAAGACCTACAAGTAAGCAGTACCAGGGTAATTAATATCAGTGCAAGGATATTGCCCTAGTGGAGCTGACAGTGCAACTTTTATTTTGTTTTTTCCTAAATGTTGTGCTTCTACGGCCTCCAAATTGGGATTTTGCACCAATTCGGTGTTCTTGGCATCCAAAAACCACTACCCCCCTCCCCAATTCGATGTTGATTTATACAAGTTGCCTACGTGCTTATGGGGATCCCTTGACATTCAGAATTTCACCCTTTTGACACCTCCCGCTCATGATCAGAGGGATTCCTGGATGCTGTCAATTGCCCCTTTTTAAATTCACACACCGAATACATTAATAAAGAAAACTGTCGAACAACCATACTTCAGAATACATCGAATATATCGAACAACCACGATTCTTTAGAATAGCCAAATTCTTATCGAAAGTTGAGTTGTCTGAAATCATCCGAAAATAGATAAACACAAAGAATCGTGTTAAGTATAACAAAACCAAATTGTTGACATTTTAAATTTCTGAAAAAAATGGTTTTCAGAGAATGTTTGTTTGAAAGATTTCACTTCTAATGCACCTTGTAAAATGATAAAACTAACACTTCTGTTTAATTCTTAACTTCCAGATGAAGCAGAAGAGAACGACCAATCATCAGTTGTATCGGAGCAATCATCCACTCAGAAATACGAGCAATTGACACGTGATCTCGACTTGATTATGAATGAGCTTTCTGCAACTCAAGCCAGCCAAGATGTCGCTGAACTTAGAAATGCAGTCATCACATATTAATCCCACACAGAGAGTATCCTTCGACAGCTGATTAATGTGTTTTTTAATTTTAATGTATTGAAAATATAGCGCTGCATTTTGCTACAATGGACGTCCTTACATATACTATATTCAGAAATTGTAACGAACATTTTAACTATATGCATGAACTGTATAAACATTCCTTTATCAGTCCTAAGTAGCCTGCGTGCAGACTCTATGGAGGAGAATAAATAGGATTTTTTCTCCTCCGTATATTCTGCACGCAGGCTAGTCCTAAGTGGCTAAAGGGAAAAAAGAATGGCTGAAGCAATAAAGGTCATTAAAACGCTATTTAAATGTTTGCAGTGACCAGTGCTTTAATGTGTGTTCACTTGTGTACAAGTTTTTGTGTGTCTGTGTGCTTCATTGTGTGCTTTTATACTTGATGGGAAATGATGGTGAAGTGCATTTTGGTTGGGAGCAGATCATCGAAAAATTGCCCCAGAGCTATAGAGAATAAAGAGCCAAGAAATTTAAAGAAAGGGAACAAACAAATAATCAATTCGTAGACCCTTCAATTTCTTTTCGGTGCACTTTTGTGAATGCATAACTTACAGTTCTTCATTAGAAGCTAATTAACCATGCTTTCCTAGGCTGAAAATGTGTGTTCAAAATTTCTAGGACCTTTGGTTTAGCAGGTTTTTTATTAATTAGGCTTTTTGAGTAACTTTACTAGCCAACTCATTCAGATGGCGGCCTAGTTACGTTACCTTGGTGCAGGCTTTTGTAAATAAAACTGCATTTTTATACATCTCGTGTGTTATTCTAATAAGTTTGTCAATTCATTTCTAATATTGCTTATCATATCACCATATATCTCGTGTATTGTAATGTATAGTTGTTATTTTGCCTCCGCGTATCACTGAGCCAAGCTTTCTCTGGATGCTTTCATGTCTTTAATTCCTGACTGGAGCTCTCCTATACTGAAAAATACTATCCACAAAGTACTGTTCCACTTGTAACCCAGTTGTTCCACTTCTTTTAAATGTTCGCCTAATGTTTTTTTTATTTAAGCAATTAAAACATTAAGGCTAGGCAACAACCACTTCATATGGTGCCATTCATAGAGGGAAAAGACACAAGGTCATCGAGTTACCTCATAAATGGCACTTACAATATATTTAACCATTTTGTCACTCAAGCCAACAAAGGGACAAGGAACAAAACAAAAAAAAGTTATTTAGGTTATTTAGCCAAAAAAAAGAAAATATAATTATAAAAAATAAATATGGGGTAGCTGCATTCAGTCAAATCGTTTTGTTTCTTCCAGAAAGGACATTGTAGCTTCCATAACTATTCTGTTAGCAAATACATTCAACTGTGGAGATTGAGATTGAGTCGTAGAAGCTGGGGGAAGATATTAGAGGTAAATCTGCAAAATTACAGATGGTAACCCAGCAGCCAACCACAGGCTATTTCGCTGTGTTGACTAGCTATTGTGCTCAATGTGGGTCTCCAAGTCCCATTTGCCGACAAATTGGGTGAGCCATCCTGTATTTGAAGACAATTTGGAAATTTGCCGACTAAGGAACCAAAGATTGCAAAAAACTCCTCGTTTTTACAATGGAGTTATTTTTCAAGGGGGTGTCATGCCCCACGCGCCCCCCTATGGCGATAGGCCTGTAGTTGAAAAAAAGTTTTCCTGACTTCGGTTTAAAATAATAACATGCAAATTTAACCACGTGAATCAAGATAATTGCCTCGCGGTACCAGCATTCCTTAATTAGGATCTCTTTTCAACTCGTTTGGCTCGTGTTCCTGTGCACAAGGGCGGATCCAGAGCAAACTTTAAGGAGGGGCAGTTGGTAGTGGGGGCACTGAACAATTTTCAAAAATTGATGATGAGAGTACACTGTATACAACAATTTCAGATCCATCTTCAGAATAAACAACATAACTTTGAGGTAATCCTTGAAGCAAATTAACCTATCGGTCTCGGAAAATTTTTTCACCTGATTCCCATTCTTCAAAAGTGGCGCACAATTTTCAAAAAAGGGCACACACTTTCTAAGAAAGGGGCGCCAGACTTGCTTCAACTCGTCGAGGGAGGGGCAACTGCACCTAGTTGCCCCCCCCCTTAAATCCGTCACTGCCTGTGCAGCGGTAGAATCAGTGCAGGAACAGGGCCAAAAGCAACATTGGCTAGGCAATAGGTTTCAAGGTGGCATTTAATGTTCTGTAAGTGTAGGCTATGAGTTAATCAATCAAGCTCGGCTAATTACACCAAAACTCTTAGTTGAACTGTCAAGTAGATTTTGCAAGAAAACAAATCTACGTATCAGCATGTTGTAGCTACCCATGTGAATCTGGCTGTATATTCATCGTGCGCCGACACCTATATCCTCAGTGGAGAGCTGGCTTTGTGCTAAACTAACAATGTACGCAGCTAGGCGGTTTCTTTTGTAGCTGTGAAGCTGCTTGCGTCGCCACCTGCAAAATAACGGTTCTAATCGCGAGACCAATCATTGACGCCCCTAAAACCACTAGCCAATGAAAGCGAGTTTGTCTTAAAACAAACAATAGATTCGTGCATTTATTACTCTGACGTGCATTGATAGTCTGTATATCGTGTACCTTTGATTTTTATATTAAAACGGGGGTTGCTCCAAGAAAGATTATTAATTGATAAAGCTCAAAACGCAATGTATTCACTTTTGTGATCTTCAATGTTTTTCGTGTTTACTTCTGGCAAAGTGATATGAAAACGAAAAATGCATTTTTTATACCGGAGGCAGCCGAGAGACTAGAAATATGTTCAAAGCGTTGAAATATTGAATGCACAGATATTGCAATACGGAATGCCAAATGTGTGTTGCAAAATTCATGTGCTGCTGCTACAATATTAATGTGTTGCCTTTTTATTCTTTCTACACTATTATTTCTCTCCGAGGTTTTCTTCCCATTCTGTACAATTAACTTCAAATCTTATGCATTAACAGGCCATTTTATTTTAATCGAGTCCAGCACATTGTTTTGCAATACAGTACTGCGCATGTTTATTTTTCTTAGATTGGAAATTAAGGTGAATTGTTGCCCGACAATGTGGCCAACCTGGAAAACATCTGAGCAACAAATGCTGCCGGAAAATGTTTGAGCATTTTCAAACATTCGAGCAAAAGATTTCTTGACAAAATTGTCGGCCGACATGGTGGCTAAACTGGACAACATTTAGCAACATTAGGAATTTGTGAATGTTGCCCAACAATGTTGCCCAGTTTGGCCAAGCTTCAACTGGTGTTACAACAAGCGTAATGATAATATGATATAATGTGGAATAAGAAGGCCATTGGCCTATTAAACCCTTTAGTTTCTTTTTAAGTGTATTTACATTTGTGGCTTTTGTTACTGCAAAATTCGTCAATATAATTTCTCAAACTCTATTTCAATATAATTTCTCAAACGCTATTTTGCATTCAATATAGTTCCTGGCCAAATTATTCTAATAGCTCCTTACTAAGGTTGGGGAATAGTTCTTACACAGGTTAGTCGCCAAAAAAGCTTTAACAAAATAAGCTTCAAAAGCTGCAGGCTCTTTTTCCTTGTATTTGAAGAACTTCCTTAAAAATATTTTACTATCACTACCGATCATTCTGTGTAGAATTTTAAATATTGTTATCATCTCAACGTTATCTTCTAAAGATTAGCATTTAGCATCTTCTGCCTACCAAGACTCGCGATAAGCTTGCTGTTGAGTATTCTCGAAACCAAACAACAAGAATGTTAAGCCATGCGCAAACAGGAGCTGGAGCATTTGCCTGTGAAAATGTCACGAATGGCCGCCGCACATGGTTTGCATTTTGCTCAGGAAAAATGCTTCACTGTGCGCCTTGTTTTACCCGTCTTGGGACTCATTTTTTGACAATTGAAGAATACCCGATAACAATGGTACTTTAGAAAGAAAGGGGATGATTATTACTGACCATGCTGTTGAGGAAAAAATCTTGCGTCTATTGTCTTACGGCATTTAACAGTTTGAATCTAAAACTGGTCGTTGACATATCTCTGCTGCTTTAGGCAGATTTTTTGAATGTTTTTACAGCTTTTTATTACAATGACGGAGATGCTAAAACACGTTTTCTTGTTTTGAAGCGAAAACGAAGAATAAACACTAGTATATTTGAATATTCACAGAATCTAAGGAAGATGTTAAAAAGGTTATTTCTTGTTTGAACTTGATTACAAAATTAGACACGAAATCAGCTTATTGTTGATAAAGAAATATGTTTTCTTGAAGAAGGATTTCGCAACGAAGAACTATTTTTTGTGAAGAATGATTTCAAACTGATGCGAAATAAGGGATTATGTTGCACAATGTGTGTATTGAGAAACACACAAGTGGATTAAAACGAAGACAATGGGCTTGATAACATGTTCAAAAATACCTGCGTGTCAAAAAACAGCTGTCTTCTTTGACAATGAAGATGCATGACAAAGCCCCCGTCATTTCAATTGATGGTTGATTGCAACCTGCTAGCAGTCTTCAGTTCACTTATCTATTTGATTCTTTAGACTTTTGGTGAAGCTCTGCGCAAGGTTGATCGAATATTTTGTTAAGTTATCAGTAGAACTGGCGGAAAAGCAGCGAGAAGATGAAACAGATCTTGATACTGGCCTTCCTTTTTCTTGTCACGCTGTTGGGGCTAATTGAAGCAAAGAAACATCATCATCATCACATAAGAAAGGACCACACGAAGGATTCGCATCAATCTTTGAAGCATCATTCGGTATGATGAACAGTGTCAATATTTCTATCAAATTCAATCCTCCTAATGCCTTGCTTATTTCTCCACTCCATGATTTTCTTTCTGCATTTATAAGCTTAGAGCATATTCACGATTCTAAAGTCGCATAGCATTTGCTCTGATAAACATAATCTTGATGCAATGCTACATGTGTGTAATTCAAACTGAGTAACATTATATTGGGTTGAATGAACCGGTACCATTTGAAAGTTTGTTGATGCTCAAGACATTTATGCACATGTTGTGTTCATCAAAAGTCAATTTGTCACATTAGGAGCCTATTTGTTAAATCAATGCAGTACCCTTTCAAATTCCCAAAAGCCACCTTTCGCTGCATACCAGAATAATCACGGTCTTTGCAGAGCAGCGGAGTTAAGAACGACACATGACGTCATAAATAGCTCACAATACTCGCTTTCATTATTAACCTTGTAAAGCAGTACATCCCCCTTGTTGTCTAATTGTTAAGAAACTCTCAGTATTCTCTCAGAAGAAGGAACTTTTAATTTTTAGCATCCTTCTTTAACTGGGAAGAAACAAGACAGATGTTCTGCCACCTTTATACTTCCAACAAAATAGCATTGGACTTAATATCCCAAATTGTCACAATTTACTGCTATCCAGGAACTAAGAAGCAATACATGTTGATCAGGTTTTTATCAAGGACCTTGCTAATTCACATTTCGAAATGACTTCGACTCAAAAATCTTAACAGAAACGCAGCATATTGCACTGCTGCTTCTATTTTATCGAAACATGTGTAAGAAGTTTCGACAATTTATTTGGGCCAGGAGCATTAAGATGCTAATCCCTACAGACACTGAAGTGTTTGGAGTCATAATTCAACTGTTCAAAACCGAGAAAACATGGCGCTCAAACGATCAACAAGCTTGAGGAAGGCCAATTTGAGTCTTCTTTGGGATGCTTTGGCTGCATTCCTGTCCATCACGTCTCCTTCGTGTAATCCCTTTTCCTCATGTTACCTCTCTATCTCTGCCGTGGTCTCCCTCTAACTGTGTCACACGCCAGAGTCAGGTTCAAAGCCACAAAAGGCTGACTTGAGTGCCATGCACAAACCCCGCCTTGGTTCTATGGCTAGCACAATATAAACAGTTTTCCAGACACTGCAACTATCTTCCTAGATTATTGTAAAGATGTTTTGTCTTTATCATTCCATTTTAAGTAAAAACGAGCTCAATCCAGTCATTTGTCAATAGGAGAAGCATGGCGAGCACCACAAGAAGCATGAAGACCAGGCAACGAACTACTTAGGCTTCAAAGATCAAGTCAGACAATTTCAAATGAAGATTCGAAGTATGCTTCCCAGGTGAGGTATCATTTTTATATTTGCAAAGACAGAGTGGATTCAGTCGCATACATATAAATCAAGTCGCCCTATACCATATTTATTGTTATATTGTGTAAGCGAATTGGGCATAGGTATTTTAGAACTGCACACATAGTTTATTAAACAGCTCTCCTTTATAATCTTGACTTCCGCTACCACATTGTGAAAACTGTTACTATCTTTCACCTAAGAAAACCATGTCCTGCCAACTTCTGCTATTAATTGATTGCCTTAATTACGTGATGCAATGGAGTCCACAATGTGGTGTCGTTAAAATCTACTTCGTAGAGAAATCCTATTGCCTATGACAAAAATCTAGCTTGAAACTTTTTGAACTGTACCCCACAAAGCCCAAAACAATGTCGGGAAATCCCTTTCAGAGTCCAGAATCAGTTGATTTGTTGTAAATTTGAAGAGGTTTGTGAAAGGTTTGTACAGAGTTAAGTGAGATGATGACAGGCAATTGAAAACAAAATAACTTCAACTTCTGCACACAGAGAATGCCTTGGCTTTATTGTATATAGGAAAGTATAAAAATGATGACCTATTGGCTGGAGAAATCATGAAACTATTGCTCACGTCTTGGTTTTGAATTGGCCAAACTATCAACCTGTCACTTTTTGAGAAACGTAAACCGCAGCGGTGAAAAACACGGTCTGCAAAATAAGCTTTAAAATCTACATTACAATCATGGCCGCTTCTTCGGTGGGCATGAGTGGGTGACACCCCCTTGGACAAACTTTCCCATGCAAAAACAAGGAGTTTTTTTGCAAATCAGGGGGTGCTTTAGTCTGCAAACTTTTTACCTTGCTGGCAAATGGAACTTGGAACTCACCCTTCAGCACCATTCCTAGCAACAGTCCTGCTTTCAACATTTGGTTCATTGTCATTTTTAGCTCTCAGCTTTTTTGAAAGCATTTTAGACAAAGTAACGATGATATTCAGCGACCCCTTGTGGAAGGACCGGTATCGATTCAGGTTTAAGTTATGGTGTTAGGGAAATCACTTTGAGATTCTACATTTTTTTATAGATGTGAAAGCATTGATAAATGCCCAAAAGGCACTTGCTGCTGGAAAGGAAAGTGCAAGATGCTCCCCCACAGGATCAACCAACGGTGCAGTGACCAATGCCCATGCAACGACGAAAAAGACATGTTGTTTTGTCATCTTAGAACTGAAGGTCATAACAAGCGCAAGTATGGAAGATGCTTTATCAAAGGAACCGAGATAGGAATGAAGGGGGTAAACTTCATCCCAGAAGCCATCGAGAAGTTGAAAGATGTAGAGAAGAAGCTCAAAAAATTTGGAAGGGAGCAAAGAAAAATGAAGAGGGAGCATAAAAAGAAAGACGATAAACAGAAACGCGGAGGAAAGAAACACAAACATGCTGGAAAGCGTGGAAACAAGAAACATGATGGCAGAAGGCACAAACATCATAAGGAGATGATTTAAGGGAAAGAACATTTTAAGGGTGGTTTGCACCAGAGACAGTCCAAGTCTACACCATTCAAGAAATACTAAATTGGATCAATAGCCTGTTTTTACACTTAAATGAGCGGTTTTCTCGCATTTTTTTGTTTTAGACATTTTTAAGTCTGAAAAAAACTTGTCCAGAGTGCTGTATGAATATTATTATCAAGTTATCAAATATTAACGAGCAGGAGCAATACAACTATGTTTTACGTAGAATTTGTAGAAAAATGCTTTTTTCTTATAACTGACAACAACATAGATCACAGCAGAACACAACAGTTAATGAAACTGCTCTTTTTCTTCTTAAGATCAGATACATGTAACAAGATTATGGTCAACATTATGTTAATTCAGAAATGTTTTTTTCAGTTGTATCCTCTCATTCAGCTGTGGCAAAGTTTGTGCAAACGGCAAACATTACGCTCGAACTGAATTAGGCCCGAACTGCTCTACAGAAATGTGTTCCATTACACCGACGTAATCAGAGCTCTATGGTGAATGATTGTTAGGTAGAATGGATCTGTAAATCAGTTGAATTATAGTGGCATTACACAATAGAGAAAATATTATCCTAGAAGACTCTACAATCCTTCACAAAATTTATCGAGAGCAGTGATAAAATCAAAACAAAATTATTGACAGTTAAATACTAGACTGATATTTCAGCCCCTTAGCTCTTCAAGCAAAGTTGTTGAGATCTTGCTACTGTATGCGATCTCTACACTTTCTTTTTTCGACGATCTTCACTAAATTTCTTTAAACAACATTGCTTGGAGCCGGGGATAAAAAAATTAAAATTACAAAGGGTTTACAAAATCATTTAAATAGATTTCCTTTTGGTAAAATACACTAGACAAACGGCATAGCCTATCCTAAGGGAAATTAGCTGAGGGGGCAAGCCTTTGTTCGTATAAAGAGGAGAACACTAGCCTATTGTTTAAAACAATGAAAAGTCATTGGGGCAGGAGGGGAAAAGGTCCTCCTGGTTAGTATGTTAAAAAAGGCTCTGACAAACGATGGCAAATGATTGTAGAGGAGGCACAACTGTCTCTTTATGACCCCCATCAATCTCCTACATTGTGTCTACAAGTTCAACTATTTGTGTTTGATTCATGTCTTTTTTTACAGTCGTACTTGTAATCCCGTTTTTGGTCAGCTCGTGTATATATATTCCCTAGCTTGAAGTTTTTTGTTAATATTCTGAGGCTTCGTACTCTCAGAAACGCTCGACAAGAGCTGAAGTGTATTTTAAAATGTTTGCTTTGCAAGACATGATGTCAATGGTAAGAAGACAGTGGGTAAGCTGATGGATAATTAGGTTTTCTCACTGCCGCATTTTTCTTTCACTTAATCACCAGTGATGGTTTGTCCATACCCACACACCACACACCCAATCCAAAGTGTTTTCTTCGAAAAACATTAAGCATGATATCAGAAAACTTTGATTATGTTCTGATTGTATGCCTTAAGGCCACAATGCTTTCCATTCTTGCCCCTCTCAAAATAACTTTCCAATAGTTATTGGAAAATACAGTCAAATTGGTATGTATCCCAAGCTACAGTACTAAAAAGTCATTACCTGCTGTCTGTTCCATATATGTACTTGAAATAATCAAAAAAATATTACATATACACTCACACATAGACACACATAGTTGTATAATGTGTTTACATCATTGACATAGCTTGTTAAGGGCAATCGCTACGATTGGGCTGGAAGTGTGACTCTCTTGGAAGAAATTTATGTTGTAAAAACGAGGAGTTTTTGCCATGAAGGGTGCTTCGTTTGCAAATTTTCAGATGAGTTGGCAAATAAAGGATGGCTCACCCACTTTGCTAGCAAATGGGGCCTCAGCACCATAGGAAATAATAAACCGCATAATTTTTTTCCCTTTTTAAAAGAACATACAGCAAGCCAATCAGAATTGCAAGGTACTGTATTTTACTGCCTTAATAACAAAGTACTTAACAAGAAGCAGCTGAATAGGCAGCACCCTATCGCGAATTTCATTCCAATTAGGGCAATTTACCACTCAGCCACATATTTGTGGATTGCCTGATTGTGCATGTAAATATAAAAAATAAAGGACACTATAGAATAACAAAGTGTTTAAAAATAATAAGAGACATCCTTTGCAACATAATCATAGAAAAGGAGTGACAATTTCAAAGAATGTAGCTACTTCAAAAAGATTGGTTAGAATGTAAAGCATAATTGATGAAATGGTAAATCTAAACAGCACAACTCAAGAAGTATGCACTGGATCTTTTTAAAAACTGACCTAAGGATTTAAAGTGTTTTTTGTGGCAGCAATGCATCTGTTCAGAAAAAGACTGATTGATGTCACCGTACCTGGTTTGCTTTTGATCAAGAATAAGGACATGTCACACTAAATCTACAAGAAAAGGTGAAGAGAAACAATAATTTAAAACACTTAGCTACTATATACTATTATTTTTCAAGAAAGCTCATTATCACTTAGGGTTATTAAGCAAATCCTCAAAATATCATCACTCATTAAGTAGCATGTAATTTTACAAGATTCACAAGGAAAATTTTTAATGAAACAGTCTGGGGGGAGGGGAAAAACGGTCAAATTAGCAAGGCAAGCAAGAATAGTATTGTCATGGCAAATATCTTAATATTGGGCCAGCAAAACAATCATCTCCTCCTGGTTCTACTGTTTGACCCATCAGAATTTTGCAACTTCTGTGATGCCAAAGGCGGATTGTGTTGAGAGCGAATAACTTTAAAGGCTTCTAAAGTTGCAAATGGAAGTGATGTCAAAGGGTCCTTGTACTTAGCAGGGAGGCCAGTGATAACGCAAAGTGGCTTTTCTTGATGCCCTGGTTTATTGTCTGGAAAATAACCATGTGGAAAGTTTTTTAAATCAGTAAATATCATGAAATTCCGTGAACATTTCTTAGTAGCACTGGTATCATCAAGTTGCTCTTCACCATCAACAACTTTGGCATCATCTTCCTCGACTATTGGCATGGTTACAGAATGGAAACGCACTATAGGTCCTGCATGACAAACTTTGTGAAGTTTGGTTTTTTTCTTTTCTGCTTCAAGTTTTAAGAATGCTGCTAATGAGGCTAAGTTTTTCTCAGCTGTTATTTTTGCTTCTGCTAAAAGTTCTTTTTGGGTAAGCCTCCTCAACTCTGGCTGCTTGTAAACACGCTTTGTTGGGGTTTTCACGTTTCCTGTTGAGTCTTCACTTTTCTGTAGTGTGGATGAGCGAAACGTTTTCTTCCTCTCTTCGTTTGAAGCTTGTTCTGTGGGCCTTTTTAACTTGAGAGTGGATTTAATCTTTTGCGTTGTTTTGGATTTAGTTTCGTCAGATTTTTTCAATGCCTTAAACGTTTTTACAACAGTTTTCTTTCTTTTTCTAGGACGTTCATCTTCTTCCTCGCTTTTTACCTCCTCATTTTCATCAATGCTAAAATCTGAATCAACAACATCGTCGTCATCATCTTCAGTCTCATAGACATTGTCGTTATCTTCCTCATCAAAGCCACCGTAGGTAGTTTTGTAAAAATCGTCCTCCTCTTCATCCTCGATCAATTTCTGCATTTTAGTTCCAGCATTTTGGCGTCGAGATCGTTCAGCAGCCATTACGATGTTGGTCCAGTTTACAAGAAAATTTAGCTTTCAACAGCTGGAATAGCAGGCAGAATCCTTATTTTTATAAGGAATCATCAAAACTTACAGAAAATCAATATGGCGGCGAAATGGTGGAGGCTGAGGCTGACACAAAGGTATTTCAGAAAGAGGCTACAAACTAGATAATCTAGTTGTTTTGTATCATATCGTAAATCCTCGAATTAGCCCCCTGGGGGCTTATTTATTTTTGATATTTTTGGATGGGAGCTTATTCGAGGGGAGGGCTTATAGAATCATTGTTGACATTAAGAAGACATTATTAAAAGACCTCGTTCATTTTAGTAGAAATTTCTTTATGAGCATTTAATTAATTACTACCAAAAGTATGAATTTGTTGTGGTAATTCAATAAAACGCCATAGGCGACCTCAGATGGCAAAAATCATCAAATTGAGGATATACGGTAGCAGTGGGGGCTTATTCGAGGGGGGGGGGGCTTATTAACAATTTGTAGTTCTAGGGTGAGGCTTTTTCGAGGGTGGGGCTTTTTCGAGGGGGGCCGAGGCCATTCGAGAATTTACGGTATCTCTATATGAGTTGTGCAGAGCCATATTACTGTTGATAAAGGTCTGCAAGTCGATATTTTTCCTATCCATTTTGATATCATTAAAGGACTAGAAAACGCTGAAAATTGCTCATAACAAAATTGTACATGTTCAGTGAATGAAAAGTCAAAAGTTTCCATGATATACAGTAACAGTTGTGTGATAGAGCCAGTATGTAATAGATTTGTTTAGCAATTACACTTCGTTTTGTTTACGTAGCTATTTTTTATATTACGTAGATTGTTAGGAAATCCTCGTTGTGTCTCGAATGGTCTGTCTTCGCGACACAGCACCACGCAGCATTACACAGCATTCCATTCCATTGTTTTAGGATTACCCCATTGTTTTAGTCATTAGATTATTTTATTTTAGGTAACATTTCATGTTTAGTAATGTTTTCTTGGTATTTTCTTTGTACGTATGAATAAACGTATAGTAAGTTAGATTAAAAGACATTCGGAGAGAGTTTCATAGAGATCAGACATGAAAGGCTAAACATTAAAAGGAAGCTAGCCGTTTCGCCCAAGAGGCTTGCGAAAGCTCTTGCGGTCCAGTTTGTATTTAGGACAGGCTGCGCTGTACCTCGTTATGTATTTTGGAATATTGCAATAAGTATATTAGAGTTCGCGAAGAACCGTTGCCGTTTATGTTAGCTGTTTAGATTAAAGTTTAAGCTAGCCTTGCCATTTTAAAAGACGGACATGGAAAGAAAAGTAATAGCCGCTCGCAAGAAACCATCATTCTTTGAAGTTTCAGTCTTCAGATCATGTCTCCACCATTTTAAACGTCAAGTTTACAGTTGCACCCAAGTGTCTCAATGCAAAGACCGAGATACAACTTTCTGTTTGGGGGGGACAGCCCTGATGAATATAAAAGTATAAAAGCAGCCCCCGCCCGGCCCCCGGTATCTCAGTTCTTGTCTCAATGACATTAAAAGAGTCGTCATATAAATGGCTAAAAATGTGCCTCTTTATACCAGTTCTCCGACACCTGGTCAGTGCTGCAGGAACATTGAAGAATTGATAGAGGTTTTACGAATTTAGTTGGTAACTGTTTCATTAAAAGAGAAAAATTAAAATTTGGAAGGGGGGGTTACAAAAGCTGTAAAGACAATTTTTTCCCTATCACTGCACATTCTTCGGTTCTTGGTCTTCTCGTGTTTACTTAGAGAAGATTACCAAGTTTAGCCGTAACAGTCCCTTTTTGTTTGTTTTTGAGAGATCTTGTTGACTTTTAGTACTGTTTCAAGAAGATGAAGGGGAAACTCTTTCAAGTAGTTTATGAAGTTATTTCTCTAATTTTTTTGCATGGAAGTAAAAAGTGAGAAAGTCATCGATTTGGGATGAGGGTTTTGTGACTATCCCGTCGCTGATTCGATGTTCAAAATAACCATATTTGGTAAATTACATTGTCTTATCCTTGTTACTCTCAGCCAATCAGAATCATGCGTTCCGACTCGCCTTGGAATAAACACTGCTGCTTATTCTAATTACTTCACTTGGTGGATTAGCGAAAGAGTGAACAAGGAGTGCTCCACAAATACCGCAAAAATGGTAAGTTTGCGTAGATTGTCTATCCAGTGGAATATTGTTTTGCAAATGAAAATACTTCTTAGCCGCAGCACATGTTGAAGCCAATTTGCGTACCCAAGTGAAAGTTTACTTTATGTCCAATAATTGTTAACGGTAGGCCAAGTAGGCCTATTTCCAGTAGTTTCAATGCACGCGCCTGATTAAACACTCATCTAGTTCGTTCCTGATTAAACTGTATATAAAATTGTGCAGTTTTCATAAATCTTGTTATGGTATAACTTTTATTTCGTGTAAATAAACGTCTAGTGTATCATACATTGGAATAATTGACTCAACCTCTCAGCAAAGAAAAACTACTTGTGTTTGGAGAGTACCTTCTAAGAAAGTATATGATTAAAAATTTGATAAACTTTTTCATGGGGTGTAAAGTACGGCTGCTTTCCATTTTCGTTACCGCCCAAAATGGCGTTTGCTTTGATCCCACAATCCATCACCACAAAGGAATCTTTGTACGCCCATGCGCATTTTCAGCACAAACTTTGAGTAGTCTTTTTGTTCATAAATGTTCATATTGTTGAAATAACCTTTTACTAATGTTGTCCTCTCTGTAGTGAGTTTTTGGAAGACGAAAATCTTTAGGCAAGCCTTCAACATGCCGTAACCTCGACATTATTTCATTGTCTTCCATAGCAGCTCGTAGAAAGTGTGCCAAATCGAAGTTGCAGGTGGCAGTATTGATATATTTAGATATTTTCTTTTACAGGCAGATCAACTCACTGAAGAACAAATCGCTGGTGAGTGGCAATTGTCGGTTTATACGAGTTATTTGCTACCTACGTTGACTTCTCCATTTTTATGAAAATTTTATATGTGATTACTACAAAAAGTTTATAAATTGACTTTTTTGAAAATTTGCATGTCAGCTTGCTTCTATGAGAAGAGTGGATACAAAATTTTATTCCCTTTTGTATGTTCTTTATTTACAAAAGTTAACTTTCACAAATAGAAGTTTTTACATAGAATTATATTTCTATTTTCCTGACCATGTCATCTAAGCATGTTTTATATTTTCTTCAACAGAATTCAAAGAGGCTTTCTCACTTTTTGATAAGGACGGAGATGGCACCATTACCACCAAGGAACTTGGCACAGTCATGAGGAGTCTGGGACAAAATCCAACTGAAGCAGAACTCCAAGACATGATCAATGAAGTAGATGCTGATGGTGTGTTTCCAGATTTTGTTATTTTGTATTCCATTTTTCCCATCTTCAATCATTTGTTCCCTAGTTTTTCATTATGATCATTATAAACAATATTTCTTGATGTAGCATTTATCACATCTTCTAATCTTCTTATTCAGTTGATGACTTTATTGTGTTTGAAGGATGAAAATGTTCACATTGAACTTTTCCTTGCAGGCAATGGCACCATTGATTTCCCAGAGTTTTTGACAATGATGGCTAGAAAAATGAAAGATTCTGACACTGAAGAAGAGATCAGGGAAGCATTCAGAGTTTTTGATAAGGACGGAAATGGTTTCATTAGTGCAGCAGAATTGAGACATGTTATGACAAACTTAGGAGAGAAGTTAACTGATGAGGAAGTTGACGAAATGATTAGGGAAGCAGATATTGATGGAGATGGACAGGTTAACTATGAAGGTATGTAGTTGTTATGTACTTAAGAATTTCATACATCATTGAGTTTATTAAAGGTTTCTGTTTCAGTTAAAAGGCTTGGATAATGTTTCCTAAATATCCCTTTTTTGTAAGTAAGAGCAACATTCATGGTGGTTCTTATTTTACAGAGTTTGTCAAGATGATGACATCAAAGTAAGGAGAAAAGAAGTTGTAACAGTGTTGGAGGAAGTAAAAGAGTCCTGTATTGTCAAGAAAGTCTTGCACTTTTACCTGGAACAGATTAAAAATTGGCTTAAACATAGAAATATTTCATATCATGTTGCTGGACAGTTACAAGCTGATCAACACATGCCTGGAATGTACATTTAAGCAAATATTCTTATGAGAGGGTTATAATCTAGAAACTGCACTGCTTTATATATGATAGGGGGTTTCTTTCAAGCCTGTTGACAATTAAAGGAGTTTAATGTTCAGTTAAGTGTCTTTAAAGCACATGATGTGATAGGCACATGTACATTTCTAGTAATGTTTTGGTTATTTGTACTGTTCTTTTGAGAGTAAGGGACAAACATCATTATTGAAGTTGGGGAAATAAAATTATATTTATGAGAGCATACTCATACACACTTAATAAGATGTAATTGTAATCATTCAAGTTGGTTTCTCTGATTTGCAACTCTCTCGCCAAACTTAGCCATTTCTGTCAACAAGCTGACAGTGGGTAATGTGGTTTTGGTAACTCGGGACGAGGATAAATCACTTTTTAACCAATGCATAATGCACTGATGGAAAGAAATTTGTGCAAATGTTACAACCAGCATGAAATCACTTGATGCATTTAGATACATGATTGTTGATAAAAGGTGGGGAATGACTCTGTAAACATTGGCTGCAAAAATTCGAAACATAGGCAGAGTAAAAGTCAAAGTTGCAAATGACTTGAAAAAATTATTAATAAGTCAAATGCTGTCCATACAGAACCTGTTGATGTTGTAGTCCAATGTGTGATACCTAGGATGAAAAAGTTTTCAAAAACTTTTGCACATGATCACAATAAAGTGACTAATTTCAGGGTTATTTTTTTACAAATTTTAGATACACCAAATCAATGTCTAATATTTCATGTCAGAAACAAGGGTACTAAGAACAGACTTTGTTAGGGGGAAAGGCCTGCTAATATAGTCTAACAAAGTTCAGTTGTATGGAGGGTGTGGCTAGTAAGCTTACTACCGTTTATTGAGGGGATTTGGCATCTGTTAACTGGTTTATCCTGTTTATATTGACTTGCAGAACCACATCCATAATTTTTTATCAATTTGATGTTACTTCACCCCTTCCCAAAAGCATATATAACTGAGCAATGAAGGGACAGGGGTTCGTAAGCAATAAGAAAGTTGGGGTGATGGTGCAAATGAATTTTCCAAGATTCTGGCTTTTATCCATGTTGTATTTTGTGAGTGAAGTTTAATAAAACTCCTAACAAAGTTCTCTCCAAAATACGTTAACAGCAGGGATGAAGAGAATGTGAATTTTAAGTGCTATCGTGTTATGTGTTATGAGGTAAAGAGTTAAACATATCGAGTGTAAAGGTTTTTTTGGTACAGCTACAATGATTCATTATATTTGCAGTCAAAAATTGTTATGACAAACCTTGGAACCCCTTTTTTGTAATTCCCAATTCTTTCCAAGGAAGTAGCAGACGAATAAAAACAAACGGTGGACAAGTTATAGAAATTTGAGTATAACAAATTTTAACTAGGAAAATAAGTTCTCTTATTTTTCTTAACCACAAACGTTATTTACGAACTTTTATTTAATAAATACCCTAGATTAATTGTACTTTACCTGCAAAAGAGCAGACTAGCGAATCATTGCAACGCAACAATGATGTACCAAGAACAAGCCCCTGTGGTATATCGTCATCATTTTCATCATCTATTTTAATGCAATGAATTTATTGCACAGATCCTAAGTATAATATAGGATTTTCACTGGCAGTAAATTAATAGATGATTATTAAAGCAAAAACCTTTAAGTAAATATCATCAAATGTAAGTATAGTCTTAATCATCTTAAATAAAATTAGGCTAGAAAATATGCACAAGTCAAGTATAGAAATATAAAATTACATTATATTTATGGCTATTGTGTTAAACATAGTCTGTAAAACTACAGTCATTTTAAGTTTTGTTCAAATTGAAAAAAATGTTTTTGATTGCTTCACTCTTGATGGTAATTTGTTCAAGTCAGCAGTGGCTTGATACAACAATGTTCTATGATGATGGCTCGTGGTGTTGTTTTCTTGTATTGTACCCATGAATTTGTAAGTTTGTATGGAACATTCCAGAGAGATATTGGGGGGGGGGGCTTGGTTGTTTAGACATTTATAAAGTAAACAGAGCCTATGAGTCTTTCGTTGTTCCTCAAGCCTCTTTCACTGAAGTATATATAAAGCTGGTGTCACATGGACAAACTTACGCATCCCAGTAACCACCTTTGCCGCAAAGTTTTGAATTGATTGAGCTTTGTGTAGTGGTGTTTTTTTTAACGCATTGTCATAGACAATATCGCCATATTGTACGCTTGAGAGTACACATGCTTGCACAAACTTGGAAAAAGTTTCTGGTCTGTTTCATTTGTATTCCCTGTACAAGATTTCTTTAGCTGAGAAATGTGGCTGTTCCATGAAAGTGTTTGATCAATCTGCATGCCAAGTAATTTACCCTCCTTTGCAGCTTCAACTTTATTGTCCTGAATATCAATTTTTGAACATGATGTGATAACTGAAACTTGTCCGGGTTTGTCTTTAACTTAGTTGCAGAGAACCACTCAAGTATCAAGTAAATATCATCCTTCAACATTGAGAGCGTTTCTTCAACCTTTTCAGCTTTTCAGTATATTTGAACCATTAGATGATAGTTTCTTAAGCATGGCTGGTATCTCGTTTATGTGCAGGTTGAATGGTGTAGGTTTCATGACAGATCCTTGTGGTACACCGCAGGGGACCTTTGCTCTACTTGACAATATGTTGCCGACTTTAACATATTGAAGTCTGTTTTGGAGGTAAATGTTGAACCAAAACATTGAGCGAGTGTCAAAACCATACCTTAGTAGCTTTTGAAGCATTTATAGGTGGTCAATGGTATCAAATGCTTTGCTAAAATCCATCAGTATTGTGGGTGTGATAAGGCCTTTGTCCATATTACATAAAATGTTATCAGTTATGCTTATGAGGGCAGTTTGAGGGAATGATTCTTGGGAAACCCAGAATAAAATTTTGTGAGAATATCATTATCTTTCAGATAGTGGGCCGCTTGTGAGTTTACAACCTTTTCCATCAGTTTGGAGAGAAGTGGTAAAACAGACACTGGACGATAATTTGCTAGTGTAGTTTTAGCTCCAGCTTTAAAAACTGGAGTAATCGATGACGATTCCAGATGGAAGGCTCTCCATTTACAACAGGTCTCCCCGTTCTACTTTTTAGAAGTGTCTTTACATTGCTATCTAGAATCTGCTAAATCAACGCCAGATAAATATCTCGTTCTGCTTAAGACGAAGATAAATATCTCCGCTTAGATGATAAACCCCAGTCAGGGTCGTTGCTAGCTAGTGTGCTTAAGGGTGTTGCTCAGATGAAGAGCAAGATCCTGGGGGCCTGGCCCACCAAAAAACTTAAATACCACAAGTACAGAGTTTCTACTTTCCTAAATATTAGTTCAAATTAACTTTTTTTGTCTTGGCACTTAAATTGGTCGTATGGAAGTTAAGGTTTCATCTTAAATCCTTCCCATCAGTGGCTTACATCATACCTGACTAATAGGATACAATACTGCCTAATCATTGGTTCATGTTCACAACATAAAAGGGACACAGTGTGGTATTCCCCAGGGTTAATGCCTTTTACCCCTTCTTCTTATCCAGTAAGTGAATGATTTTTAGCAATGCTTAGAAGAAAGTTAGATAATACTATGCATGCACATGACACTTAGTGGCGTCGCCAGCTCGAAAAAACTGGGGTAGACAAAGCAAATTTTATCGGCCACGCCCTTCAGACTCTACGAAAAGCCATTTTTTAGCATCTTTTATTCATTTTGAAATTTTTGGACAAGCAACTTTCCCAAGCAGCATTTTTCATAACGATGGCTTTTTTGCCAGTGCGAAAATCGAAATCGATCTGATCAGCCCAACTCCTCCCCAAAAGTTTTTCAATGGATTTCGAAAAAATAAAAAATCAACTTCTGGGAAAACTGGGGTGGACATGTCCACCCAGTGGCGACACCACTGATGACACTAGCCTAACATATTCTGCAGTAGACATTGAGAAGCTTTGCAATGATTTTTCCCTGGTTACCAGATCCTCACAAATCCTGGAATAGAGAGTATTGTAGACAGCTGCGGTGGCAAAGAATGAGTGGATGCAGAAGAGGGGAAGGAATCTATTTCCAATCCTTGCTCAAAAAATATCTGAGACTAAATAATGGAGACTCCGATACAATGATTTAGAAACAAGCGTAAGATCATTGCAGAGATGCGACAAAATAAACAAAGTTTGAATGCCCATAAAAACATAATAAAATGTTATTGGTCATAAATAAACGATGAATAAAACACACCCTGGAGATGATAAGTGTGGAAATAAAACGAGAAAAATAAAAACGTGCCCAAGAAGTGAGATATCTAGAAGTCAATGTCAATGAAATCCCTACTTCGAACAGGCAGTACAAACGACTAAATGATAAACTCATAGGTTGTCTTTCGTCATTGCGGAAATTTCACAAAATACACGTTTTTCAGTAAAAGAAACTAGTTTATAAGAAACCATTTTTAAAAAAAGAGTCAAAGATGAGTACCGTTAGAGACAAGAGATGAATCACTCCCAAAAAGTTGCATGAGATTTAGAGATTTTGAAAAATCTCATCCTGAGGCAGGAGATTTTAGGATTTTTCAGTAGATTACGGAATTTTTAAAAATCTGTCATTTCATTGTTAAAAGCAAGATAGTAAAGATTTTGGTCTTTTAAATGAAGATTCTGATTTTAAAGATTTTGGTCTTTTTTGGAAAGTTGATTATGATATTTATGATTTTCAGGTGATGTTGATTATGAGTTTCAGTTTGCTACGGAACAGAACGTGTGCACCAAACGAAAGCAAGTTTCTAGCAAGGATGAAACTGCTGCTTTAAAGTGGTTACCGTAAAAATTTGATTAAGCCCCCCGTTACTTTTTTTATGTTGGGTTTGGAAGTTTTTCTGTTGGCATCAAAAATCTATTATTAGAAGTTCTTAATTTAGACGGCATAAATACCTCTCAACATGCAAAATTATGTTCAAAATTGGGCGAGATGTGGCCAATCAAAGATTTCAAATTTGCAAACGGATTACTTTTATTCTGGCCTGGTTTATAAAGTTATGAACTAAGACCAAATTACAGAGGTTTGATGGGGAAGAGCCTGTGCTCAGATGGCTATGTCTCAGCCAAATTTGTAAAACATTCAACTGATTTTGTACATCAAGATGTATTTCATAATGCTACTTTGGAAGTTTGGGTCAAAATTCGAAAGTTTAAAAATAGATTCTTGTGACGTCATCGCTTTGATAACGTCAGGTCGAGATTCAGAATCAGATGGAGGCTAGCTATTTTTGGGCAGGGGTGCTTGATGTGAACGCTTTTCTCATGATCAAAGATATTGATTTATAAACTGCAAATATTTTGTCGAGGATTCGTTTCAAAAAAGCTTCGAATATTCCAGGATTGGGCAAAACCTTTCAGCCACTGCCAAAAAAATGTGAGAGTTCAACTTTCTTTTCTAGATTTTCGTGCCTCGCTCGGGTCGGTTATTTTCCCGCATTATCTATTAGTTTTCTAGATTTTAAGATTTCTTTTTTAGATTTTAAGATTTCTTTTCAATATTTCAAGCTTTTTTGAGGGATTTTAAGTTTATGCTGAGATTTCTTAGTTTTCATGATTTATTTTAAATATTTTGAGATTTCAGCAATTTTTAAAGAGATTTGAGCGATTTTTTTGACAATTTGTGAAAGGTGTACGAGATTTTTAGGAGTGATTCACACCTCGGTTAGAGACGGCTCCGAAGAGTGAGAGAACTATACAACTCTTAATGATATTGTAAGGTAGTGATGATTTTACTAGAGATCGTTTTGAATAACTTGCTTGCCAATAGTTTTTGCAAGTTTTTATTTTATTGATTGTTATTTCGAACATTATTTATTACATACATTGGATTTAGACCTGCATGGGTTCTTTCGTGACAATCTGCATTTACCTTCTTCCACAAATGCTCAACCTGAAAACAATAAGGCAGTTTTAGTTCTCGAAAGAAGCCAACTTAAACAACATTTAGTACTAAGTGCTGATCCAAGTTTATTATTTAAAAAACGTGTGCTCCCACACTCGAAACTAGACCAGGTGTACAGGTATCTTTTCAAGAAGCATAGCCATTTAGAATATTGTGATGAATTATGGGAGATTTGTCAATTACAAAGCTTGAAAATACTCAGCGTCTTCAAGATAGAGCTCAAGTAATAATTAAAAATGCTAGATTTGGTGATGGATGGAATTGTAAATGGATTTCAGTTTCGAGCGTAAAAATGTAACAGCGCCATAATGACATTTAAAATGGTTAACGAAATTTGCCTTGGCGGCCTCGTAGGTAGATTTGTCACTAGGTTGAAAATATCCAGCTATTCCATAAGTAGCCCGTGCTCTAGACCCCCAACTTAAAAGTAGAGACCTAACATTTTTGCCTCTCCTTTCAAGTAAGTGGTCTGGGACATAGGCTATTCCACAAGGAGCTAGCATGATATTCATATCCCAAGGTAAAAACTGGAATTCTCACAGAGAAGCTTCTTTTAATCTGGTGCTCTAACGTTGAATGAGATTCTTAAAAAGAATTCCTACAAAGTTGACAGATTCCAAAAGCATGATCCTTGGGTAGAACCGCAAATTTTTATTTGAGTTTATCAAAGAATTGCAATATTAGTTGTTTGTTTATGCTGATAGGGTATTTGTGGATAAAAGATAAATTGATTTTATTTTGGGAGCCTTACTAGCATGTCTAAGCAAATTTCGAAACAAAATGATAGAGTCCCAATAATCTATTTTTAGAAATTTTCCATTCTGACTTCATTACCTGTTATGATCATTCAATTGCTAAAATCTCCTTCGTCGCGACATGTTCGATACGCCGTCCCGTTCTGAAAGGTATACGTCATTAACAATGCTTTGCGGCCCTTGATTTCAGCCGTAGGCCTACAGTGGTGATCTTGTCTGAGAGAATTCATAAAGACGTCTACTTACAACATCGAATAAATCCTTTATTAAGTGAACGATTAGAGACAAACGAATGACAGAGCTTAACACATACACACTTTTTTAATTCATAATGGCTATATTTACTGATTGGAATTTGTAAATCGTCTAGAACCCTAGGAAGGGAAAACTACAACGAAACGATGTCAGTTCCAGGTATTTGGCTACTTTTTTACGATTTTTCTATCTTAGGCTAGCGCGATGTTATTTTAACGAATCAATTAAGTAGTAAGACTCAGTTTTTTTACAGCAAAATATTGAAACAATGGTTCTGCAACGTTAGTTTACCAAGCTTCACAAGGCAGTCCTGCCTAGGCTGCCATCATCGATCCATCCTTGCTGATTTCCTATTGCGATATCTTTGGCTTTAACAGCTGTTGGTAACCCACAGTAATTTACTTCATTTAAGAATAATGAAAAAATGTTTCAAGATATAGAATTTTCAAGAATTTTAAATTGTCATCTCATGTTAATGGCAGATCACTCCCTAGGCTTGGCGGTGACCATGTCGTAGATACGAAATCGTTTTTAATATCATAAATAAAATGGGCAGCAGAGAAGCAGGGTTCCCGTTTCCTACGGTACCAAGCAGGCCAATAATTTTAAACATTCCTGCTACTTTGTATTTTATCACAGACGTATTATATGTATGACCTGATGGTAAAAGCAACATAAAATGAAATAGCAATTTCGACAATCCAAGCAGCCAAAGGTTATGGTTTTTAAACAAAATTTTGATAGGAGTTGATGGTATTTGATACATCGTTTGTTTTTCTCAAGATATTCTACTACTTTAGTAAGATTTTTTGTTTTTAATACTAAGACCAAATTTTTCTACTAGTTCAAAAACTTGCAACAAAAGTCCCATTCAAAGTGAAGTAAAAGATTTGCAGGTGTTTAACTAGATTAAAAAGCATGCAGGTTCTGGTGCAAAATTTGCAACCAACTCTAATTTCTAAAACCTGCAAGATAAAAAACTCTAATTTCTAAAACCTGCAAGATAAAATATTTCATTCAATTTTTTTATCAGTGACAATAAACTTAACCAACTAAGGTTAACTTAACTATATCAAATATATATTTATTATAACATTACTAGATTTTGTCTGTATGCAAAATTGGCAACATAGAACTACCAAAGTACTTAATATATATATATCTTAAGTGACTTTCCTCATTTAAGAGTAAATAAATATAATTTAGTGGCTCTGGCAAAGGCTTAAAAACCGAATCAGGAAATGTAACCACCATAGCTACCATAAAGATCTCCAGAGGTTGCTTCGGATGTCACCAGTCATTAAATTGATTCATTTTGAACCATCAAAAGATTGTTGCTTTTGATGCCATTGTCCATTCTGACCAAATGTCTGCATTTTCCTTGTCAGTCTTGGCTTATATTTACATATTGCTGCTCTTTAAATTAGAACTAGATTTGATTCAACTAAGGAGATAGGAAAGTTGACTTCAAAGTTTGTGTACTAGTTAAAAAATTCCTCATGGGCTTCACAAACACTGGCACTCTTTATTGTCATGTTGGTTGTGTTATGGATTACTCTAGTTAAATCCAATCAAAGAAGAATTCTCCAAAGCACCAAGGTAGCTCAAGAGGGCTCAACCCCCTTCAACTTTTTAAAAGGGGGTTGCACTCCCTCCTCTTGTTTCTGGGTAATTCTAAAATATCATGGCTAATTTCTACCAGGGTCAAATCTTTGATTGAGCCAATGTTACTTTTAGAAAATTGCATTCATGTGTGACCTCAATAGTCCTCTTGATAACTGAAAACTCAATAAATGCTAGCAAGATTTTACTACTTTAAATTATTTATTTTCAAGATTTTTTTACTTGAGTAACAGGTAAACATCGGAAGATGATTTAACCCAAGCAAAAGTGGAAAGGGAAAGAAATTGATTATGAGGAGCCATGCAAACAAAAACAATTGAAATGTGCATTTTGTATACAATATAGAGAAGGCTCTATGGCCCCTCTACATTTTTTGCTCTACACTACTGGTTTCAGGTCCACTTTTAGTTTCAGTTCCAGTTTCAATCATTGATTTGAATTCAACTGCATACAAATAAATGAAAATTTAATAACTTACAACCATTTGAGTAACCACAGATTATAACAAATGTGAATGGCAACTATCTAAAATCTATATACATATCTTCATGTTTACTTATAAAAATTGAGATGTTAGGTTTGCAAGAAAAATTTTAAAAGTTACACTCTGCCAGATGATTATCAGAAGAGAGTAACTTCTGATAGGAGTTGAGGTAAACTATGTTGCACCCATCTGATACAGAATGCTAAGGAGGTGATACAAAAGTCACTTCAGGGTCACTCTGTTGTGGAGCATTGCCATGTATTCGCATGAATCTGGTATACTCCAATCATAATCTAGCATTTTCTTAGTGTTTTCTGCTTTGAAGCAACTTGATCATTAGTAAACAATGACAAATTTCAGATATTTTTGGTGGCTATTAAATAATGCCCAAAAAATTAGCCAAACTTTTTTGTGTTTAGATTTAACCCTATCTAAAACAATTCCATTGAAACAGCACTTGGATTAATTTATTCTGCACATCTGACAGTAATGCAATCATGTTATCTGTCCAGCAAATCCCATCACCCATCTCTCACTTTTCAGGGCTGTTTTCCTCCATTTTATGCGGCCTTTATTGCAAAGCATAAAATGGCCGACTGTGAAATCTTTATGCTTGCTGCAATGCTGTCAAGTCTGAATCAATTCTTTCAGCAATGTTTTACGTTTGTGAACCAGGGCTTCCACATCCAGGTGTCTCTGCATTGTGCCTTCAGCCAAACAGGCCTTTATAGCGTTCACTTCTTGTTTACATGCAACCCACCCCCTTAAATGCTCACCCTATAACTTCTTTTTGTATACTCAGTCAGATGTATAAAAACATGTTTAATTTGCTGGTCTCTCACTGAAAGGTGAAGGAGTGGGGCTGATCCTCTGTGACTATCTGAGAAGAATTCCAAGCACAATAAACTGGGAATCTATTTCAGAATTCATAGTTCACTGTGTTGATTTTTGAATTGCATTACATGTATTCCATAAAAATTTGGTCACTGGAGAAGTTAGGCCCTGGTCACTCTATTCCTTTTCCAGATAAAAACATAGCTGATTCATTACTCTTATTTGAGAGCCAACATATGCATTCAAAAAGCTTATACTGTCTTCTAAGAGACAGAATTCCAGAAAAATTGTTGAACCACCATTCTCAGCTCAGCACTTATAACCTTTTTATAGATCTCTGTCAACTTTTTTGCAAAGTTTTAGCAAACAGACTTTGAAGTGGTAACAAAGAATCATCAAAGTAAGAGAAATGAAATTATCATACATGACTCTGAAGTTTATTAGAGAAGCATCAGATGAAACATACAATACAATTTTCAGAAGAATGAAAGCGATTTGCTACTAATTATAGATGGCAAAAATGAATATTTTTCAAATCAGAGATTAGTTAGAAAAAACGACACAGATGATGCAGTCAAACTTAAAATTATTCTCTTATGTTTTCAAATAGCAATCTATGTTTAAAGCTAAGAGACTGAAATTTAATGGCGAATGTTGTTTACAAACATTGATGGAGTCTACATTAACTAACACAATCATGAAAGTATGGTGCCCCTCTAATAATCCTCATCTTATGGTACTAGTGTCTCTATTTCACACTCTCAGTCAGTACAACACAGTGTCTTCTGTCAAATTGCTCTTTATTGCTCACAATACTTCTTGTCATTACCAATCTCCCCAGACTTATCAACTGCCCACTTCATAGATGTTTTTAACTGCATCATTGCTCAATATAAAAATTCCCTATTTTTCTAGTTTGCACTAGTGTGAGGCATGATTCAGGAAATAATATTTCAAATATCACTTTCAGAAATTAATTTTGATTTGAGGAATGATCAATCTGTTTCTGTTTTTGCTTGCACTATTCTAGCTGGCTCTGTAAGCTGCCTGACACCCATTTTAGAGGTGTTGACTCAAGCATCCCGGAACACACCTCAACATCCCTGAGTGCACCCAAGCATCCCAGTGCCCAGACATATTAACTTCCTGGGAGTGACAAAAATATTATCAAAGTGTTTGAAAATACACAATATTTTGGTGGCAAGATTTTGACTTTTTGACCTATGAAGTCATCCATCTTTTGGAAAGGAGTTTGTTATTGGAGTTCACTGTGTGCAGCAGGAGAACTTTACATCTGAAAACATAAGGTTTTTGTTAACCAGCCTAAAAGTAGACATTGGATCATTAAATTTATCAAGGAACATTTGAAAAATTACACTAGTTTTTTAGAGTCCTAGCAAAAGTTAGAAGAAAGAATTTCTTCAGGCAGGCTTATGGTGTAACCCAAAAAATTCTTGACAGTTTCTTTTTAAAAAGTCTTTTTGCCCTGTCTATGCTAAGATGGCTGTATTGGATCTCAACAGTTGGTACTCACAGCTTGATAATTTTTTTTTGTTAACACCCCTCAGAGCTTATTAGGACCCCTCGTTCATTAATTTTCCATTTTTATAATAACGTTTATTGGCAATAACAAGTTCCTCTAAGCTAGGATTTTTTTATTACAGAAAAAAGTTTCCCTTTTTATTGTGACTGCTTATTTTATAGGAACATAAGATAAGGCCCATGGTCTGTAGACCTATGAAACAGTCAACTTTTACAGATATTTGCATTTTTTTAGAAATTTTTTTATATTTATCTGAAGCAGTTTCATAATATCCCTAGTAATTATTATATAAATTGTTATCTCTTTTTTAGACAACGCTTCAAATACCTTTGGTAACCAAAGACCATTCATACCACCAGTGAGTTATGCTCTGTAGTTTTTATTATTTTGATGATATTATAAAGTTTTTGATATTGTATTATAAATAAAATCTTTAGAGAGCTGTGACTTTCACGTTCAACCTTCATATACAGCAACAAAGTAGGTGATTTGACCCACTTGACATTTTCATGGTGAGCTTAGCCACCCCTTTTTGCATTAAAGTGCAGTACCTCTTTGCAAGAAGTCACACAAAGAGTATGATTAAGCAAACTGCAAATCAAGTATACCTTTGGCAGTTGAGATTCTCTATCAAAATAGTATATCAAAATTTTGGGTGTCAAATTCATGATTAATTGATTCTTTTTTATAGAAATATTTTAATTTTTAATTGGAGCAACCCTTAGGAAAATAAACAGCAATAAACCTTGTTAGAGTCTGTTCTCTTGAACCTTTGCGGACTTCAATAGCCTCTGGTCATAGGTATTTTTGTTAGATTTTTACTTATTAGGTATGTATGTTTGATGTAACTTATGATATTTTGATATATTGTATACTAAAAAACAATAAAACAAAACCCTTCTACCAAAATTGAATAGTTTAATGATTAGTTTTTGATAGAGTGGCAATTGAGAAGTTCTTGTTTTTATCCAATTGTTCATTTTCTAATTTCTTCTTAGAATCAAAGAGGGCCACCAGGGCAGGGAATGCCACCACGGCCACTGGGCTTTCAACAACGGCAAATGCAATATCATCCGCAAACTGGTCATATGGCCCATTCGCAGAATTTTGGACAAGTTCAATATAACATGGGGATGATGGCAGCACCTGGCAATGTTTGTTCCTTGTTTGATTCTTTTGTCTGTTTAAAGAAGATCTTTGCAATTATCTGTTATTGCAGTTTCCATTATGAAATTATGCAATTTTCTCTCAAGGTTACATTTGGTGGGTGGATTAGGGATTGTGTATTTTCTGTGGGTTGCCAAGATGAAATATTTTAAGGTGGTTTGTAGTATATAGTTAAGGTGGTGATTTGTAGTAAAATACCTATTTTGCATTCAACTGCCTCCCCACATACATAAATGGAAGTATATTTGGAAAGGTTTATGGAGATGCCAACAATCATCATCATCTTTTTCATAAGAATAATAATAATAATAATTTTGACTGTGGAAATGTTCATCGAGCTTAGGTTGCTTGAATTAAAAGAGTTAAATTTTGAAAGACAGAAAACTAATAAAGACTATTTAAAAGGTGGCAGCAGCATAATAGGTGTCAGGAAATATGATAAATTTAATTAATATTCAATTTAAATTGATATAATAATATAAATATAATGATATAATAATGTATTAATTAAGTTGATATGATACGATACAGTTTTGTAAAAAATTGTTTCAGAACGATGCTAAAATTGTTGTGGCATTACATTTTTCAAATGGAGTAAGACTATTTTGAATCAGGGAGAAGAGTAATTCACAAACAGAGCTATTTTTCGTTTACTTTTTACCATGTTATTGTTCATTGTCAACGCCAAGGCTTTATTGCTAGTCACCCAGTAAGGTCTTTTTGTAGATAATTCCACAGAGAAGCTCCCGGGTTTAGGGTCATTTTGTGACTCAATTTTCTATTTGTCCTTTGAACTTGTAATTTTTTCTTTTATGGTATTTTAATCATGCTAACTTTCATTAACAATATGATAGTGTCAAAAAGTTTTAGGTAAATCTTGAGTGGATCTCACACCTGTCCAATTTTCTTCTTCACTTCATAAATTATGTCAATACTCTTTATTTCCTACGTTGTCCAGATTTTAGATTTGCTTCCTTTATAATTACAGTTACAATTGCTACTCACATGGCAGCTTATTTTATACTTTGACTCATAAAGCTTTTACTAAGCAATCGTGACTCTTTTCATCACAGTTATATGTTGTACCAACTGGTCCATTTGGAATGCAAAACCAATCATTATTCAAGGTAGAAGCTATGCCTCGTCAGCCACAGTACAGGTATTGTGCACCTCCACAATCAATGGCACCGACAGCACAGGTAGTGAATTATTCGACATCAGTATCACAACCAATGCCACAACAAGTAGCTATGCCGCTTGGTATACAGCCCTCCATCCAAGGGCAGATGCAGAGTCAGCAACAGATGCCATCCTCAGCTGCTCCTGTTTCACAGCCAGCGCAACCTCAACGGTCAGAGAGATCTAAAATAAGAATAAGGGATCCTAACCAAGGGGGTAAAGATATAACTGAAGAAATTCTGAAAAAGAAGAAAGAGCCAGCTGTTCAAGCTGATGCTCCAGCAGCTCAAGCTCCAGCAGTTGCTGCTCCACAAATACCTGTTTCTGTACCTGTTAGTGGTGATGAAAAAATCAAAGCAGAATTTGCTGCAAAAGTTGCTGCAGCAAAAGCAGGTAATTTTGAACAAACCAGGGCAACAGACAAGCCAAAGCCAGATCAATTACCAAGCATAAAACCTGGTGCTGAGATCAACCAAAAGACTGAAAGTTCAAGTTCTTTACTGGAACAGCCAAATGTAAAAACGGAACCTCAGGGGTCTGCTGCAGAATCAGGACAGTTAGATGAACATCCAAAGCCAATTTCTAAAGTCAATGATGAAGGCTCAAGAAGTAAGGAGTCATCAGTTGTCGTTTGTGATTCAATATCTAATATTGATACAGAGTCTGCCAAAAAGGAGGAAAATGAAGTTGTTGTAAATGGAAATGATGTCGATGAACCCAAAGAAAAAATAAGTGCTGAACATGTCATAGAAAGTTCAAATGATTCAACAAATGATTTGATTAATGATCCATCTGATACTGCTTTAAGTGTAGATGAGGTTAAGCCTTGCGAAGAGCAAGTTGAGATGATTGAAAACAAAGAAAATAGTATGTTGCCAAGTGATAACACTTCAAGGACCTCGGAGAGTTATTTGTCTGAAGCTTCTGTTGACGAAACTAAAAATACAAGTGTTGACAAAGAGGATGCGGAAATAGCAGTAGAGCCTGTTCCAAGTGAAGATGCAAATGTTGTTTTGAACCTGCCAACAGATTCTGAAGAGAAAACAGAAGTTGATGGTCCATTGACAAATGGAGTTGATAAGCCTGCCTCTTCAATAAGTGCTCCACTTGTCCAAGGTAACCATTTTTAAGTCCTAATTCTTTTTCTTGATATTTCAAACCTTACTCCATTTTGTCTTTATCCATATTGAAATTTCACGATTGGGTACTTAACTTCAAATGCCAAGAAAATTTAAGATGTTTTAAATTCTATTTAGTAAATTATTAGATACTAAATCATAGGTGCATAATTAATTCATAGCTTGTTCAACACAAGCCTTAAGCCATGCCATCCAAGTTTATAAGAGAACATTTAGCAACTGTTGTTTACCATGTGCTTACAAACATACTGTATTTACTCGAGTGAGCGCCGCAGCGCTATTTCAATTTCCAGTACTTTTGATGCTGCACTTATTTGGAGGCGGCGCTCTAACGGAGACGGCGCTCATACGAAGGCGGTGCTCATACGAAGGCGGCGCTCATACGAAGGCGGTGCTCATACGGAGGCAGCGCTCATACGGAGGCGGCGCTCAACCGTAGGCTCAATACGTATTTATCAAAGTTTGATTTTTGCAAGCAGGTAGCTTTGTCTCGTTGATGTTGTTATTTATTTGCTCGTTTTTCAGTTTTCTTGCTCTTATAATCTAATCTTATATCTCGGATAGACAATTACTCACAATTACTCGAACAAAATCTTCTCTCTTTTATAAACCATTGTAAAACCATTGCATATTTTTTATTCCAATAGTATGCAAGAAATTGCCTACGTTACTGTTCAGATAAACATCCATAAACGCCTAACAGTGAATTTCCTTAACCTCTCACCCATCCAAACATTTTCCCTCTGTTTGACACGCTCTTTTCAAGGGCAGGGATTTACCATATAGTCGCTCGTGTTCCTCTACTGAAGCCTTTATCAGATTATGTTAATACAAACAACGTTGACATTATGAGTTACTTCTAATTGCAGCACCTAAAAAGAAGAAAAAGAAGGAATATAGAGACAAAGACACAGATCTCATGAGTGCATTCATTGATAAACCAGAAGAGGAGGTATATTTTTAGCTTGTTTCTTGGTAATTTATGGGTAAATCAATTTACCATCAGTTTTTAGTTATGTGTGACAAAGCTCAACACCCTTTATCTCCAAGCGTTTGACGATTGAAAGATCAATGACCAGAGATCGGCACAGTAACAAAACTTTTAGGTAGATTTATAGAGAGTTTTTTCTTGTTCTGGGCTTTTGTATACGACATTATTTCCTTAAAATCCCAAATTTCGCTTCACCATTTTGTTTGCCTGGGTAAAAGTCAATAAATGCACAATATAAAGTTTTGTTTATAGAAGTCTAAATGCAGAAATGTATTTGTTCTAGGTTGTTGAAACTTCTCCAGAAGAAATTGAAGAAGGCGAGATTAAGGAAGAGCCTGTCATTGAAGAGGAAACCTGGGAAGACAAAGACATAAAAACAGACGATGATGTCTCAAAAGCAGGTGAAAAGTCTGCTTCTGGTGTTGTCTTCTGAAAGATGATCGCTCGTTTCAACAAATTGTACATTGCAAGGCGTCAATAAAACGACTACTGCATTTTAGAGTTTCACGAAACTGTTTCTAAATATTGCATGACCATTTTAAAAGTGACTGATTTAATAATATTTAAGCATGATAACAGTCACATAGCTGCCAAGTGAGGCAGCTTTCAACACCTTAATCACAACTAGCTGTATCTTGTTTTGTTTAAGAGGTATGCATTCACTTTTTGAGGTATCCCCCATTCATGCAATCAGAAAGCATGCAAAGTTATAATTTCTTGCTCAGCAACTCTGCTAAAAAATTCCCCTACATATATAGATGAACTGTCATCTTGACTGTAGGGAAGATCCACCAACATATGAATGACTTTTCCTTGTCTTTCTTTGATGAATGCCTTGTAACTCAAACATTGGTTTCATTTCTCATGCAGAAAAAGGGCGGTGCTACGACCGAGACTTTCTACTTCGTTTCCGATTTAGTACAGAAAAGCCTAAAGATTTGCCAAATATGGATATTATTCTGCGTGAAGCTAACGAGCCTACAAAGCTGGAGAAAGAAAGGTAAGTTTCTATCAAAACATCTCTATTCCTATTTATTATCGTTTCGAAGCATTTTTCCATAATTTGCTAGGTAATGGCAAAGCTACTTGTTGCTATATCTCTTCCTTTCCTCTTCATTAGCTCATCATACCTGTTTGTTAGCTCCTCATACCTGTTCGTTAGCTCCTCATACCTGTTCGTTAGCTCCTCATACCTGTTCCTCAGCTCCACATACCTGTTCCTTAGCTCCTCATACCTGTTCCTTAGCTCCTCATACCTGTTCCTTAGCTCCTCATACCTGTTTCTTAGCTCCTCATACCTGTTCCTTAGCTCCTCATACCTGTTTCTGAGCTCCTCATACCTGTTCCTTAGCTCCTCATACCTGTTCCTTAGCTCCTCATACCTGTTTCTTAGCTCCTCATACCTGTTCCTTAGCTCCTCATACCTGTTCCTTAGCTCCTCATACCTTTTTCTTAGCTCCTCATACCTGTTCCTTAGCTCCTCCAATCTGTTCCTTAGCTCCTCATACCTGTTCGTTAGCTCCTTATACCTGTTCCTTAGTTCATCATACCTGTTTTTTAGCTCCTCATACCTGTTCGTTAGCTCATCATACCTGTTCCTTGGCTCCTCATACCTGTTCGTTAGCTCCTTATACCTGTTCCTTAGTTCATCATACCTGTTTTTTAGCTCCTCATACCTGTTCGTTAGCTCATCATACCTGTTCCTTGGCTCCTCATACCTGTTCATTAGCTCCTCATTCTAGTTCAGTAACTTCTACTTTGTGATTAAAATCCGCCAGTCAATGCAAGGTCTTCAGTCAATCTCTTACTTTTTAGAAAAATCCTCGAAAAACTAGACATTTTACATTGTATTTTGGTAGCGTATGAGCATTTATGTTTTCATTTGATGTACAGGCTACCATCATCTGGTGGCGATTTTTTCATGCCTAAATTTATGCGGCAAGGAAGCGGTGGCAGGCAGGCCGGGATGAGCAGAAGTGGAAAAGGCGGCCGGCTCGCTCCTCCAAAGAAGATTATCCCCACAAACTTTGATACCAAAGTTGAATTGAAGAAATCAGAAAATGCTTGGGTGCGTTCGTCTGAGAAAACCAAGGAACCTGCTGGAGGAGAGTCAGAAATAGAGGTAAGTTTGAAAATTTTCGGCCAATGGACATCTTGTACCAATACTAAGAACATTCAATAGCTTGAATGATTTAAATACTACAGTAAGTTGATGGAAGTAGTCTGTGGCCGTCATTCGAAGTTTTGTTCTTTTACTTTCTTTCCATGAGTGAATAAGGACAAAATGCTGGATGTACCTTGTCTAATTTTGTAAATACTTTCTTTTTTATCATTAAATACGATATCTGTATCAGAGAGAAATTAGAGAAAACAAACGAATATTTGGGAACTAGAATATTTAGAACGTGAAGACCTTACAATTTAGAACCTTTTGAGCCTTCTTTCAAATACCTTAGCACATTTCAAGCCTTGACCATTTTAAGCCTTGACCATTTCGGATTTTGAATTGGACAATAGATTAGCAATGCAATGCTTGTAAAGATCTATATTTCTTTAAAAACGGGATACACTTTGTAGATATAAAATGAGAAAAAGCACTCGCTATAATGTTATCTAGACTAAAATCTTATATCATCAAGATGAGACTGGGGAAGGATTGCGAGGGGCGCCTAGGAGAAATGGATATACCGAATTAAAGTCCCGAAATTGTCCCTTGTGGGTTTCTGGTTGATGAGTTGCTTTTTTATTATTTTCTGGCCTTTTCAAGCTAATTGCTCAAAATATTCAAGGGGAACACACAACCACTCCCCATCTGAGTTTGAGGCTGTAACCAGGTGGTAGTGACTGCTTTTTAGTTACTCTTTTCTTATTTTCCCTTCTGGATGTTACATTTTTGTTAACATAATTGATTGTTTTGTTGTTACCTTCTATGCCTATAAAACACTGGAGAAAATCCGCAAGGTCTGATTGAGAAAAATGAAAAATATGCAATCGTTTCCTTCATTTAAAGTACAATGAGGAACTTGATCTACTACTGTTCGTACAGAATATCAACTTGTTGCTAAATGTAACTGAGTGGAAAAAGTGGTTGGAACTCGTTATAATCAATGAGTAACTTGTTCGAAAATCAATTGATTTGTTATTTCTTTCAGGCACTGACTCGTTTAGCTAGAGGCATTCTGAATAAACTGACCCCACAGAAGTTTGATAAACTTGTGGAGCAGATGAAATCATTGCCAATAGACTCTGTCGAAAAGCTAAAGTGTGTAATTGATCTGATTTTTGAGAAGGTAAGTTGAATGACGTTAGTTCTAAATATGAATAAAATTGATAGGAATAAAGCTCAGCCAATGGTTGTGATCAAATGATCTCCTTGTTGAAGCATGAGCAAATATTTGTTCTAGCATGAAAGTTGTCCCCTTCACAATATTGGGTTCCAAATGAGTCTGCAGACGATCTTTATCATTTTGCAACAAAGTTGCGTTTCAGTTCAACGCATATCTCGCATAATGCACCACAGCAGGGGATGGGTGCCATATGTCTAAAATCCTACATTACTTGCTTCTTCAAATCGAGCTTGTTTTCCTTTCTTGTAGTGCCCACAGCAAGCATATTAATAACACGCAATGATTAAAATCCCATGTTGTTTGAAAATGGCTCAATTGTTTAAACGTGCTGGAAACATTGCTCACGTAAAATTACGAGTTGCCAAACAATGCTACTCCATTTTGTCGCGGTATTTGTCAGACCATGAAGACATCCAATGGCTTCTTCTTGTTCCACGAATAGCTTCCTATTGTAGCACGAATAATTTTTTATCGTTTGACAAAGAGTACACCACACAAGATGAACAAGCAATCACATGCAACTTCTCACAACCGATATTAGTTGGCTGTTATTTTTAGCTTGCCCAGACCTCTGACACAATGCATCTTTCATATCGGTTGTGTGTCTAATGAAAAAGGGGAAGAAATTGAGATCTAAGTACTAAGATCGTTTGAAAGTTTCGGGGATATAAGAAGCTTATCTGTGATGAGTGCTTTTTCCACGCTTCTCATACACCAGTTTCCTAAATCTAATTTAATATTTTTTATTGCTTAGATTGTTTCTACTGTCCCAAAGAAACCTGAAATATCTCATAATGAATCTTTCTAGGCATTATCAGAGCCAAATTTCAGTAAAGCGTATGCTCAACTTTGTGACGAAGTTTCGAAAAAGGTAAGCTGAAATATGAGCAGCTTTTCACTAGTTGATGGATTTGAATTATTGATTGATTCATCATCAGTCATCATCATCAGTCATCATGATCAATCATCACCATGTGATTCCCAACATCAATTCCAGCAATGAATTTCAACTTTGTTCTCTGAATGAAAATAGACTGAACGTAAACTCAGCTCTATTCAAAACTATGCCACAAAAATTTGAGCCCCTCCCCTCGAATTAGCTTGAAACATGAGTAATGTGTATGCTGGCTTTAAAATAGCTTTTAAAAGACCACTCCCGTCGTGTTCCTTCTTTCAAAGTGTTCCTATTTAATAAGCTCTTAAGTTATAAATAAAAAAAATAGGCCCATGTCAAATTTTTTCTTTGTTAAGCATTTTATACTTTGCGGAGAGCAATGGCAGACACCTGGGGGGGGGGGGGGGATAGGGGTTGTTGCCCCCCAATACTTTGGAAGACAATGGTTTTTTGTTCTAAAACATTAGGGAAATGTGACGTCATCTTATTAAAACAATAGGCTTGCCCCATTTCAGTCATTGAGAAAAGTTTGTGTGTGTATTCAGAAAGAAATTGCTGTAGAAGAGCTATATATAGGAGCCGAAAATATTTTTACCTTTGACCAGAAATTATGACATTAAAGGAATATATATATATATATAGGGCTTGCTCTTAGAATGAAAACTTTTTTACAATACACATTCATATTACGTCATTCTAGAAAATATCAATAGAAAGTGGCAAAGGATCAAACGTCAGTTTCAAAAGAATTCTTCTGAACAAGTGTCAGTTTGAATTTGAAAAAGAAAAATCCGATGAACAGCAGCTCGAGAAAGAGCAAGATAAACATTATGAGAATGTAAGTACTCTTTTAAAGGAACTGTATAAGAAACAACGGTATTTCGAGGAATCATCTGCTTCTGACAGTGATTTGTTTTCTTTGTTTTACTCTCACATGATTCTGCGAAACCTTCTGACATGAACTTGAACTTTCTCTTGTCCAAAGTCTTGACCCCTTAAAATTTAATGGTCTACCATTATGGTGTTGATTTTTCGTCATTTTTAAGTTTTATTTTGATACATAAAGTCTTCCAACACGAGCTCCAGAATGTACAGTAATTAACCATTTCTCTGTATTTAGGCCGATGAAGAAAAAGCCTGGCAAGAAGAGCTGGCCTTAAAAAGGCAAAAAACTAAGAGACGTTCTCTTGGTAACATCAGATTTATTGGGGAGCTGTTCAATCTTAAGGTGAGTCGCTATCATATGTAAACAAAAGTATTCTCTACATTGTTGAGACAAGGGGCAGAGTAAATTTATGAAGCGCAAAAAGTCGACCCTTGCAAGTTGCAGCTCCTTTAAGACACAATGACGATATAATTGGCTGCCGAAAGATGGCTGATGAAAGGCCACCGTGATATAGGAAGTGGTCAAATAGTTTTCCCTTTTCAAGTTTTGTAGACCTATTGTTTAGCTGTTTGTCTTTTTCTGCTTGAGATGCTCTGTTCCTATTCCTTTTACAGTCTTATTTGTTTTTACAAACAGATGTTGACAGAAGCAATTATGCATACATGTATCACCAAACTGCTGAAAGACCGCGACGAAGAGTCGTTGGAATGTCTGTGCAAGTTGGTAACGACCATTGGAAAGGATATAGATCATGAAAAGGCCAAGGTAGGTTCATTTTTTTCTGAAAATATGGTTTCAAATTGTATTTCTGAAGAAGATGTACTTCTGCTTCATCTCTTCAGTTAAGATATGTAAGTGTTGCTTATAAAGAACATATGTTGTTTTGATATCGACATGTTTTTAAGTTGCTGCTTTATGTTAAGCCCAGAATAACACAAAGGCCTACAAAAGCCCGATTTTTCTGTTACGCCACTAGCAATTACATAACCGCATTTGTGACTAATCTCCTTTCCACATGAAGTAGATTGACCCTGAATTTGAAAAGGAACCATGTGATTTACAGATAGAAAATGCTTCAAGCTTTTACCTCTGTGCATGAGTTTTTTGAGTGCATGAAGATGGCAGATGGTTCTAGAACAAATATCCAAGTCTTGGCCATCGCAGTTGAACCCTGCAGAGTCTAGACGAAATTGTTATTCGCTGAAATGGTTTTCTGAATTAATTATTGTATTTAGTTTTACTAGCTATTATAACAGATAATTTTCAATTGTTTTGATCTTAATTTTTCGTTTTGATAGCTCTTTCTTTCAAGAAATTTGTTATAATCCTGTGAATTCTATTTTATCTGGGTGTTATAACAATTTTTTCTGGTACCAATAATCTATAGCCCGATAACCTCTCCACCCATATGCATGGGTTTCGTTGAGTGCAGGAAGATGACGGACGATACTAGAACAAAAATTCAGGACTGTATGTTGACAATTTTTATTGCATATTAGATCATTACATTTTGGTGTCATTTGATATTTCAAGTTTTCAAATATTCCAGCCACGGACCAATCAATATTTCGATCAAGTAGAGAAGATTATCAACCAGAAAAAAGTTTCGTCACGAATCATATTCATGCTTCAAGATTTGAAGGACCTGCGGCGGTCTAATTGGGTTGCTAGACGAATATTGGATGCCCCCAAGACCATCGATGAAATTCACGAGGAGGCCAAGTTGGAAGAGATTCAAATGCAAATGGCTCATCAGCAAGCTGCTCAGAAAAGATTAATGAATAAAGGTAGCGTTCATTCAGATACTGTTCAATCTTTCTGGCATTCGTTTATTCACTGAGTTTTCTCCCCACAAACAAACATGGCTCCCAGAAGACTCTCGGGAATCGGCATGGCCATCTTCGAAGCACTTATGCCCATATTTGCAGATTCGTTGCTGATATTTTCTCTCTTATGTTTCAAAATACCCGCATTAATTGCTTACCACTTAGTATTGCCTACTCTTTCCAGTGTATCTGGTATATAAGAGTAAACTATGAAAATGTAGCTTCATCCAGGTTGTTTTAACGAGCTTCCTCTTGTTACTCCAACAAATAGGAAAAATACACCTTTTCCCTGTCCTTATGACTCTTTAACTGTTATGGCCGGTGTATTTCATAGTCTCTAGCACACAGTTAAAGTTTAATTGTGTCAGTTTTTTATGGTGGCATTGTGTTCGTTATTGAAGGAGGCAGAGAGAGTCCGGCACCAAATCGTAGCATGCAGAGTGACGAAGGCTGGAATCAAGTGCAATCAAAAGGAGGTCGCAACATGGTGACAGTAGACCCAAATAGATTGAAAATTACAAAGGTTTGTTGTATTGTTTGTTTGTTTGTAACCTTATTTTTATTCGATATTGCTTCTAGCTATACATATATATATATATATATGTATTCAAAAGCTCTAGACTGTAATGTTTTTTAAAAAAATTTAAATAGATGATCAGTAAAAAAACAACTTGATTAACGTTTCGCAATATGCTTCTTCAGAATCTGAAGAAGCATATATCTTTATATATAATATATATATATATGGATATATACACATACAACTAATCTAAATCGAATCTACTGTACAACAAAAGAAGAGGAAATAACTAAGAAAATAAATATCTACATACATAAGCTAAATATTTGAAGCAACTTGGATATGAATGGACAAAATTTACAGGATATCGATATCATTATATTTGCAAACGTTGCATTTACAGCTAGGACCATCCCATCGTGTTATCATACGTTTGAAGCTGTTAAGATTGTCATCTGATTTTAGTTCATTTGGCAGACAGTTCCAGATCTGAGGTCCTATGGCTTTAAGGCTCTTGGAACCGAAAGTTACTTAGTTTGGTCGAAAATTGATTTAAGTTTTTAGGATTCAGAGAAGGATGTTTTAATGTTCTTGAACTAAAAATGCTATGCATAAAAGGTGGATTCAAATTTCTAATTGTTTTGAATATTTCAATACAGAGGGTTCTCTGACGAGCAACTTGCATTGTACACTTTTTTGACCTAGTAAGAAGATCATCATAGGAACTTTTATGATCATTGTACAAAAATCTTAGCGCGCGTTCCTGTATCCTTTCAATTTTCTGTGCTTGTGCCCATGCATTTCTGAAGATATAGTCTCAAATTTCATTCCGAAGTATCCGAAGGTGCTTTTTTTTATGTTGTACGAGTTGTCTATGGCTTTCCTGCCATTGCTTTTAACTTTGAACCATCTTGGCGCTGTTTTTTAGAAGGCCAAAATTGTGCTCGCCTAGTTAAATCGCTTGTTTGCGAAAGCCCTTTTTATTACATTCATCTCCAAGATGATGAAAGTAGAAGAATTTATTAGAAATCCCTTGTTATGATATGTTTCAAAGCCAACGCATGACAGCCGGCTCTTTTCCATCACAGCGAACAAATTCAGAAAATATCTCACTTGGCCCACCGGCCGAACTACTGTTGCTTGGGCCCAAGGCTCCAGCGGAGGAGGCAGTTCTCGCTTCGCGTTGCCGGCTGAGAGTGAGTCAAGGCAAGGCAACCGTTTCTCAGCGCTGTCAGGTGGCGATTCTGGTGGAAGTCGACTTGACAGCAAGGGTCGAGCAGGACAGAGGAGGTATATTTACATTCATGTCTTTAGGAAACTTGAACAAACAAAATTAACACAGGGTCGTAGGGTATTATATCAATTTTTATTTGATAGAGTAAGGTAGGGTTTGGTTTTGGCTTGGAGGAACTAAACGGGACAGATAGATTTGAAATTAATGAAAGCGAGACTGTTTTGAACAAACTTTGAGGCTAGATGCTGCTTAGTTTTTAGCGTAACTGGCGGTTGTTTTTGCTCATTAATGAACAAAAATGTTTATGAAAAAGAACATTTTGATTTGTGGGAATACTAGAGAGGCTTTCTCTGCGTTCATGACTAATATTCTTTCCACATGAAGTAGTTTTACCCTCTCTTCGTTGTGAAGTTGTATCGTTGAAGTATTTAAGCTTTAGAGAAATCTTACACCTTACAGCATGAAAATTTTTTTAGTTTTGCTTTTTACCATAGTCAACATGATGAACGGAAAAAAATTCAGCCAATACCAAAAGCATGTTTATGATATTACGATTTCATGTAATTTTTCCGTTTTTCTATTTAAATCGTAGGGTATTCACCATGAATGCTCTAATTGTCATTGATTAACCGAACTTTTGACTGTTAACTGAACTATTTCTGGCTTTAAAACCTTGTCTCTAATACTTCACTATGAAGGCTTCCGAAAGACACAGGGCGTATATTTTATTACTTGTTTGCTTTTGAAGTGGACAGCAGTCTAAATTTGGACGATCCAGTGGCCCATCAAGTACAAAACGAGGACCACAGCAGCAACACATGTCAGATGAAAAAGCAGCCGCTCTAGCGACGACCCGAAGAATGTTGTCTGTTGAAGGAAACAGGACGCCTTCGCCTTCTAATGTAAGTTGTCGACAAGGGTATTGAGTGAGCGCTAAAGTGGCTATTAGAGACATCTGAAAGTTTATGTTCATTAATGCTTTGTTCAGGAAGTATTGTTCAATATAGAAGACAGACGTTTTATTTCCTGAATAAAACTTCAACTAGACATGAGCTTTGTTTATCCATACCAACGAAAACAGAAAACACGGTCTTTCTCTCATTTTCAGGTTATCTTTGTAAGCAAATACCCCCGTCCCCTGTTTTTGTAATTAGCTTCTTGCGAATGGTTGTAGAATCTTTGCTTCACGTTCGAAGAATTCAAAGCTGAGACTAGGCTTGCTTAGCCTTTAATTGACGGCTGTTGAAAATTACAATTATATGATGGGGTCTTATTGGCGTTAGAATATTGACCTGAACGAAAATAACGTAACATATGAACAACAACTTTATCAATTTCAAGTTCTAATTACAATCTGGCGCTGGAGCATTTTAAAAAAGGAGGGTATACCCTATTACGCCGAGTGATGATTTTCTTGCTGCAATGCTGTTGGTAGACCTGAAACTGATCACATGAAGTTGTATCGTTCTGGTTTACAGAACAGCTTCCATCAATAGCAATTTGTCAACAATGGATACCAACATCACATGAAACTACAGTGATCTACACCGAAAGCAAATGACCTTCTATAAATAAGGACTATTTACCATTACTCAATGCCTTTAATGGCTGTACGGTGACCGCTCCGCGTGTAAAGCTTCCTAATCAGACCTAGAGTAACCCCCTGTGTTATTTTTGAATATTTGCAGTCAAAACCAGAAGACTTGGAGAAGGGCTCGCAAGGAACAAGAACGCCTGAAACCGTGGCAGTGGAAAGTCAGGAGCAGGAGCCTGCAGATGTCTCCCCCGTCAACGAAGTCTCGGAGCAAAAAATAAAGAATGAGACAAAATTGACAATTGACGAATTTATTGCGACACATGATTTGAAGGTAAGAACTGTTTCTATTCATGTTATGACACGTGACTTGTTGTTTCTATAGAATATCCTACTGGCCTTGTCTTGTGATGGGGGAGGGGGCTGTCAGCATAACAAAGAAAGGTTTTTCCTATGATATTTTTTAAATCTTTTTTAATCATAGAAGTGGTCGCTGTGTTCATTTACTTTAAGATGTTTCTGGCATGAAGTTTTTATCTATTTGTTTGAGCGTTACTATTCTTTCCTGAGTGCAGTGGCGGCGCCAGCTACTGCGAAGTGGGAGTGTAATGGGCGTGGCCAGTTAGACCAGGCCCCTTTTGCCTCGTTTCAGTGCGTCGTACCAGGTTAATTTTCCCTAGAAAATTTGATCTACTCCTACATAGCTCTTTTTAATCCATTTCTAGATAAAAATATATACCATGTTTTGGAAAAAGTGGAGGGAGGGTAACTATCCCCCATACCCCCATTGGTGCCGCCACTGCTTGAAGGTGTGCTCTGTTGGTATCATCACACCTGCCAATAAGGTATCTGAAGTAAGGGGGATTACAAGGGAATCATTTATTGAGAGAGGAAACACGCAATTCATGGCATTGCAAAAACGAGCTTGTTTTGAGAACACTTCCTTGAGAAAAATTTTGGACCATTTATCGAAAAACAACTCTCATACGATAAGTTAATTTTTATGAAATTTTTGTAGAATGACCTTTTTGCCTATCTACAATACGGCTTTCTTATCTTTTATTTTTTTTAATTTTGAATCTTTCCAAATAGGAAGCAGAGATTTGTATTCGCGATCTCAACTGTGCCTCAAAGCATAATGTTGTCATTTCTGAAGCTATTAACATTGCCATTGAGAAAAAGCTTGACCAGTGCAAGGAAATTGGAAATTTGCTTCTTCGCTTCGTGATGTCGGGCCTTGTATCACTGGAATCGTTTAAGGAAGGGTGAGTATTATGTAAGGTTTGTTTCCAAACCCTGTACAATCCTTCCCATTTAGTGAGACTTTGGTATCGATGTCTGATATTGACACTTCTGGTATCGACATAATATTCTAACTGATATTGGCACATATTTTTTGTTTCATAAGTTTTGCAATAATACTTCTTAAAGACTCATTGCTAACAATGGGCCTTTGCGAGCGTGGCGACGGTCCAAACAATGGCAGTAATTGATTTTAGACAGTCTAAAAATGCATTATGGGATGCTTACGCAATGGCTCAATGTTAGCAATGAGTCTTTAATAACAACTATAAAGCGTTGTGCTACATCTCACATGTCGTAAGCCTTGTAATTTACCCCGGGGGCTTATTTCGAAACGACATATTTTTTGTGGGGGCTTATTCGAGGACTTAAGTGTTGATGTTAGTGATGTCGCTTGCAGTTGCGAATGCTTAAAGTTAATGACAAGAGGCAAACAGAAGTCTTTCAAGTGACCATTCATAATTTTTCTTCACTCTTCCTTTTTATGATTGAGATAGGTCTTGATAAAAACATAAACAAATTTAACATTTATAAAATGCCGAGTCGGTGGCTTTAAATGTCTTTTCAAAGTTCTATGAATAAATTTTTAATTTTTTTCTTGGTGCTCCCTCTTTTAGGTTAAGTGAAGTTCTGGAATTCGCTGAAGACATTGCCGTGGATATACCACATCTTTGGACTAATTTAGGTGTAATTCTTGGGCCATGTGTGGAGAGCGAGCAACTGCCGCTATCGGTGTTAAAGACATTGGTTGAACCACTTATAGAATGCAACAAGGCTGGATTGCTAATGGCCGAAACTCTGGCTGCTGCTGCTAAAATTTCTGTATGTATCTAGTAGTTGATTTTTTGGGTTGTGATAATCAATCCCTGATTAATTGCAGTGATGATGTGCAGATGGACATAGTGATATGCAGGTTCAGGAGGAAGGTTTCTCTCTAGTTTCAGATGGGGTCAATAGTAGTTGTCCATACTTTTGTCAAGAAAGGTTATGAAGATATAAAAAATGCCTATATAAATCGAAAGTATTTTCAGCCAAAACCCCATTAAAAGTCGACGCATACTTAAAGGTAATGTGTCCATATAAAAGACTGCGTATACCCAACTTTTCAAGCCACCCATCAAAATAACGGCTTGCGATTGGTTAGTATTCTTGCAATTTCAAAACTGCCCACGTGAAAAGCGGACTTGCAGCAAGGTAGATAAACAGAACGACTGTAATGGCTGGGGCGATGACATGAAAAATCACATGTTTAACCTTTAAAGTGCCTATGAAACGAAATTTCACATATAGTTTTTTTGTAAGAAACTGAAACTTCTACATGTTGTTGCAATATAAAACGAAAATTAACTCAAAAATTTGGACGGGAAAGTTTGTTTTTGGGGTTTCAAAAACAATGAGTGCGAGTGACAAAGCATAAGAATCAGTGACGTCACAAGGTTTGCAGTTGATCCCATCTTCGCAATAAACACTTAGTCAGGGCTGTTGGTCAAACAATTGTGCAAATAGTGATACCAGCATAAAAATTTGCTATAAGGGGTAGTTTGATACGCTGAAAAAATAGGATATGTAATCCAACTGAAAATCGCCCCCTTTAGCTATTTTTAGACATGGGGTTCTTTGCCCCAAGCCCCTAACGATATTATTACAACATCTCTCCTGAAAGTAGGTATAGTAGAACGCAACTTTACAACATGGGGCAGGTTGATGCGGTACAAAAGATAGGATATACAATATAACTGAAAATTCCCCCCTTTCTATTTTTAGACTGGGGTTCTTTGCTCCAGACTTATAAAGACGGTTTGATTGCATCTCGATCGTACTTTAGTACTACAGCGCTAGACTTTGCAAATAGGACAGTTTGATACGCTGAAAAAGATAGGATATAGACCCCGACTGAAAATTGCGCCCTTGGGCTATTTTTAGACCAGGGAATTTTACCGCATAATTCCACAAACAACGTTATTTTGATATCTCTGCCGAAAGTACAATAGCAGGAAACATTGCAATAGACGGCAATCTGATACGCAGGAAATGATAGGATAAAGACTCCATCTGAAAATTGCCCCCTTGTTCTATTTTTAGACTGGGGTACACCGCCCAAGATTTTAATAAACGGTATTAAGGTATTTCAGTCGTACTTTGTTACAGCAGTATAAAACTTTGCAAAAAAGGACAGTTTGATGCGCTAAAAATAATTGGATATGTATCCTGATTTAAAATTGCCCCATACGGCTATTTTAACGGTAGTTCAATTAACGACCTCCGTGTACTAAACCACAGAAAAACGTCAACTGCTTCCGTGTTTGCAAACTTTGTGACGTCACAGATAACGGCGCTTTGTCACAGTCGAAAACGTGAAAATGGGATATTCAACCTAAATTTTTAGACCATTCCGCAAGAAAAAAAATCACCTCAACATATATCATTGAAATCAGCAAATTTTGCTTATGAAAAGTGTGCCTTTATCTAAACTTGTCAAATTTCATTTCATAGGCACTTTAAGAGTAATGCTTACTTTTATATATTAGTCGATCAAGTGCATGAAATGTTTAGATTCTAAAACCTTGTTACTATTATACCCTCTCAGAAAATTTATTGTTTCCTTTGTACGAAATTTTGGCTGATATTATGCACTTGGGAAGCAAAACAGTAAAAAAATACGACGTCTCAGACTTTTTAGCTCACAAAACAGCACATTTATATCTTTACTTAGAGTTATTAATTTTGATTGAAGACATAAGTCAGGTATTTTGGGTTACTCTGACCCCATATTGTCATAACTTTTGTCATACAACCCCAATTGGAAATGAAGGCATCAATGCATAACTTATTTTTTCAGTTGAACCTTAGAGGTTTTTGCTCCAATTGGACAGTTTCACGAAAAAGCAGCTTGAAGAAGCTAGTTTTCCGACTATAAAAGTAGTTATGGAAATTAAAAGCGAATGAGTGAAATTCGAGAAATTCAAAAAGTTTTATCATATTTCAGCTGTGTTGCTTTTTCAATTTCAGAGTGAAAGTGATATTGCTCTACTGTGGCAAAAGTCTGGACTCAGCTGGGGAAGCCTTTTACGAGAAGGAACTACCCTTGATGACTTCCTCGTCAAACACGTATGTATTAGGGAAGGATATAAATTGTTCTTTGATAAATTTGCGATGTTTCTTCTTGTCTTCATTTTGGCTTTATTTGATGAATTATGCTGCAAAAGTTGGCTTAATTCATTGGAAAAAAATCAGAAAATCTGTAAATATCTGTAAAAATGCTTTTTAAATGGTATTGCCATTCATGTATTTATTAGGTCTATCTTTATGTATTAATTTTATCTTGTATATATATGAAGGGTTAACTTTATTTTTGTAGTAGGCCCTCATTAGCTGTAAATAAGCTCCTTTTTTAACAGCCAAATCGGTATTAATTTTAATAGTAATAATAATTATATATGTTTAATTAGCGCTGCATACGTGCACCATTTGAGAAAAAATACGTTTTTGTAGAAAATGGAATTCACGACTCAGCAGCCGAATCAACAAAGCCAAAGGGATTTTAGGAGCATTCTTGAAAAGCCGTCATGTACTTGTGAAATGGCGATGGACTGGATAGAAGTAAGTTTAATCTAAATTATTTGTTTCTTTGTAAGTTTAATGTAAGTTTCATTGTTAACATTTGCTCTTTCCTATTAATGAATTATAGCCAAAAGTTTTGTTTGTCAGTTTATTAACGATTGCCAGAAGAATTGACCATTGGGCATTAAAAAAACCATTTCTGTAGGCCATTTTTATCAACATCCCTGTGTTTACATCAAAATCCGCTAAAAGAGCCCTTATTGTCTATAACAGGCTCCTCTATTCTTGTTGCTTTATTGAAGCTGTTCCTTTAAGGGATAAAGCAATGGTCTGACTTGGTGAGAGTCCCAGCTATCGGGGAGGTACGGCGTAATGAGATTAGCTGTATGTTATAAGTATTTATCTTGTGTGAACAATTGTTTTACAGAAAAATGTTCCCAAAGAACAGTTTGAAGATTTTACGTTTATCAGAGAGTTATCGACTGCTGTTTACAAAAAGGGCGTGACAAAAGGTAAAAATTCTTCCTCAATTTGATCTGTAGTATATCATTACCACTTTATTTGGTTTTAAAGGACACATTTAGCATGGACCACAAAATCTGACATCTTGAAGCCTTGCATGTTTAGGTTCAAGAATCCATCATTCCAATTTTACTTAAGCAAATGATGACACTCCTCTGAGCCAAAGGGCATTTATTGCTCGGATTTTTCCTTTTCGACATTTTTATTGTGACAAGTAATTTTCACAATAAGTTGATTTCAAGACTCTTCGTTTTCTTTTGCCAAAGCTTGAACAGCGATACGGTTTTTCTTTATGTATTACAATACTATGTATTATTTATGTATTACTCGTGAAAACCTAGAATATTGCCATGTGTGCTACGTAGTATTCATCTGTGCATGTTTGGGATTAGATTTTTTGTATTTTCTTTAAATTTACACTGGTTTTGCTAATGTGATTTCCATTTCTTTTTCAGAGTCTGAATTCAACGCTGCTCCAATAAAATTGTTTAAGAATCTTCTTCTGAAGTACATCGACAATGACAGGAAAAAGGAGCTGCAAGCCCTTTATGCTGCCCAGTTGCTTGCCGAAGAACTAAAACATCCCAAAGGTACCGTCTTAGTTTCACTTGCTAAGCACGTTTTTTACCACGATTATTTCTAAGTATTATTGACTCTTTGCCACCCAGGAGACGTTTTGGCTTGTTTATGTTGAACATAGAAAACTTCATAGGAAATGTTACCAGATTAAGTCGTGAAGCCTACTCTCTTGCCCTTTTGGAGGGTATCCAGCAGATTTCACAATGTCACTCAATGTCATCACAAGAAAAGTGTTTGTTTTAAAAGCCATGTTTTCTTATCTTTTATAAGCTTCTTTGTCTCAAGTTTGTAATGGTCTTCGTGTCTTGAGTTGCAAGGGGTTGTCTTGTGTGTAGTTACAAAGGAACATCGTTTCTCAATTTCTATGATAAGATATCACTGCCATGGAGCTACGTATATTTATTCTTTGTGTTTGATATCGTTAAGATGTTTCTCCTTTTTTTGTTTCTTCGCACTTTGTTGAATATTTCTTGTTTTAAGTTATAACTGAGCACAGTAACAGTAATAAGTAATCAGTATGATATCTTCTCTTCGTGGTAAACTTGATTTTCTCAACTTACGCAAGATTTTCATTCCGGCAGATTTCCTTAGAGCGTTATTTGAAGCGCTTTATGATGAAGAAATTATCAGCGAGGATTCTGTGACTGCCTGGGAAAAGAGTGACGAAGAGCCTGTTGGAAAGGGTAATGCATTAAATTCAGTCCAAGGTTTTTTGACGTGGCTGAAGAACAGCGAGGAGGAAACTTATGATGACAGCAAATAATAATTTTTACAGAATATTAGTAACCGATGGCAAAGTAGATATCCCTCGATGTCATTAAGAATGTTGAAGATGCTGTTCCGTGATGGTGACAGAATACCCAATTGTCACCGCTCCATTGATTTAAATAGAGATGAAACTAATTCGACAACACTTTGCCCGTCGGACAAACTTGATTTGATCAGATGGCATGTTTGAAATATTTCCTAATAGGTGTATAAGCGAATGGTAACTCCTTCGTTTTTGTTAGTTCTCGTTTGCTCATCAGCCAGCTCGCCCTTCGGTGAAAGTCGCTTAGGCCAAACTCTTGGAGTGATCCTTGGAGGTGAAACACAATCCTGCGAATTGCTAGAAACCGGGTGTGCCTTCCAGAGAGAGAGACATTTATGTCTTCTCGCTCGTTACAATGTTCTCACCTTTTGCAGCCAACAGATATTTAAATGTTGTTCTTTTGATAAAGTACTTAATGTTGTAGATTGTGTCTCTTGTGACGTCATTGTTATATGTTCCCGGCCATGCATTTATGTTTTTGTCTAGATGTAGTGGGTATACTGTCGTGGTGTGATGTGTGTGTTGTAAGTGCACTTCTTCTTTGGTACATTAATTACATTCTGGTTTGCAAAAAGCTTGTGAGCAGGAATTGATTGCAACCATTTTGTCCATATAGTCAAAAAAAACACAACTCAACATGTATGCCAGACAATCCAAGTGTGGTTTCGCACAAATGTAATACCTCACAATTTGTCGCCAGGTCTCCCAACGTCACATTTTTGATACAACTGTCCAAAACAATGCAAGGTCTATGTAACTGAGTCTTTTGGTAATGAAAAGCCAGAAAGAAAAATTTGGTTTTGACAAGAATTATAACTCCTTGAATGGGACATTGAATAACGGCCTTATGTTCCGTACATTTCTAAATACGCTTGGATAGAAAGATGAATGCATCATTTATGTGTTTTATCGTTGTTCAGTTGTGTTCGTCGTCCGTCATTTTGTTGTGCGCATTTTAAGTGATCCTTTGTTTTATCTGTGCTTGTTTTCACCATTTTTCATTGGCTACTTGAATTCTTCCATTCTCAAAAGCGCTGCTGAACGACTAAATCCATTCATCTCAAATTCTGAGTAGTTTTACAATATGCTTTCGCTAACTGGAGTCAATTTAAAAGAGCATAGCCTATGAAACCCTTGATTCAGAACTTAAGTCCCTGAGATTGCATGTTATCAAGACAATTTTTTAAATACATTGATGTCCCTAAACTAATTTGAAAAAATGGGAAATTTTTAATGCAGCCTTATGTGAATGTTATTTGACCGCCCTATATTTTGGCTGTCATTTCTATCATATTGTAAACTCACCTCTGCTGGTGAGGTAATTTCCAAAACGCCTTGCATTCTCTCTCTTATACAACTGGATACAAATCCATAGTGAGCTGGTTGAGCAGATTTCGATTGTTTGTAAGCAATTGTAAACAATATTTGTATTTGTCGTTCAAATGATAAAGCCGATCCAAGGTTTTAATACGTCTATGCTTTACTGCTGTCAACAAATTTGCCAAGTTAAAACATGTAGAATTTTGAAGCAGTCTTTTGTCTTGTTGTCATCCTTGAAAAAATTCCTTTCAGACGTTGTTCTCTTCGTTATCCAGAAGCCCTCTTTTTCCTGGTAAAATTGACATAATATTCCAGTCCTGCCGTAGTATAACGTGCATAAACACAATATTCTTCAGTATTATGACAATATAATGTCGTCAGCTGACTGCATTAGCAAGAGCTAGAGAATTTCGAACAAATTAGTTTCTTGTCAAAGTTCCTGTTCACAATTCATCGATATAAATTTTCGTAAAACATTAAATGTTTTTGCAAGATTTATGCAAGCCATCACGTAATTCAGTGTGACATTTGTTGGCCCAATTAGTCGCAAGGAGAGTAAGGCGCAATTGTTACAACGATTTTGAACACTATAAACCACTTTTTAAACATTAGAGAAAATATTAAGTGCAGCTGATGGTAGCTAATCTGAAAATAACTTTATGTATCGCTCGTATCTGACAGAGATATATCGAGTTGCTGGTTAAAAGTCGAAGAGAAAAGATCAAGTTACTTTTCTTCATACTTTGATGTTATTTTTGTATTCTTTGTAAAACAGATTACAAATTGACAATGTACAAACCTGTGGGAATTTAAATCCAACGATCAAGTATCTTGCAAAGACGGTTAGAATTGCATCCTTCTGTTGACCACCGGAGCAAAAACAATAATGTTCAACCCTAATACGGATTTCAGGAAAGCAAATCTACTGCCCTAGCAATTTTCGAACTTCGGTCGCAGTTAATGAATAATATTGAAAGCAAAATTACGTATTTCTTGATTTCTCTAAGGCTTTTGCTACTGTTAAACATGGTATTCTGTTAAGTAGAGCTTTCTCAGAAGAGTAGCATATCCATGGTTTAAGTCGTATTTATACAAAAGATCTTAAACAGTTGCCGCTTATGGTATAATTGAAACAAACAATCGCTTGTGGTGTCTCTCAAGGCAGTGTGCTCGGGCCACTACTGTTCCTATTTTATATAAGTGACATTTGCTCTTCTCAGATTCTCTAGTTTCGACTGTTTGAAGATGACACTAGCATTTTTCTTGCTAACAGATGTCTTAGTGCTATGGAAATAATGGCCCTGTTCCCACGATACCGGATTCATTTCATATCGGATTCACTGACCCAATCCGATACGAATATTAAGCTCTGTTCACTCGATACCGGATTCATTTCATATCGGATTCACTGACCCAATCCGATACGAATATTGAACCCTGTTCACACGATACCGGATTCATTTCATATCGGATTCAAGCGTCATCGTGTGAACAAAAGGCCTATTCGATATGAAAAACGATCCGATACGAAATGAATCCGGTATCGTGTGAACAGGGCCAATGACTGTATCTAGATGGCTACTAGCCAATAAATGATTTCTGAATCTGTCAATAAACAATCCCTGAATCCAACTACCTTATATGCTCTCGTTATAACTTGAATTAAAATTTGACATAAAGCAGATTAACGTAAAAATATCGGAAGGAATTTGAATTCTTTATAAATGAAACTATTTTTATAAAAGGGACCAGATAGTCCTCATTTATTCAATATCAGGTTCTCTTTACTCAACTGGGACTGCGCTAATAAACCAACAACTTATTTTATGCAAGTCTATTAGGGTAACTGGCTATGCACGCTACCTATTTTTAAACGTTTAAAACTATCCGACTTTGCGAAACTCTCAGAGGGCGTCGCCAAAGGGAGGTGTCAATTTGTGAATTTAGTCTGTAGCTGGAGCTCATTGAACAATTAATGAAAGTTCATTGTGAATTACAGTTTACGCTCCTACCGAGAAACTTCAGGGGAATGGACACAAGCACAAGTTTACCTAAAGAGGGCCTAGATTCATGGAATTAGTTCCAACAAGAAATCTTCAAATCGTTAACGCTTGGTTTGCCTATCTTCATTCATATCAAGGAATATCATATTTAACCAACGGAGCAACTACCTTTGCTTGATTATTTATTGATTTTAAGACATGAAAGTCTCTGAACTACCTAAAGCGTTTCTTCCACTGAGCGGATTTTACCCGAAGTTTCTTTTTGGGATACTATATTGGGGGGGGGGGGGGGGGTTGACAACCACACTCCCGGTCGCGACGCCTCAGGAAACTTGGATAGTTTCGGGGACGACATCAAGGGATCTCAATCCACCCCACTTTTTCAGCGAAAGATTTTTATTTCATCCAAAGTCGACGAGAAAATGGTGGGGTTTAAGTCATGTGATTTCCATTTTCCCCGACTATCAATAATTGCCTTTGAGCTTCAATGTCTCGTTTGCTCAATGTCTCAAAAAAAGACAAGAAAGTATTGCTTGCTCGTATCAGTTCAGAATGTGGTATGGTATGGCAGACATAGCAGCGCTTAATCTGTTGATTATATAGCCGGGGGCAAAATAATGGCCAAGGTTTTCTTCAGGGCCTTACTAACTAGGGGGGGCAATTGCTCCTCCAGCCCAAGTGACTTTCCATAGTTTTAATTAATTGGCTATTGTCCTCCCCTTTAAATAGACAAAGGTTTGCCCCCGCAGCTAGTTGCACTTTGAATAGGCTATGGTTTTCTTTGCATGATATGTTTATTTAAATTTTCATTCATTGTTCATGGCTGGCCTCTTCTTGGTGCCACTTCATGCAAAAGAGACAAGGAGGAAAAGAAAAACGAGTTCCGAGAAAACAGTTTGAGAGCGTCCACGACGTCAAGGAGTCTCTTCGCCGTAACACAGAACTTTTCTATTCTGTGTTGCCGGGAAAGAAAATGGCTGAGTCTGGGGTCGTAAGACGACCTAGAAAACCTTTTAAAGTTGGCAGGCAAAACAAAATTTTTAAAGGTATAGTAGCGAATAGCCTGTCTGAATTGAAGTCTAAATCGTGTCAGGTATTTGGGTTCGGCTCCTCTGTTGAACTACAAGTATTTTTGGAAGAAGACATGACTGAGATAGAAGATGAAGAATATTTCAATTTTCTACCAGAACAGACTAGGTTTCTTATTTATACGGCCTCAGAAGTTCCAGGAAAAGGTGCGTTTTTATTGAATTTGAAATAAATTTGAAGAAGGCAGCTTAATCTTTAGCAAAATTTGTTACTATCGTTTGCCTTTTGATTACCGTAAATCCTCGAATTGCCCCCCCCCCTCGAAAAAGCTCCCCCTCGAATAAGCCCCCACCCTAGAACTACAAACTGTCCATAAGCAAACCCCCTCGAATAAGCCCCCACTGCTACCGTAAATTATCAAGTGGCTGAATAAAATGTTAGCATTGGCTCAAATTATCTATACAAAATGTTTGCCACAGTTGGGTCTATAGGGTAGAGTGCTATATTTACATTGTAGGCCCTTCCGGTTTGGGATTAGTGGCGCGGACCCTGCCTTACCACGAGATCTGGTCACTTGGCTCTGATAGCTCTATCTAATGTTTTTTCCATGCGTCCATCAGCTAATCTTATAAATTTAGTAAAATTTCAATATGTAATTAACAATTGATGTTGATGAGTCAACCATTGATTCTGCAATGAAGGAAAAAAGAGAGAAAAAAGAAAAAAACAGAAACAAGAAGAAATAACAAACTCAAATCTCTTGAGGCAAAGGCTCAATGAATTCCAAAAAGAGAACTGGATAAGAAAAATGATAAGGCTAGGACATATAAGTAGAGAACACATGGCATCAATCAATTGTTATTCATAAAAATTCTTAAGGACCTTTTTTCTAGGAAAAATTTTGGTTTTACTTCATGCTTAGAGACTTTCCATTCATTAGTCAATGCCAGCTGTTATCAAACACTGAACTGAAAGCAGTCTGCAAAAAAGCAAATTGTGGATCCTGAATGTGTATAAAAAATAATGCTATTACCAGTTTTATAACATCAGCCTACCCAAACATCATAAACCAAGCATTGGGTTACGCAGCTCCATGTTCCAGTCCCTGCAGAGGAGGGTTCCTAAAACTGAACAGGGATATTCGTAGTTATGACTATGGAAAAGAGAATTATGATCAAAACAGAAAATGCATGATATTTCTTTTAGAATGGACTGTAAGCTTAATGACATAGTACATAGAAAAATTAAAATTGTTTCCCAATGTTAAGTGCAAGCAATAGTGCTTAGCGCCGTTGCTAATACAAGGAACAAGCAGAACAACCTAATAACAAGCGGCACAACCAAGTAACAACCCAGTAACAAGCGGAACATTGCTTAGCCCAGGAAGAGCTTTTCTGCATTAAGCAGCTTAGCTTAGCCACCTCCAAAAAAGGTCCTACTTGTTACATTTAGATCTTGCATTAAAAGAGAAGCAGAGCGATCTGGTAGCAAGTTGAATGAAGCAGTGTCTACTAGATTTACTTCTAGGTGAAATGTTTTAATTTTGTTTCATTCAACTCAACCTTGTAATAAAGGTTAAGAAATTTGAAGATTACTTTTGTTTCTACAATGATTCAATTGTAGCAGAGGTTCAGTGCAGAATAGTAGCTCCACTGAGACTGTTCATGTACAGGAAAGGCCTGTTCAATTGATAGCTTAACTAACTGCTTGCTGAAACTTTTTTTGTATCAGTGGTTCAGTGCAGAATAGTAGCTCCACTGAGACTGTTCATGTACAGGAAAGGCCTGTTCAATTGATAGCTTAACTAACTGCTTGCTGAAACTTTTTTTCCCAAAAATCTTTGCAAATATCTTGCTAAATCAATTTGAATCATACATATTGCCCAATTGTAGAATAACTTGCACATTATTTGGTAGTTAATGATGTTTACCACTGTTCTGATCTTGATGTTAGAACTTGATGTTGATGTTAGAAATTATTCCTCCATTTTGATTTCAATCACCACCCTCAATGTAACAATGCACAATCATCCAATTACAAAACAGAACTCACACCCCCTTCCATCTCTCCTCGCTTTCATCAGTACTCACCTACGAGAACAATGGAACAAAACAATAGTTGAGGTTGTTTGAATTTGTGACACCACTACTCTAGCTACCTAAATGAATGCTTTGTAACTGAAGGACTGGTTTCATCTTCTATTCAGAAAAGGGACTAAGCTTCATAGCTTTGCCAAATCTGGATGTAATGGATGAGGCTCATGAGCCAACAAAGTTGCCAGAAATGAAATGGTGAGTTCCTGTGTCTAAAATCCTGTATTTTTTTAATTTTGTGAGAATAATATTCTGACTGTTTGTGAATTTTGCTAGCAAGTGTTATAGCTTGCAGGAGGTTGTAGTTTTTTCTCATGCTCTGTTGGTAAATTAACACAAATAATTTCAATATCATCAGTCTTAACCCATTCACTCCAACTGTTATTAAGCTTTTTTGCATTTCCTCCAGCCTCTATTTTGTGTTATTTGCCCTGCTCCCTGAGACAATTTTTATGAAGTTTAAAAAAAGAGTTTAAATACTGCTGCATTTTGGGCAGATTCCCCCTGGTTGCTTTCTTCCAACCCTTTTTTCTTCTCTCCCCCTTTCCTTGTTAATATTTGATGCAGTACTCATTGTATCAGGCTGATAGTTACATCAGGCAAGCTCTTTCAACCCATTTTTCTCAATTTTATTAACTCTATTTTGTACTTGCAATAAATGTTTTTCTCCTTGAATGCCAATAAAGTTATTTTTACAGACATAGGCAGAAATAGAAATATTTTTACAGAAATAGACGTAATGTATAGAGAATGCATATTGATTATTGTAATGTGTGGTCTTATAGTTGATAAATATATAAAGTTGTATGGTATACATTGACTGTGGGCTAGTCGATAATGCATTATTGAAAAGTTTTATATTCTGAATCCTGTATTCTCAACCTGGTTTCTGAATGCTGAATCACTGTACAAATCCAAAGGGTTAACTATTTTCTTATGTTTTAGCCCAAGTGATGAAACATTGCAAACCACAAAAATTCTCGAAAACTTTGAAACCAAACTGGAATCGAAGAACCCAGACAGTGCTTTGATGTGTTCACCTGTGGAATGCAGTGAAGAACAGCCAGAAACAGATGTATGTTTGAGAAATAGGGGCTATCAATATCCAATCGCAATATGTTGTTATATAGTATTCTTTATTTTTCAGAATAATGTTAAAAGATGCCATGTAAATCTATATACTGAGAAATGCCCCACAAGCATCATCTTGAAACAGGTTTCATGTTTTCCTTAATCACAAATTTCATTGGTGCTATTTTTTAACACTCTTTTATTGATCAGTGGTCAGAATACATAACACAATCAAGTATTTTTCTACCATAATACAAACGTTTCTCAGATAAACATTGCATTTTCAAAGCTATAATTAGCCATTCCCCAATAGGGCAACACCCTTTGTCTTGATGATAATTAAGTATACCCCCTCTACAGAACTGGAGGGCCGTCTGTAGTTAAGTTAATCTAGCATAAATTCTGTTCTCTTTTTGTTCTTTTATCTAGCACTAGACTTGACATTGTTTCCATGCTAGATATTCATGCAATTCATATCCAGGAATGAGTTTATCAGGAAATAGGAATGAGTTGATCACTCTTTCCAGGTGCTCTTTGCAATATCTGAAAGAGACCAGCTCAGCAATTAGCCACACAGCATTTTTCTTGGGGTGTTATTAAATTAAACCTTAAATTCTAACCAAAATCAAGTCTCAAACAAAAGATTTTCTAAGAATATCTAAAACTTAAACCTTTTTTAACTGTCTAATTTTTTATGTTTAATTTCAGACATTCTATTGTCAAGCAATTGATATCCTGAATAAGCTGGAATTTGATAAACTTGCAGAGCAGATGAAATCATTGCAAATCAACACCATTGAGAAGTTGAAGGGTGTCGTTGATCTAATCTATGAAAAGGTTGTTTTAGTTAATTGAGTTTTTGATGATTACAAATAAGGTGAATTGGCAACCCTAGCTCATTAGATTTGACTTGCCATCATGGTAAGGCCTGCGGCTCAAAACAGAGCAGTTCAGACATCGAACTTGAGAGTTTCGGCCTGCTTTCTAGCCAAGCCAAGGGTAAATGTCAGAAAAAAATTAACATGACTTCCAAATACCCAATGGCTCCACTAACAGACTTCAACTGTCCACATCTTAGCCAGCTCTTAGAGAACTGTTCTTATTATTTGTCATAGAACATCCATACAAGTGGGCAATAGCTAAATTGGGATAGAATGAATGCTGGCATTGTTTGTTTGAGTTGTTCTGTGCTTAAGTAATCACTGCCAAAATTACTTGGAACACCTAACACTTTGGGCTGTGCTTTTCTATTTTTCATTTGTTTTCTTGAATACTACCACTTCCGCCCCCCTTTCCCCCCAAAACAATGTTGAAGGTATAGAAAAATATCAAACAATCCACAAGAAAAAGCGTACTCCATAACCCCTCTCTTTTTTCTAAAGTAAATCAACATTGTTCCTAGGGGGAGAGGGGGATGGCTGAATTTGCCTTTGAAAACCTACGTTAGTGTTCCAAGACTTTTGGCAGTGATTGTAGCTTGAAATGCGGGAGAGGGCGTGTAGTTTTTGACTAGCCTTTTTACACAGTGTTTTTATGTGTGGCTTGAATGAGAGTTTTTTGTCCGTTGTTACACCATATAGTTATACCTCGCTGCTTTCGTTGATTAGGTTGTTCTCTATTGGCTTGGCTAAGTAATTATTTCTATGTCTAAGGCAAAGGCGACCTGAGCGTGGAAAAAATTAGGATTCACACCCTTTGGAACTCCAGAAAACGCTTTTTTCAAAGATGTTTTTGCCATTGGGGGGTGGGGGTGTCGGGGGGGGGGGTGTCCGTCCCCTCTTGCCTCCCCGTCACTACGCAGCGTAACGCTACTGTTAAAAGAATTGCTGTCTACAAATGCTTGAGTTCTAATGTACCACTGGTTCTATTGTTTCCATTGTAGTTTTATATTGCTTTTCGCTTTTCGAATGGCTGAGATTCACGCATGTGTGGGAATCGGTGGGGTTCAAAAGGAACAAAATATGCCTGAAAATAGTGAAACATGTGCGATAGTTTAAACGACTGCAAGAAAATGAAACGTACGTAAAAGGAAAGGTACGAAAGGCTGTCATCCTATCATATTGAATTATCGATCGAAGAAGACTTTGGTTTCGATCACAGTCCTATGAGGTGGAATTACCAATTGTTTTAGTTATGTGTTTACATGTGTATTACGACTTTACTCTTGTTTCTAGGGATTGTCAAACCCAAAGGCATGTGCAATGCTTTGTTATGAGATTTCTGAAACGGTAAGCTGAAACATTATCATTCATCATTCGGACCACGGCAATAGGAGGCAGAGAGAGCTATGATACATAACCCTACCACTGGAGGGGAGAGGGTTAGGTGGGTCGACCCAGTTCAGGATTTTAAATGTGGTAGCAGGAGAGAGGGATTTCAAGAGTTTTTTATGCAAATATAAATATCCTTTTAAAAATTCGAAAAATCAATCCAAAAAGCAGTACGACGAGAGACTAGAAGTTTCAAGAAAGATATTTGCTACAAAGTAATTTTACACTTATAAAGAGGCTTTTTGGTTTGCATTTAAGAGGAGGGGGTGGCCGGTCTTTATACGTCAGAAAGAGAAGGTCCTAGGGTTTTAGAGGATATCGCCACTTTTTTAGGGGAGAAAGGATTAAAGGATTAACGTCATGTAAGGGCAGAAAACAATGCTTTGAAAAATTTAGTAAGAATTGTTTTAGATTGACATATTCATTAGTCCAGAAACTTGCGAACCTGGCTATCTAGCTTACCTTTGGATTTTTTGTGGTGGTAAATAATTATGTTGTTACTGTTGTAAGCTAGGCGACCAGATTTCAGCTTATATTCCTTTTACTTCATTTTAGAAAATGCGAATAGAGGACATCAAAGGATCAAACGTCAGCTTCAAAAAAATTCTTCTGAACAAGTGTCAGACTGAACTTGAAAAAGAAAAATCTGATGAACAGCAGCTCGAGAGTGAGCAAGATAAACGTTATGAGAATGTAAGTAATTTATCAAAGAAACTGAAAATGAAATAGGTTAAGGTTTTTTAGGTACGTGAGGCCTTCTGTCAGTGATTTGTTTTCCACGAAGGTCACCCGTTTCGCTGCCCTTCTAAAAAAATTTCTACCACGTTGAATTCTAAATGTTAAATTCTACAAAAACTTCTACCACAGACCATGTATGTATGTATTTGCCCCATGCATTGGAAGGAACTTACTCGAATCCAGTTTTTTAACAAAGATGAACCCTTTGAAATATGATGATCTACCGGGAGGGAATCTTTTTGTGTTATTGATTTATTGTCTTTTATCCTGACACATCTTGTCAAATCTCATCACATCTTTGAATTCAACAATAACTGAAATGATAGGATACTTTAAAGAGCATTCAAGCATAAAAACAATCAACAACTTCCTAACAAATAACTCAACCTTAAGCTTTAAACCGATGACCAAAGAAAGCCCAAGACAAATAATTGTGAAAGCACGACATGATAAATGCAGAATTCCTAAAGATCTCAGTTGATATCATCCTACAACCCCTCTTGAACATCATAAATAAATGCATTATTCAAGGAACTTTTCCAAACTTTTTAAAAAGGCTACAGTCTCACCTGTCTATAAGAAAAGATATTCTTTCAATAAGGAAAATTATCGACCAATAATTCTACTAACGACACTTTCAAAGGTATTTGAAAAAGCAATAGAGCTTCAACTTTCTCCATTTCTTGAAGAAAAATTTTCGAAATTCCTATGCGCATATAGAAAACATTTTTCTTCCCAGCACGCTCTTTTTTGACTTATTGAAGACTGGAAAACAGAACTGGAAAGGAACAAACATATTGGTGCTGTCCTTATGGATTTGTCAAAAGCTTTGACTGTCTACCAAAAAACCTACTTTTAGCAAAACTACATGCCTATCTCTTTTATATTAACAAAACTACATGTCTAATAGAAAGCAAAGAGTCAAAGTGACAGGTCATTACAGCTCCTCGCGTAAACTTGGACAAAGGGTGCCACAGGGTTCAATACTTGGACCTCTAGTTTTCAATATTTTCCTATATGATATTTTTGACAGCCTTACTGAAGGGTTTTTATGTAATTTTGCTGATGACAACACGATATCTGTCACTGCAACAAATACTGATGAACTATTGCACCTTGTAAAAATTAACACCAAAGAATGTCTTGATTGGTTTAAATCTAATGAAATGATTGCAAATCCCTCTAAATTTCAAGCTATCACAATCGGCAGGAAAGATAAATGCATAAATGAGTTTGAAATTGACCAAAAACTTGCAATTAAAATAGAGAACAACGTTACTTTGCTTGGTGTTCAGATTGATGAAGATTTAAAGTTTGACGCTCATATCGATAAGATCTATAAAAAAGCAGCTAAACAGTTAAATTCTTTAAAATGACTGGCAAGATTTATGGGCGACAGAGAAAAAAAGATAATTATGAATTCATTTATACTATGTCACTTCAATTATTGTCCATTGATATAGATGCTATGTGGTAAAGGAAGTCAGGATAAGCTAGAGAAAATTAACAAGAGGGCATTAAGACTAGCCTTTTCGGACTACTTATCTTCTTACAAAGATTTACTTGCTAACTCAAAAGAAACTACCATATATGTCCAATCAGTTAGTGTTGGGAACGTGCACTCAACAGTTACGTAATTGCTGCGTTTGTAAGTAAACTAATGACCTTCGTAATTAGTAGCTAGTGTAGGACACGTGTTAGAGTAGATTGCTTGCTGCTCTATTGTCAGCTAATTAGAAGCTTCTAGAAAGTTCTAATGATCGCTGAGGTAGAACTTTTTAGCACGCGTCACGTAGAGTTTAGATAGTTGCATGTTTCGCAGTGAACAAGTCGATAGAATCTCAAAACAACAGGTTATGGGCCCAGAACCAAACCACTGCACATGGCTGGAATTGGAGATAAATTCGAAATCGAAAAATTAGATAGGTCAAACTGGCCTACATGGAAGTTTCAAATGAAACATTTGTTGATGGCGAAAGATGTGTGGGATCACGTAGATGGAACGATTTCGTTACCTGACGATAATACAGCATCTAGAGCTACATACGAAAAGGCCAAGCAAAAGGCAATGGCGACGTTGGTAATGGGAATTCAGTCGAATCTTATCTACTTGGTGACATCATGCGAAACACCGAAGGACCTGTGGGATACTCTCAAAGCCTATTTCGAGAGGGATACGATAGCCAACAAGCTGTTTCTCAAGAGACAATATTTTACTTCAAAAATGCTTGAAGGGCAATCGGTCCAAGATCATTTGAAACGTATGAAGGAAATTGCTGATAAACTCCATGCACTCGGGTCTACAGTAGCTGAAGAAGAACAAGTCGTGGCATTGCTCATAAGCCTTCCACCAAGCTATACAACACTCGTTACAGCTCTGGAAGCTAAAGGAGATGAACTATCACTGGCCTTCGTCCAGCAAGCCCTTATCAATTAAGAGCAGAAAAAACACGCCTTCAAAGCAACCGCAACGACTAAAATAAATCGAGACTCAGCATTACACTTGGAAAAGGGCATCAGCAGGCCTTTCAAAGGCAAATGTTACAACTGTGGCAAGGAGGGTCATAAAAGCTTTGAATGTCACAAAAGGAAGCAAGTGAGGCCCAGCAAGACAAACAGACAATGGATTCTGGATTCGGGTGCCTCGCAGCATATGACCTCAAACGAACTGCTTTTGATTAACTACAGAGAGTTCAACCAGCCTGAATTAGTCAAACTGGGTGACGGACATACAGTGGAAGCCCGTGGATCAGGACGAGCTCAAATAACCATGGAAACAAGCCACAACAAGCAGCTGACAATTGAAATGGATAATGTACTCTATGTTCCGAAACTTGCTTGCAACCTGTTCAGTGTGCGAGCTGTGACACAGAAGGGACTCATTGTTCAGTTTGAACATACTTGTTGCTGGATAAAGGACTCGGACGGTAAGGCTGTAGGCAAAGGAAGACTCGTTAAGCGAATGTACGTTCTGAGCTGCGAAACCGATATAACAGCAGCTTATCACCAATCTGAAAGGATGGAAAATAGCAACCCTAGCACGATGGATATTTGGCATCAACGGCTAGGACATATAAATAGAAAACAGCTATTGGAATCAGTCAAGAAGAAGCTCATCAAAGGAGTTGCCATCCAAGGAAATGACGAACTGAACTTTTGTACAGGGTGTGCGGAAAGTAAGATGAGCAGAAAACCTTTCAAGTCAACAGAGGGGATCAAGACATCTAGAAAATTACAGATAGTTCACAGCGACGTATGTGGACCAATGTCAATACAGAGCTTTTCGGGAAAGCGTTATTTTGTCACATTCATTGATGACTACTCGAGATGTGTCAAAGTCTACTTCATTAGAAAGAAGTCTGAGGTACTAAAGAGGTTTAAAGAATTTGAAGCCTCTGCAACCAATGAAGCTGCATGTAAAATTGGAACCTTGCGTACAGATAATGGCGGAGAGTATGTATCAAATGAATTTGAAAATCTTCTGAAAAGGAAAGGTATCAAACACGAAACTTCTGTTCCTCACTCTCCACAACAGAATGGAGTGGCTGAGCGCATGAACCGGACTCTAGTTGAGTCCGCAAAAGCGATGATGAACCATGCCGGACTCAGCAAGACCTTCTGGGCAGAAGCAGTCAACACTGCAGCCTACATAAGAAATCGTGTTATAACCAGCGCATCAGGTCAAACACCGTATGAAAAATGGTATGGAAAACCCCCTGACGTCTCCCACTTTCGTGTGTTCAGCTGCATAGCTTATGCTCATATTCCAGAGGCTGAGCGAAGAAAGTTGGACAAGAAAGCCAACAGACTTCGATTCTTGGGCTACAGTGCAAACCAGAAAGGATACCGACTCTTTGATATGCAGAGCAAGAGAATAGTGATCAGAAGAGACGTTAACTTCAATGAAAATGATTTTGGATCTCAAAAACAGTATTTGAAGATGGGTCCAGAACCAGCAAAGGAAGATAAACGACAAACAGAGCCTACGAAAGGGAACACGGATGCAGAAGAAAGCCATCCTCGACGATCTCAAAGATCCACAAAAGGGGTACCACCACCTCGATTTGGCTTGGATGAGTATGCTGACGTCACAGAAGCAAGACATGTTGTATTCTCAGCAATCATCGAAGAACCAGCTACCATCCAAGAAGCCATCAATAGTGAATATTCCGCACACTGGAAAGAAGCAACGGATTCAGAGTATCAGTCACTCGTAGAGAACCAAACGTGGGAGTTAGTGAAGCCACCAAAAGACCGAAAGGCTGTCGGGTGCAAGTGGGTCTTCAAAGTAAAGTATGACGAAAATGGACAAATGGAACGTTTCAAAAGTCGTTTAGTAGCAAAAGGGTATTCTCAGAAGTACGGCGTCGATTTTGATGAAACCTTTTCTCCTGTCGTGCGGTTCAGTTCTATTCGAGCCTTACTGGCTTTTGCAGTTCAAAACCGAATGCTGATTCATCAAATGGATGTAACTACGGCATTCCTGAACGGAGATTTAACGGAAGAAATCGATATATGGAGCAACCAGAGGGTTACGTGATACGTGGAAAAGAGAATCTGGTTTGCAGGCTCAAAAAATCCCTCTATGGACTCAAGCAATCACCACGTTGCTGGAATCGAAAATTTAGAAACGCGCTCGAATCATTAAATTTCAGACAAGGCCAAGCAGATCCGTGTATCTTCGTGAAAGGATCTCTTGAAAGAAACAATTTGACAATTATTGCTGTTTACATAGATGATTTAATCATCATATCCACTACTCAAGATGAAATGAAACAAATGAAAGTAAACCTGAGAAAGAATTTCAAGATGAAAGATTTGGGCAGCCTTCATTTCTGCCTTGGAGTCAGCGTTGAGCAAAGCGAAGAAGGAGTCAGTCTATCACAGAAGCAGTACATTGAAAAATTACTGAAGCGCTATGGACTTCAAGATGCTAATCCAGTGTGTACACCTCTTGATCCAAATGTCAAACTTGTAGCAGATGATGGAAACAGTAAACCTGTTGATAACGTTCAATATCAGTCTATGATAGGGAGTTTACTCTATGCTGCCATCGCAACAAGGCCTGATATCGCTCAAGCAGTGGGAGCTCTTTCTCAATTCAATTCAGCACCAACAGAAGCGCATCTTACTGCAGTAAAACGGGTATTTCGTTATCTGAAAGGAACAATCAATCTTTCGCTGGTTTACAAGAAATCAGAAAGCAAAGAAGTTACGGGATTTAGTGATGCTAGTTGGGCTGACGATATGCAGAATCGCCACTCAACCACTGGAAATGTCTTCATGATGGCCGGAGGTGCCATTAGCTGGCTTAGTCAAAAACAATCAACAGTGGCTCTTTCAACCGCTGAGGCAGAGTACATTGCCTTAAGTAAAGCTGCCCAAGAGGTCGTATGGCTGAAGCAACTGTTTAGAGAAATAGGAGACAATGTGCAACCTATAACCATCATGGAAGACAACCAAGGAGCAATTTCGATGACAAAAAACCCAGTCGGACATAAACGGACGAAACACATCGACATAAGGTATCATTTTGTTCGAGAACAAGTAGAGAAAGGGACTCTGCTACTAAAATATTGCAACACGAAAGAAATGCTGGCTGACTTACTTACTAAATCACTGAACAGAGGTCAATTTGAGTACCTACGCTGCAAGCTCGGAATGCAATAAAACCTGAAAAGAAACTGTTGATTGAGTGGGAGTGTTGGGAACGTGCACTCAACAGTTACGTAATTGCTGCGTTTGTACGTAAACTAATGACCTTCGTAATTAGTAGCTAGTGTAGGACACGTGTTAGAGTAGATTGCTTGCTGCTCTATTGTCAGCTAATTAGAAGCTTCTAGAAAGTTCTAATGATCGCTGAGGTAGAACTTTTTAGCACGCGTCACGTAGAGTTTAGATAGTTGCATGTTTCGCAGTGAACAAGTCGATAGAATCTCAAAACAACAGTTAGAATTTTAGCGCTCGAAGTTTATAAAACACTTAACAACCTTAATCCTGTTTTCATGAAAGACTATTTTGTACCCAAAACAACAGGTCATGACCTTCGACTCAAAAACCCCCTTGACATTCCAAAAGCCAGAACTACCTATAATGGTATCAGATCATTAAGTTCTCAAGGGCCTAAGATCTGGAATTCACTCCCGGAATCAATAAAGACAGCACAAAATACTAGACAATTTAAGAATTTGATCAAAACTTGGTTCCTTGAAAACAAGTGCGCATGCTCCTTTTGCAGTAAATGAACTGTCTTGTGCAATCCTTGAAATTGCTTCATGTTAGTCTTAATTAGTGTATATTCACTATTGTAGAAACTAACATTAAATAATCTTTAATACAATACAATACAAAGCAATACAATACAAAGCAATACAATACAAAGCAATACAATACAAAGCAATACAATACAAAGCAATACAATACAATACAATACAATACAATACAATACAATACAATACAATACAATACAATACAATACAATACAATACAATACAATACAAATACAATACAATACAATACAATACAATACAATAAAATCTTGTCTTTCAAAGCGGAGCAGTACTTGGTCTTTTCTTCGTCTGTAGGCCGAAAAACAAAAGGCCTGGCAACAGAATCTGGTCTTCAGAAGGCATGAAATCAAGAGATGTTCTCTGCAAAAGATCAGATTTATTGGAGAGTTGTTTAATCTTAAGGTTGGTCGCTATGTTGTATATACAGCAGAGAAGAGTATATTATTAACTGAGAGGAAACTATCCATGTTGGTCTAAATAACACAGAATATTGTAATCTTGACTTTAGTTTTTATTTTCTAGACCACATTGTGTCTTTAATTGAAGAATGAAGATTCGATAACTCTTCAAAGTTTTCAAAATCTATCGCACCTGAAAGGAATTTGGAACATCTTTAATATGATTCTCTGATCCTTTTTTCCAAGCGAAGACCAAGCTATTAAATGTTTTTAGTGAAACTCGATTTTTAAAATTAGTATCAAAGATACAAAGAAATTGTTAAGAAAGGCAAATAAGGCAAAAAGTGCAACCGGGAGAAGGTCGAGGTCGTTTTCTGGACCCTTTTTTACATTGCTTGAGTTTGAAGTCGTTTAGGCATTTATATCTAAGAACAAGATAGCATGAATAACCTGGAAGACCACCTCGCTGTTACTTCTGTGGAGAGAGGTATTTTAAATATCGCAACACTTTGCACATAACGAGAAGTATATGAGGAATTGCAACCTTTTGCAAATAGGTACAAACAAAGAGGGTCACCAAAGAGGTACAAACAAGAAGAACTTTCTAAAGAGGAAATAGATATCATAAAACTCATCGGTATGTAAGGCCTTACATGGCATTGGAAATGGAAATAAAGGAGCATGAAGGGGTTGACTAAGTTTGTGTCAATCAAGGAAATTTTATTGGTGAGGTGGTTGCCAAGTACGGTCTGGACTGGTGGATGGTTTTCTTTCTTTATAATGTTTGTCGTGTCAAATTTTTTGCAGGCTCTGTAGAATAAAAGTTGGCTGATTTCGTGCCTTATTCTACCTAACATGGTTTTAGGTGCCACTTTATCATCCTGTACAGTCTTTATATTTTTATAAACAGATGTTGACAGAAGCAATTATGCATACATGTATCACCAAACTGCTGAAAGACCGCGTCGAAGAGTCGTTGGAATGTCTGTGCAAGTTGGTAACGACCATTGGAAAGGATATAGATCATGAAAAGGCTAAGGTAGATGTTATTTTAATTTTCTTTTATCTGATATGTCTTTAAATTGTTAGAAAGCCGGTGTAAGGGTCCTTGAGTGCTTGAATGTAGCGGATGGTATAGCAATCAGAATCCACGTCTATTTGTTAAGGATTTTTAATTGAATATTAAATGATCAAATTTTCATTTGATATTTCATTCAAATTTTGAAATATTTCAGCCATGGACCAATAAATATTTCGATCAAATAGACAAGATTATCAACCAGAAAAAGGTTTCGTCACGAATCATATTCATGCTTCAAGACTTGAAGGACTTGCGGCAGTCTAATTGGGTTTCTAGAGTGGCATTGGATGGCCCCATAGTCAACAGAGAAATGACGAGCATTGGATGCCCACAAAGTTTTTCTGTTGACTATGATACCCCCAAGACAATCGGTGAAATTCATAAGGAGGCCAAGCAGGAAGAAGTTCAAATGCATATGGCGCACCAGACAGCTACTAAGCGGAAATTAACGAAGAAAGGTAGCATTAATTCAATCATTGATTAATTATTTCATCCTTTATCTATTCATATATTCATTAATTCTTTATTTTTTTAAGTCATTTATTCATTCATTCTTTCTTTTTTTAGTCATTTATTTATTCAGTAATTTATTTATTCATTTGTCACTTCCTTTATTCATTCATTCCTTCATTTATTTATTCATTCATTCGTTATTGAGAAAAGTAACGTTTTTTTAAATCATTGGGGGTAATTCTTGATAGCTTCGTTTGGGACTCGTTCTTGATAAATAAACCCTTAGAGGCAGTTTTTTGTTGAATATTACAGTACTTATACGATTTGTGGTGGTTCTTACTTTAGTGAAAGACCCAAGTTAAACTTGTCACTTCTGTTGCAGTTGAACAAATATGATATTTCCAACCAAAGCGCCCGTTGCCAACCCAATGTTTTAAAGAAGAAGCGCTTCCAACTTTGTCTTCTTGTTTACGGGCTAGCATTAATGTTTTCATTGAAAATGTAAGCTACCATCGTTAGGTAATGTCATTTTTGTGACTAGATTTTTTTCCACGCAGGTGGTAAAAGAAAAACCGGGAGCCGCTTCATTCCAGAAAACTATGATTCCAAAGTTGAATTGAAAAAATCAGAAAATGCTTGGGTGCGTTCGTCTGAGAGAGCCAAGGAACCTGCTGGAGAAGGGTCAGAAGTAGAGGTAGGTTTGTGTAATTTCGGTTTTTGTCACCCAGTTTGGTATTTTAGGACATTCTTAATATGTCATTTGGAAACTTAATTGTCAATAAGTGATGCCCTGCAACATGCTGAAAAAATATATCAAGTGGAAAAATTCTAGATATGAGATGAGAAATAGTGATAATCTCAACTTATTTTTTTGTGGCTGGCAAGCACAAAGAAAGGTTTCCACCTTTCTTGATGGAAAGCCCAAGTGAAGTAAAGGAATCAACTTTGCTCTTTGTTTTACAACTTTGCATGTAAATTTTTCAGACTTGTAATGAGAAGAAAGAAGTTTGAAATAATTGTGCTTTCTTTCAGGCACTGACTCGTTTAGCTAGAGGCATTCTGAATAAACTGACCCCACAGAAGTTTGATAAACTTGTGGAGCAGATGAAATCATTGCCAATAGACTCTGTCGAAAAGCTAAAGTGTGTAATTGATCTGATTTTTGAGAAGGTATGTAGACCATGGTTCGTTCTGAATATGAGTAAAATGTATAAGGGATTCAGCCTTGCCAATCGTCCCGGCAAGTCTCGGGCAAGTGGGCCCTTGCAAGAACCCTCCTTGGCTGGTTCACCAAGAAATCGTCTCTAGAATCTATGATTTTTGCATTGTTGTGGTTTTTGCTATGCACATTTTCCCCAAATAATCAACAAATTATCCCACATTGTCTCTAAATTCGTGGAGGTAGACGCTGATAATTTGATTGATCAGCTCCTTCACAGAAGCAGTGAGTATAGACAAGGGTTTCTACAATTTATAGCGGTGCAAAATTTGAAAATGGCTTTGAACAAAAAGAAACATTTGACGAGATAGCTAAAGCTTTTCGTCTAACACGCGCCAGAGTATAGATCAAGGAGGGAAATATAAACGAAATGTAGGTGGTATTGGTTCTAAAAGCTTGCAGTGATGGTTGGGTAAATATACCGTTCATGTGCTCGCGTTTTTCTGGTTGGTCTATTTCGATCCACAACGGGGTATATATTCTAAATAACCTTCTAAATAACGGATTTCACGCTATTGGATGAGAACTGTTTGTGTTGTGGTTGATAACTGTTTTTGCAATAATAGGTTAAAAATTTTTAGAAAGTTTTCTCTATTGAACTTTAGAAAGTTTACTCTAACGGATCCAAAGTAGTAACAATTCGTCTTGACTAGGAACCTTTTTGTTCATTTTCTTGGTTTGTTATCTTGTTAAATCTTCTCTGAATTTGGCTGTTTATTAAAAATAAGTGGAAAGAAGCAAGTATTTCCTAAAAGGGGCATTTTCCGGCGTTCTAAAAGGCGTGGTCTAAAAATTCTTGGTCACGACCGTTTCAGCCCACCCACTTTTAGACCCTGTTTTAGACGTATTGTCTGAATTCTATGTTTTTGCAATGATAGCATTGTTAATATTATTATTTATTTGCTCTATGTGTTGAATCATTATCTACTCTATAAATTTTTCTAGGCGTTATCAGAGCCTATTTCCAGTAAATTATATGCTCAACTTTGTGATGAGATTTCGAGAAAGGTAAGCTGAATCCTAAGCAGCTTTTAAAATGATGATAAATTTGAATTGGTGTCATCAGTCCTGGATCAACAACACCCTTCTTTGTAGCTAGCCATCATCAATTGTCATCATCATTATTATTATCGTTATTATCGGTTTCTTATAGAATTAAGGATATATAATGTGATATTCATCGGCTTTTCCACGATTTTTTCAATTTTCCTGTATTAGAGGCACAGAAAAATCTTATTGTATATGCAAACATTTGATCATCATATACTTTTTCCTTTTGAAACATTGAGGTAGGAATGTGGCTTCAAACGTGTCAATGCTCTAAAATGTTTTGGGTCTTCGACCGAAAATTTTGCTTTGTGTGAGACTGAAGGATACATTATCCACTTTCAAAAGCACATTTATAAAGCTTACTCTTAAAATGAAAATTTAAACTTTTTTACGCTACTTTCACAGTTACATAACGTTATTCTAGAAAATATCAATAGAAAGTGGCAAAGGATCAAACGTCAGTTTCAAAAGAATTCTTCTGAACATGTGTCAGTTTGAATTTGAAAAAGAAAAATCCGATGAACAGCAGCTCGAGAAAGAGCAAGATAAACATTATGAGAATGTAAGTACTTTTTTAGAGAAACTGTATAAGAAACAACGGTATTTCGAGGAATCATCTGCTTCTAACAGTGATTTGTTTTCCTTGTTTTACTCTTACATGATTCTGCGAAACCTTTTGACATGAACTTGAACTTTCTCTTGTCCAAAGTCTTGACCCCTTAAAATTTAATGGTCTACCATTATGGTGTTGATTTTTCGTCATTTTTAAATTTTATTTTGATACATAAAGTCTTCCAACACGAGCTCCAGAATGTACAGTAATTAACCATTTCTCTGTATTTAGGCCGATGAAGAAAAAGCCTGGCAAGAAGAGCTGGCCTTAAAAAGGCAAAAAACTAAGAGACGTTCTCTTGGTAACATCAGATTTATTGGGGAGCTGTTCAATCTTAAGGTGAGTCGCTATCATATGTAAACAAAAGTATTCTCTACATTGTTGAGACAAGGGGCAGAGTAAATTTATGAAGCGCAAAAAGTCGACCCTTGCAAGTTGCAGCTCCTTTAAGACACAATGACGATATAATTGGCTGCCGAAAGATGGCTGATGAAAGGCCACCATGATATAGGAAGTGGTCAAATAGTTTTCCCTTTTCAAGTTATGTAGACCTATTGTTTAGCTGTATGTCTTTTTCTGCTTGAGATGCTCTGTTCCTATTCCTTTTACAGTCTTATTTGTTTTTACAAACAGATGTTGACAGAAGCAATTATGCATACATGTATCACCAAACTGCTGAAAGACCGCGACGAAGAGTCGTTGGAATGTCTATGCAAGTTGGTAACGACCATTGGAAAGGATATAGATCATGAAAAGGCTAAGGTAGATGTTATTTTAATTTTCTTTGATCTGATATGTCTTTAAATTGTTAGAAAGCCGGTGTAAGGGTCCTTGAGTGCTTGAATGTAGCGGATGGTATAGCAATCAGAATCCACGTCTATTTGTTAAGGATTTTTAATTGAATATTAATTGATCAAATTTTCATTTGATATTTCATTCAAATTTTGAAATATTTCAGCCATGGACCAATAAATATTTCGATCAAATAGACAAGATTATCAACCAGAAAAAGGTTTCGTCACGAATCATATTCATGCTTCAAGACTTGAAGAACTTGCGGCAGTCTAATTGGGTTTCTAGAGTGGCATTGGATGGCCCCATAGTCAACAGAGAAATGACGAGCATTGGATGCCCACAAAGTTTTTCTGTTGACTATGATACCCCCAAGACAATCGGTGAAATTCATAAGGAGGCCAAGCAGGAAGAAGTTCAAATACAAATGGCGCACCAGACAGCTACTAAGCGGAAATTAACGAAGAAAGGTAGCATTAATTCAATCATTGATTAATTATTTCATCCTTTATCTATTCATATATTCATTAATTCTTTATTTTTTTAAGTCATTTATTCATTCATTCTTTCTTTTTTTAGTCATTTATTTATTCAGTAATTTATTTATTCATTTGTCACTTCCTTTATTCATTCATTCCTTCATTTATTTATTCATTCATTCGTTATTGAGAAAAGTAACGTTTTTTTAAATCATTGGGGGTAATTCTTGATAGCTTCGTTTGGGACTCGTTCTTGATAAATAAACCCTTAGAGGCAGTTTTTGTTGAATATTACAGTACTTATACGATTTGTGGTGGTTCTTACTTTAGTGAAAGACCCAAGTTAAACTTGTCACTTCTGTTGCAGTTGAACAAATATGATATTTCCAACTGAAGCGCCCGTTCCCAACCCAATGTTTTAAAGAAGAAGCGCTTCCAACTTTGTCTTCTTGTTTACGGGCTAGCATTAATGTTTTCATTGAAAATGTAAGCTACCATCGTTAGGTAATGTCATTTTTGTGACTAGATTTTTTTCCACGCAGGTGGTAACAGAAAAACCGGGAGCCGCTTCATTCCAGAAAACTATGATTCCAAAGTTGAATTGAAAAAATCAGAAAGTGTTTGGGTATGTTCGTCTGAGAGAGCCAAGGAACCTGCTGGAGAAGAGTCAGAAATAGAGGTAGGTTTGTGCAATTTCGGTTTTTGTCACCCAGTTTGGTATTTTAGGACATTCTTAATATGTCATTTGGAAACTTAATTGTCAATAAGCAATGCCCTGCAACATGTCGAAGAAAATATATCAAGTGGAAAAACTTTTAGATATGAGATGAGAAATAGTGATAATCTCAACTTATCTTTTTTGTGGCTGGCATGCACAAAGAAAGGTTTCCACCTTTCTTGATGGAAAGCCCAAGTGAAGTAAAGGAATCAACTTTGCTCCTCGTTTTCCAACTTTGCATGTAAATTTTTCAGACTTGTAATGAGAAGAAAGAAGTTTGAAATAATTGTGCTTTCTTTCAGGCACTGACTCGTTTAGCTAGAGGCATTCTGAATAAGCTTAACCTACAAACATTTGATAGAGTTGTGGAGCAGATGAAATCATTGCCAATAGACTCTGTCGAAAAGCTAAAATGTGTTGTTTATGTGATCTTTGAGAAGGTATGTAGACCATGGTTCGTTCTGAATATGAGTAAAATGTATAAGGGATTCAGCCTTGCCAATCGTCCCGGCAAGCCTCGGGCAAGTGGGCCCTTGCAAGAACCCTCCTTGGCTGGTTCACCAAGAAATCGTCTCTAGAATCTATGTTGCATTGTTGTGGTTTTTGCTATGCACATTTTCCCCAAATAATCAACAAATTATCCCACATTGTCTCTAAATTCGTGGAGGTAGACGCTGATAATTTGATTGATCAGCTCCTTCACAGAAGCAGTGAGTATAGACAAGGGTTTCTACAATTTATAGCGGTGCAAAATTTGAAAATGGCTTTGAACAAAAAGAAACATTTGACGAGATAGCTAAAGCTTTTCGTCTAACACGCGCCAGAGTATAGATCAAGGAGGGAATATAAACGAAATGTAGGTGGTATTGGTTCTAAAAGCTTGCAGTGATGGTTGGGTAAATATACCGTTCATGTGCTCGCGTTTTTCTGGTTGGTCTATTTCGATCCACAACGGGGTATATATTCTAAATAACCTTCTAAATAACGGATTTCACGCTATTGGATGAGAACTGTTTGTGTTGTGGTTGATAACTGTTTTTGCAATAATAGGTTAAAAATTTTTAGAAAGTTTTCTCTATTGAACTTTAGAAAGTTTACTCTAACGGATCCAAAGTAGTAACAATTCGTCTTGACTAGGAACCTTTTTGTTCATTTTCTTGGTTTGTTATCTTGTTAAATCTTCTCTGAATTTGGCTGTTTATTAAAAATAAGTGGAAAGAAGCAAGTATTTCCTAAAAGGGGCATTTTCCGGCGTTCTAAAAGGCGTGGTCTAAAAATTCTTGGTCACGACCGTTTCAACCCACCCACTTTTAGACCCTGTTTTAGACGTATTGTCTGAATTCTATGTTTTTGCAATGATAGCATTGTTAATATTATTATTTATTTGCTCTATGTGTTGAATCATTATCTACTCTATAAATTTTTCTAGGCGTTATCAGAGCCTATTTCCAGTAAATTATATGCTCAACTTTGTGATGAGATTTCGAGAAAGGTAAGCTGAATCCTAAGCAGCTTTTAAAATGATGATAAATTTGAATTGGTGTCATCAGTCCTGGATCAACAACACCCTTCTTTGTAGCTAGCCATCATCAATTGTCATCATCATTATTATTATCGTTATTATCGGTTTCTTATAGAATTAAGGATATATAATGTGATATTCATCGGCTTTTCCACGATTTTTTCAATTTTCCGGTATTAGAGGCACAGAAAAATCTTATTGTATATGCAAACATTTGATCATCATATACTTTTTTTTTTTGAAACATTGAGGTAGAAATGTGGCTTCAAACGTGTCAATGCTCTAAAATGTTTTGGGTCTTCGACCGAAAATTTTGCTTTGTGTGAGACTGAAGGATACATTATCCACTTTCAAAAGCACATTTATAAAGCTTACTCTTAAAATGAAAATTTAAACTTTTTTACGCTACTTTCACAGTTACATAACGTTATTCTAGAAAATATCAATAGAAAGTGGCAAAGGATCAAACGTCAGTTTCAAAAGAATTCTTCTGAACATGTGTCAGTTTGAATTTGAAAAAGAAAAATCCGATGAACAGCAGCTCGAGAAAGAGCAAGATAAACATTATGAGAATGTAAGTACTTTTTTAGAGAAACTGTATAAGAAACAACGGTATTTCGAGGAATCATCTGCTTCTGGCAGTGATTTGTTTTCCTTGTTTTACTCTCACATGATTCTGCAAAACCTTCTGACATGAACTTGAACTTTCTCTTGTCCAAAGTCTTGCCCCCTTAAAATTTAATGGTCTACCATTATGGTGTTGATTTTTCGTCATTTTTAAATTTTATTTTGATACATAAAGTCTTCCAACACGAGCTCCAGAATGTACAGTAATTAACCATTTCTCTGTATTTAGGCCGATGAAGAAAAAGCCTGGCAAGAAGAGCTGGCCTTAAAAAGGCAAAAAACTAAGAGACGTTCTCTTGGTAACATCAGATTTATTGGGGAGCTGTTCAATCTTAAGGCGAGTCGCTATCATATGTAAACAAAAGTATTCTCTATATTGTTGAGACAAGGGGCAGAGTAAATTTATGAAGCGTAAAAAGTCGACCCTTGCAAGTTGCAGCTCCTTTAAGACACGATGACGATATATTGGCTGCAGAAAGATGGCTGATAAAAGGCCACCGTGATATAGGAAGTGGTCAAATAGTTTCCCTTTTCAAGTTATGTAGACCTATTGCTGTTTAGCTGTCTGTCTTTTTCTGCTTGAGATGCTCTGTTCCTATTCCTTGACAGTCTTATTTGTTTTTACAAACAGATGTTGACAGAAGCAATTATGCATACATGTATCACCAAACTGCTGAACGACCGCAATGAAGAGTCGTTGGAATGTCTGTGCAAGTTGGTAACGACCATTGGAAAGGATATAGATCATGAAAAGGCCAAGGTAGGTTCATTTTTTTCTGAAAATATGGTTTCAAATTGTATTTCTGAAGAAGATGTACTTCTGTTTCATCTCTTCATTTAAGATATGTTAATGTTACTAATAAAGAACACAAGTTGTTTTGATATCAACATATATTTAAGTTGCTGTCTTGTGTTAAGCCCAAAAATAACACAAAAGGCCTACAAAAGCCCGATTTTTCTGTTTCGCCACTAGCAATTACATAACCGCATTTGTGACTAATCTCCTTTCCATATGAAGTAGTTTGACCCTGAATTTGAAAAGGAACCATGTGATTTACAGATAGAAAATACTTCAAGCTTTCACCTCTGTGCATGAGTTTTTTGAGTGCATGAAGATGACAGATGATTCTAGAACAAATATCCAAGACTTGGCCATCGCAGTCAAGATCATAGATGATTAAATTTTGGTGCCATTTTATATTTCAAGTTTTCAAATATTTCAGCCACGGACCAATCAATATTTCGATCAAGTAGACAAGATTATCAACCAGAAAAAAGTTTCGTCACGAATTATATTCATGCTTCAAGATTTGAAGGACCTGCGGCGGTCTAATTGGGTTGCTAGACGAATATTGGATGCCCCCTAGTCCATCGATGAAATTCGTGATGAGGCCAAGCTGGAAGAGATTCAAATGCAAATGGCTCATCAGCAAGCTGCTCAGAAATGATAATTGAACAAAGATAGAATTCATTCAATAATTCATTAATTACTTCATTCATTTATTTACTCATTAAGTTAGTGGTGTTTCTCAACAGCAATCTGCTGAGAATAGACTAATTTTGTTATTTTTTTAATCTGAGCGTGATATATAGGTTGATACTGACAAATATGAATTTGCAATTTTGGTAAAATCAATGCTCTAAATAATACACGCAATTGGCAGTATAAGTAGATCGTTTAGATTTTTCAAGCTTCTGGTTTCTACTGGTCGTTACTGAAATGCAAATGATAATTGAATGCAAATACGACGTAGTTCTCAGTATATGGTAACGATATTGCTCGGATAGATCCTAAATGGACTCCACGAGATTGTTTATTTGAATATGCAAAAGTATGTACCCTGAGAAAGTTCCCACCCAACACATCTTTACTTTGCTAGACATCAATGAATTTGATTTGGGGAAAGATTTTCTCTGAGGAAGCTTTCAGAAGAAAAAGACTCAATTTAAAGACACAGAGAAATTTGCTCAAACGAACACGATATTGGGGCGGGTTATTAGGGTATTTGTAACGTTTCTTTGGATCCAACGAGATAAAGATTATTCTCAGGTTTTAACAGACGCTAGAGTTCTAGATAATAAAAAAACAGAATGTATGATTTGTCAGAGAGTATTAATTTTGTCGTTTTAAACATCAAGATGTATGGTGTCAGTTTCAAGCTGAAAAAATGTCTAGTGTGGTGTATTCGCCTCGTTTCAAATTTGTTATGTAAGTTGGCTTAGGGGCATAGAGATGCTCAGGGACGACTTAGGCCTGCTCTCGTTTGTGTTGCTCAGCCCCGATATACAAGAATTGGCGAAGAGAAATGGTTACTTATACCAGTTCATTGAGTTTAGTTGACTCGTGAAAACAGACCCAGCCTTCTTTTTGCTGGCGTGGAATAAGCATGGCACAGGTGCTAGGGCAGGTTCCAGGCACCGCGGGCTTTAGCCCCCCACCTTTTGCAAAAAATTTTTTAGGCAATGAAAAAACGCAATGAAAAAACTTAAACTTTCGCAATGAAAAAACAAAAACTTTTAGGCCCCCCACTTTTCTCAACGCTCCGAGGTGCCTGGGTTGGTCCTTACTGTGAAGGGAAGGAGGACTGGGCTTGTTATGTGGAAAGACTGGAACAATTTTTCATTGCGAATGGTATTACTGATGCATCCAAGAAAAGGCTGTATTTTTGAATGGAATTAGACCTTTAACTTGTTGATTATTCAGGAATTTGATGACTCCGGATATTCATTCAAATAAGACGTTTGGTGAGCCGAAGACTACGTTATCTGCTCTTTTAAACCAAAGACTTTGGTGAGTGCCGAGCGTATTCGATTTGACAAGAGATATCAACATGAAAATGTCTCTATTTCAGATTATATTGTGGAGCTAAAAAAGCTTGCAAGTACTTGGGACTTTGGAGAGTTCTTGTCAATTGCTTTGTGTGACATTCTTGATTGGGGTTTGCTTATATAGAGTATTAGATGTAGCTTTTAACAGAAGTTGATCTTGCCTTTGATAAGGCAAATAATATCACTGTTGCAATGGAATTAAAAAAAATGCAGTTGATTTACACCCATCAAGTTCAAGTGGTAGAATAGGAGTTATCAAAGTTAAGCATAAGCACAAAAAGAGAGTAAATGCAAGTGTTTCAGCATCTAAAACAAGCTACTGGGTGTTGGCGGCGTGGAGGAGTCAAGCACAATGCAAATAATGTTTGATATTTGATGCTTTTGATGCTCAAAACAAGGTCATGCTGCAAAGAAGTGTAGAAGTGAAAAGAAAGCAACTGCACCAGTTGAGAAAACAAGTTATCTCGCTATTTCATCCAGTATTCTAGGTGATAGTGATGGTATTCCTATGACCTTGTTTCTTTGCAGGAAACAGTTTCTTTCAATGGTTTTCCTTTGACCATAGAAATTGACAGTGGAACAGTCGTTTTAGTTGTAGGGAGAGAATTTTATGAGAAATATCTCTCACATGTGCCTTTATCTTCATTTTCAATGCATTTTCTGTCTTGGAACGTTCTTGGAACTTGAGGAGAAATTTTGGTTGATGTTGAGGGCTATAATACCATTGGTTGTTGTTGTTGGAAGTAAACTAGCTTTGTTGGGAAGAAGCTGGTTAATAATAATAATGATGATAAATAATAAAGGCATTTATATTGCTCCATTTATCCACGCGGCTTAAAGGCAGATTACATAATGTTCGTAAAACTAACAAAGTGATATAATATACAGCATTACAAACAACGCTAAAAAATTGTTTGTAAAATAAATAAAATCTAATTAAAATATTCTTGAAAAAAATACGTCTTCAGTCTTCTCTTAAAAGTGTCAAAAGAATCCACTGCTCGCAACGTGTATGGCAGTCTGTTCCAGAGAAGAGGAGATGCGCCTGTAAATGCACGATCTCCAGCGGTCACCAGCATGATAAAGGGGTTTAAGGCAGATTTGCTTCAAAACGCTAAGCCTGTTTTTAAGAAGGCAAGCCCTGTTCCATTCTCTTTGAAGGAAGTTGTGGAGAAGGGATTTTATCGCTTAACCAAAGATGGTATAATGACACCAGTGAAGCACAGTGAATGGGCTTCTTCAATGGCTGTGGTTTCGAAAACTGATGGTAGGGTCAGAATTTATGGGGACTACAAAGTTTCTGTGAATCCAGTGTTGATCAGTACTCTAACATTGAGCACTTTCTGGAGGTGTTTATTTTAGCAAGTTGGATCAATGCTTATCGAGAGTTAGAGCTTGAGAAAGATGCTAAAAATGGGTTAACCATCAATACTCTTAAGGGATTGTTCAGAATTACATTAAAAATTGGTGTACTGCAAGGTGACACACTTGCTCGTTTCTTGTTCATCATCGTCCTAGAGTATGTGCTACAGATTTACTCTCGACAAGATAGCGGGAAAGGGACGTCAAATCAAGATACCCCAAAGCCAGCGCCATCAAGCTGAAAACCTCACTGATTTAGATTTTGCAGATGACCTCGCCCTTATTGCAGAGTTCGTCAAAGGTGCCATCAAATGCCTTGAATAGCAGCCAACACGGTAGGTCTTTACTGCAATGCCACCAAAACTGAATTTTTATGCACGTAAACTGGATTAACAGTATTAGCATGCGGTGGATAAAATCACGATTGTGATGCATGTATTCAGGACCCCCCCCACTTACTAGGACCCCCCGCTTATTCATTTTTTAAAAAATTTCTGACCCCCCAACTCTCAAGACCTCCCTTCTATTAAGGACCTTAGAGTAACTGTTGAATGTTTCATTTCGAAGAGGAGAGGAATAGTGTATTAGCCTCGATTTTAATTTTGTTATATAATACTAGTTCAAGATGTGAAGCCTCGTTGAACGAGTACTGTTCGTTTTTTCCCAACCCATCCATCCTCGTTTTGTTTTTTATATGCAAATTTGTTTTTTCTATATAACCCTTACAGTTTGTTTCCTTCTCTGGCAACGTGAAAGCTTCTCATAGGCATCTTTAATGCTATTTGACTTTTTTATGTTTTTAGGTATGACAGGTCCATCGCCTTATATTCTCTTGTATATTCTCAGTGTCAATTGCATTTGGGGATTTTAAGCAAGCAGCTTTAAGTAACTTCTTTCTTTGAGGATTTATGGTAGGTTGAGCGAATTTCTCCGATGCACCAACCGACCGACTTGTCCTAGAAGACGTGGGAACGTAACCTCGTGACTCATTTGCAGATAAATTTGTCACCTTTTTCTAAGGGGGCAATTTTTGCCCTACAATTTGTATTATAGCTCCTCTCCAAAGTTAGAAATCTAAGATTGACTTCAGCAGTCTTTTGCTCTCTGGGTTACCATTTTCAGTAGTAGTGTATCCTAGTTTATTGTATGAAGTGTGTCTTATATAATATAGTTGTAACCTTTTGTGGATATTAATATTAAATTATAAATGGCTTTGAAAAAAGCAAACATTTAGTAAACTAAAGCTTTTCGTCTGACACTCTTCAGAGTTTAAAACGTCAGAACATAGATCGAAAACTCTACGCTAGGAAATATATAAAACCCAGTTGTGGATTGAAATAGGCCAATCAGAAAACACGAGCACATGACTGTATAGGTTGACCAATCAGTGCCGCTTGCCTATTGAGAGTGTTACCAATGGAGTCCTAAGGTGAAAACGAAGTTAAATGTAACCCAGGGATGGTTCACCAGGCACAAAAATAAAATTAAAGAGAAGTTTCTTCTTTTGCTTCAAAAGCCAGGGAGGATGAAGGAAAAGATATAAATTTCATCATGAATATCTATCACAAACCCTTAAAGCTACAATGTTTTAGAAAATTGTTTTCCAAGCTGAATAAAGGCACCAGATGAAAAAATCCTGATTTTCGAAAATTTCAGTTGGACAAAGTTTCTGAGAACACTGTATCTTGTAGATTCTAACAATTGAAAAAAGCTGCAATCAATGCTGATTCCTGACTTTTAATAAGCCGAATTATAGCAAAATGAGTTTAGCAATTCAGTTTATCATAAATCATTATTGTTATAATAAAAAGACTGTTAGTGCAATAAATCTTCTATGCTTCTTTTAAACATTATTCTCATCACAGTCTTTGTATATTTAATTCCCCTCATTATTTTGTCCCAATGAAATCCTGTCTATGATTTTATAAAAACCATCTTCTCCTTTCTTATCAACCATAGAACAAAGAAGTACCTCTGAAAATTTTTGTTTGCCAAATTCTAAATCCAGAAAATCCTTTAAAAATCTGTCATCGACACGCTTTATTCCTTTCTTTTTCATCTTCTTTATGTTTTTACTCAATTTAATGACAGTAACATGAGGAACAAACTGATCTTTGGTATTTTTTGCCAAATTAATGCCATGAGAGCAAAAAGAGTCTACCAGTACATCTACAGCTTTTCTAAGGCAACTCAAAGCATCACTTTGGGTATCTTTGTCAATCCCAACATATACAACTTTGTTTCTGAATGTCCTGACACCATTGAAAGTCAGTTCTTTCGTGCTGTTAGCAAAGCAATTTTGAACATCCAATTCACTGTGGCATAGAGCTTCTTTTGCCTTTAACACTTCTGACTCATCATCTAACTTCATCACAAACAATGTAAGATGTAATGTGGGAATAGGAATAAGAACATGCCTGAATGCTGGTTCTTCATTGACGACACTTTCTTGCACTTTGTTCACATTATCAGCAATATACGAGTCATCCACTTTTATAGCTAGAAAATAGTTTGGAAAGTCCTTCCTGTTTTTGTCATTCTGTGTTAACTTTGTATCCCTTTCAACCATTTCATTTGGATTCTCATTATCTGTAGCCTGTAAGGAACCCTTCACTTTATCTTTCTTTTCTGATTTTTGTTTTTGTCTCTTTGTAGAACCGCCCCTCTGCTTACATTTCAATATGGTTGGTTGTTTACTACATACTGAATCATCAAAGAGAATATCAAGATTATAGTCTTCATCTGATTCACTTAAGATTTTCGTTCTCTTATCCACCTTAATTTCTGGTTCTAAAATCTCTTTTTCTTCAAAAATGCAATCTTGTTCAAGAGAATCAAAACACACTTTAAATGACCTTTCTTTTGACCCTTTTATTGAAGCAAACTGATTTGTGATTTGCTGATCTGCTAGTTTTGAATTTTTGGAATCTTCAGCTGCCATGCTGGTGCAATCTTTCCATTTAAAATGGGTGCCATGTTTTTCCCCTTTAAATCTTAAGCATGTCTTCCATGAAATGTTTTCACCAACATCATCCAGAGGAATTTTTTCAAAAGAATTATCAGTATCTACCCTATTTGCTATTTTTGATGCAATTTGCTGCTGATCCAAAGTCAGCTCTGACTTATTTTCAAGGCTTGTTGAGGGTCCACAAGATTCTATAGCTACTTGATCATGTCTGTTTAATGATGTTGAGCTCAAACTCTTTGAAAAATTTCCTTCATTTTCTTCATAACATGCCGCAGATCTCATGAAACGTCTAAATACTCTAATCCTTCGTTTTTTTGACTTGGAGGAATTTTTTTCTAGGCGCTGTTTCTCAATCTTTTCTCCTCCGTCTTCTAACATACCAGAAGATGCCGTTCCGAAACTTAAATTCTTATCTAATTTCTTACAAGATACCTTGCTGTCACTTTTGTAACGCTTGAATCCTTCATTAACTGAAATTGTCTCAGACGAGTTGTTTCCACGCTTTACAATCACAGGATTCTTTTCTGAGTTTTTTCTACTTTCAAAATTTCCATATGCATATCCACTTCGAAGTACTTCAGAGAACCCTCGACATTCTTGGCCCTCACTTCTACTTTCCGCTGACTGTCTTATTTCTTTCCCAGAGAGGATTAAATGAAGTTTTTCACGGGCAACGTTGCTAAGTCTTGCTAGAGGAACAATGCTTCTGGTCGCCATTAATGTTTAAGGTTAGATTGCCTCCTCTTGGTGTTCCATAATGCAAAAGAGACCAGGAGAAAGCAAAAGTTAAAAGTGAATTGACTTCGGTTACTTGACTTGGGTTCCTGTTTAGATCCAAAAAATAAGTGGTTCTTGTTTCTTGGTCGTGACAGAAAATGGCAGCAGAGTTTACAGAGACAGGTTTCGTAAGGCTGCCTAGAAAACCTTTTAAAGTTGGCAGGTTAGACAAACTTTTTAAAGGTATAGTAGCAACGAGCCTATCTGAATTGAAGTCCAAATCGTGCGAGTTATTTGGGATTGACACCCCTATTGGAATAAAAGTATTTTTAGAAGAAGACATGACTGAGATAGATGATGAAGAGTATTTCACTTTTCTACCAGAGCAGTCAAGAATTCTTATTCTCACGGCCTTAGAAGTTCCAAGGAAAGGTGAGTGAGTTTTCTCTAAATTTAGAGAAATATAATTCTTTTTTCTTGTCCTGTCAACCTTTCATATCTGTTAAAGTCAAACATGGATCATAGAATTGAAATCTTCATGTTGAAACTGGTCTGTGCCGAAAATTCCATGTTGTTTTAGCTGCCAGGCCGCGAATTGTGCGGTTTTCAGAATTCAGTTCAGTTCATTTCATTTTTAAAAATCCATACATACAAATCTTTTGAAATACAACAACAGGTTACAAAAGATGAAATAAATTACATACAATAAGAGGAATAGAGAACAAGAAAAATATAGATAATTTTACAAAAACCAAGGAGATTTGCATGCAAGAATTTCTTAAAGGAGGAGCTCTAATCGTATAGAGGATAGACTAATCGAGGAGAGAGCACCCCCTGTGGTAAAATTCTATTAATTTAGTATTTACACCACAGGCTGCCCAGGAGGGAGCAATATGACCAATGAAAACAACTGCCACACATCCTCTGCTCCCTCCAAAAAGAAAATAGCAAAGACTGCCTGACATCCATCCCCATCCATCTTTATAGTCCTGAGAAGACATTAAAAAATATTCTATTGATGGTATCTGGTGAAGAACAGATGCAATTTTTGTTTCCAGTGCGAATTTGTAACTGTAGCAAATTGTTTGATGACACAGGAAATGTTGTTCCAGGACTTGGCACCTGCATATCTAACAGATCTTAAACTATATTGCAGGGTGTTTTCTTAAGAGTCATAAAAATATCACCTTTGGAGGCTTGTGATAAAGAACAGGAGAAATCATATTAACAGAGTCATAAACAAATGTAAGCAGCTTTAACTCAAACAAATCATTCAGTTTAAGAATTTTCAAATCAGAAAATATTGGCATAGATCAGCATTCTTGAACTACAGCCTGCAGCAAGTTTTTATCTGGCCTGCCAAGCCCTTTATTTCAAAAAAATATTTTTGGCTTCCACTTTGAAAATTTTGAATTTGATTAAGTATTGCTTTTGGACTGCTCTGATATTTTTTTCCTCTGCAGTAAATGAAAATGCGCGTCCTGTTGACCAGTAATTTGTCAGAAAGGGAGGTCCGAATATAGGAAATGCTTTATTTAATCATTTAAACGTTTTATAGCAAGATATTTTACTGCTTTCATTGAATTCAATAGGTTGTTGATAAACTCACCATGACCTTACCCCTTCCTCAACTTTTGAGATCCCAGCCCCAAGGTCAGACTTAATGAAGTTCATGCTTATTAGTGTATGTCTATGAGGCAGGGTGTGTGGACTAGGGCACTGGCTAATTCTTTATTGCCAAGTTCAGTTAATTCTTTACTGTATTTTATTTATTTTTTCTCTCTATTTTATTTTGGTTTCAATAATTTGTAAAAAAGTTGATTATTCGCTGTTATGCTAATTCTAATTCTAAAACTTTGGAAGACCCTTTCTTTAAATTTCAACATTGAAATAGATAAAACTATGGAAACGTTAGCTTTTCTCCCATCAAATTCCATTTTAGATGCAGTTTCTGACCATCCATAGACTATTATAATCTAAAATTTTCCTTGCTGCCAAATCATGGTGGCGACCTTTCGAAATACAACCACAGTCATTAAATTTTGGCCCCACTTTAAAATATGTTTCGCTGTCCCTGGATCTGACTTCAAATGCATTAATTGACCTAACAAATATTAATGTCGTAACCTAAAAATAGCACAACTGTCTTTCGATCCAAGCATGGTAAAAGAAACGCATGTTACAAACTTCTATGTAAGTCATTTTGTTGGCTTTATACACTTTGTTACAGTTTGAAGCTTTTAGTCCCCCTCCCCTAGAAAGTTTTCCCTGGCCTTGGGCATGTAAATTTGTTGGGTATTGCACATTGTGCCAATCCCTCTAACATCAAGCTAGCATCATGTTCTTAAATGTTATCATTGCCCTCCCTTTTTCTCTCTTCTCATCCACCATTCCAAAACATATGTCATGAAAATAAGCACACTACATAGATTTTATGAATATAGAATCTAACAAGAAATAACAGGCCTGCCTATCTTATCTCTAAATTAGCCTGGTAAGAATGAGATCCGAACTTCATTTTGTGCAATTTTTTTGACACAAGCTATGTAAAAGTCGACAACTCAGTGGCCCCCGGAGAAAATCCACATGTTTTTCTGGCCTGACACTCAAAAAAATTAAGAATCCTTGGCATAGATGGAGAATAAAAAACTTTTGAAGGCAATAGCTCTAACAACTTTCTTCTGCAGAAGATAGATTGGCTTTGTATGCACTTCATTAGTAAGACCCCAGACAATGACTCCATACTGGAAAAATGAGGAAAATAAAAAGTTATATAAAGAGATTCAAACACTAGTAGGTAAACGAATTAAGCTTTATATGTACTATATTTCACCAGAATTTGTTTCTGTAGTTAAGTGTCTATACTACAGAAGTGCGCATACTAGTCGTACCTAAATAAATATCTAAAAATTCAAAATGAAGTACATGCAGGGGATGATCCAGAACAAATTTAAAGGGGGGAGGCAATTGATAAAGGGGGAGAGGCCGCAAAATTTCCAGAAATTGGTCACAAGAGTCTGCATAAAATAATTTTTGACCCTAACTACTGAGAGAAAGTCCTCTACTTACGTTCTATGAAAATAATTTTGTAACAAGTGTATAAAAGCAATGATGTTTAGTCTGAGCATGACTGAAGGCCAGACTAGAAACTTTGTTTCTTGTATGGACAAGTTTACTTTGAAAATATGAGACTGATTGTGATATTAAATGTTATTATTTAGGGGTTTTGCACAGCTAATATGCTAAAGCACACAGATACATTGCAGTGCACGGGCAATATATTGCAGGCCTGCAACAAAGTTTCCAGGCTGAAGGTCTCTTCCTAAAGTTTCTCTCTGGTTCTGAAAATTTGCTTGCTGAACACCTGTCTTCTATCTTTCTTGGAGTAGAGCTCTTAAACTTTGTCTGTTGTGAGACACATGTTTCAGTAAACCTGTAGAAGTAAAGAGTTCTCTATTTGCTACTCCATCATAGTAGATGGAGTTGCTGTCAAATTACTCTGCACCAGAGGCAGACTGGAATGCTCTTTTCTAAGAAGATAGGGATAACTGTTGAAAGAGATAAGGTAAAGGCCACAACCTTGACTAGTGGCATAAATTTTACAACTATGAAGTTCTAGGGACATTGGAAATGAGTCTGGAATATTCACAGCATCAATGAAGATGCAAACATGGTAATCTGCAAGAAATTAAGCATGGTTTGACTATAAAAAGATTAAGCAGCTTTGTAAAGGGTCAAGTCATTCTCGTTCAGGTGTGCCTAGATACCAAAGCTTAGCCAGCAACATCTATGATTAGATTCAGAATTTTCTTCTGAAATTTTTAGCGTTAATGTCATATTTAAAAATTACTTGAATATGGAAAGAAAATTTGAAATATTTTAGGAAATAGAAGTGAAGCATTGTAAAGGGTATCCCAAATTGCCTGGGTAGGGTTAGGTAAAGTTGAATGGAGTTAGGTAGTGTATTATTTTTAAATTTTTAGCTTGTTTGATGTTAGTTTTCCTACTAGTTGAGATGCCTGACCCCTTTTAAACCAGCATTGCTAAATTGCCATTCTTTAATAATTTAAAATGAAGTGAGTGAAAATGAAATGTAAAGTTGGGACATTTTTCTTTAGAATCAAACTGTAAATTTTTCCATTATCTGGCCCTTGCGAAGTCAAGTAACTCAGTCCAATCCATTGATCCTTTGTGAACCCATGCCCAACCCTACTCTATACCTATCTAAACATTCAAACTCTCTCCCCATACCCCCTTTTTCCAAACCTTTGGGCAGATTCTTTCTTTAATGACCAAGGGCTTTGTCAATCCTAGTTCAATCGATTTTAGTGCATCTATTAACTTTACAATACTGCAATGAGTACCATGTGTCAGTACTTGACATTGCCCATGTACCATCATAACCTTGCCTGACACAATAACTTTTGGTCTTCATATCTCCCTCCAGATAACCTTTCCAATGTTTTCCCTGAACATCTATTTTATCTTTATCTCTACTATTGATTTTCAGAATGGGTCTCAGAAACATGTTCACCTGATTCTCATCAGCAACTGCCACAGTTGCCCCGCTTCCCTCAAATCTGCCATTGCTCATGACTGAAATGTCCAAACAACGTGAAGTTTTCTGTATAAACTAATTTTAAAACGAAAATTTCAAATCCGAAGTCCATTTTTGAGAAAGGTCTTGGTCCGGTCTCTGGCATCCAAGATTTTAACGGTTGGAAGCCAACTGGTCTGAATGGTAATTTTGATAAAACTCGACCTGCTGATAATGAAAACCTGAGTCTTAATGGCTGAAAATGGTACACAAAGCCAAGGCGTGGCCCCTAAAGTTTCCCAAGTTGTTGGCAAAGTATAAAATTCAGTGGTCAAACTTCATTTACTGGGAAAATGTTTCAGAACAAAGCAATAAACACCATTACGTTTATTTAAGACGTTTAAGTTCGTACATTCCATTTTTTAAGACCCCTCGAAGTTTCCCCTAGTTGTTGACTAAATTCTGTCATTGGCCAAACCTCAGTCCTGTTTTAAATTCAAGGCAATGATCCTATTTAATCATTTGTATTGTTTAAGAAGATTACATTGGGACAATTTCCTTTTAAGACGCCCCTAAAGTCACCCCTTGAATGTTGAATAGATTCAATAGTCGTTGGCAAAACTCTGTTCTTTTTTAAAAATCAAGGTAATAATCTTATTCCAACACTTTGATAGATTTAAGGCGATTATAGCTGAGCAATTGATGCCCCTAACCTCATCTCCTTGATGTTAAATAAATTCAACAATCATGGGTGAAACCCTTTTTAATTTCAAAGAAATAATCCTATTCAAGCATCTTTGCTGGTATAAGACATAGATGCTGCCAAGATTGCACCTTGGATTGAATTCATCTAAAATTCACTATTTTCTGATGGTCTGTCCGTCGTCTTTGGGTTTTCATAAAATAGAGTGATT